ATACTAATGCCGAATACTTATATTACATATGAAACCGTCCACGAAAATCCCATAGGTCTGTTAGGGAATAACGCCGCAATAGCAAATACGTAACTGCTACAAAGTATATATAAACCTTACATTTCTAATTTACTAATGGTTTACTCCAAGTCACGAAGGAACAATATTTTCGTTACGAGCCACAAATGGTCTAAGTAAACCGTATCAGAAGTAGTCGTACATTGCTCTTTTGAACATTTAAAAAGTATTTATTCAACCATATGTTAACTCAAAATCTAAAATAACGTAAAACTGGAAGCATTTTATATTATTTGTGTCACTGTTTTGTGTTATCTCAAAGCTCTATTTGCAACCTTCTTGACGTAAAGGCGATCCCAAAAGTTTTTTTCTATGGGCATTGATATCTACACTACAATGAATTCAGTTAATCATAATTTTGTGTTATTTCTCATTCTTCTCAACACACCGTTCACAAATGGAAATCAGGCAGAAATCAGCGTTTCGTCTAACACAATCCAAATACACCACGTCCTCCATGACCTTAAGAACTGTGACGTTCAAATATTCCATGACGGAATAAATGCAGAGAACTTCGAACCTGACGCGACTTATTTATCCCCCACTACCATATTCGACCGAATTATGCGCGACTATCGTACTCACGCCACAAATGTGTCGCGGACTCGAATATCCCGTTTCAGACTTAGTATTTTGTTTGCCTCATTCTTGATGGCGGATCCGGATAAGGCCAATAAATCGGGACGCTTGCTGTTTTGGAGTGAAATGGCAAACTATTTATACTTTGATGAGGACAGGCGACATTGGGTATTATTTACGAGGAACGTGTATATCCTGGTTCTTTCCAAGCGAGATGTTTTACAGGAGGAAGAAGACGCATTATTTGTTAATTTGGTCGACAATTTTGCAATTGCTTGGCAGCGAGATGGAGGTAAATTCAATTTTTGTGTCCATGAGTCGAGTACACCCCCAAGTTTGCAAAGGTTCAAATGCAAACTGATGGACAGATCTGTTCCTGAAATGTTTAAAGATTTAAGCCGACCCCCTGAAATATGGGGTATTTCGGATGACACTGCCAGCCGTCAAGTTAGCTACGATGGGTCAGACATTGTAATCCACACGCTAGAAAATCCATTCGTAAGAGGAGAAGAATTTCTGGATATTACGAACTATATTATTTATACCGTTCTCAAACGAGAAAACGTTTCCCGCATGACTTTCAAACTAAACAACTTTTATGCGCAAGTGGAATACGTTAAATATGAATGGTGGCGGTGGGGGAAGCATCATCGGCAATTTGTAACGACTAGTTTTGCCGGCTTTCAATTTCTGTCTTGCTATCAAGAGAATTTTATGACGTTTACCTTCTACATAACGCCATTTAAGTCTGAGGTTTGGATCAGCTTAATAGTTTCTATCGCAGCTCTTATCATAGCGCTGGTTATCTTTATAAAATTAAGCGCAAGACAAGAAGGTCGACCGACCTCATTTTCCCCGTTGTTGTTCATTCTCGCCAGTATATTTGAAGAAGATTACCCCGTTCCGGGACAGATTGAAAGAACCAACTATTTTCGTTGCAGCATTGGTGCTTGGATTGTCATGACCGTAGTGTTAACCAATTGTTATAATGGATTAATGATCACTGAGCTTAACTCACACCAAGCTACAAATTTTCTTGAGTCGTTTCATAGCAACGTAATCTGTGGTCCTGATCCAGTCTCAAACTTCGAAAACTCACAAAAAAGCAATATTACAGTGTCTGAGTGGCTTGTGTCGAATAGCTACCAAACCTTCTTGGAACATTGGGATTGGGAAAATTTAGATAAATTATACGATTCCCACGACTCATACCTGAAACTTTGGTACAACTATGAAAAATGCGTTAGCCTTCTCTCCTCAGCAACCGATTACCTACATTCTTGGATCTGGGAGACAAATTTGCCTAAAAGTGATTTATGGTACTTCCTAAGATGGGCATTAGTTAGATCAGACATTGCAAAACTCAAAGACCTACTTCGACATGTATCTGCAACACATCTCAGTCAAGAAGCAAAGTTCCTTTCTCAAGAGAGCTTGATCATCCTAGGTTTAATGAACCCTGCTCATCCTCATGAGCCGAGCGAGCTCGTGGTCGAAGATGGTGAAGTTAATTTGCAAAAATCAGTGGAGCTTCAAGTCATTAAATGCGGCAGAACGGTATTTGTAGCACAATCTTTTAATTTAGATGCCGAGATGTACTTCTTAACTAGAAAGTATTATTGGATAAAGTTCTATAAGGGGAGGGATCAATTGGATAACAGTCCGTACGGGTGGGTCATCAAAGGTGGGAGTAAGTCCAGGGTTACGGAAAATTTGCGGGCACAATTTGAAACCGGGATACACCAACGGTTAAGGGAAGAGGAGTTTGGAAGGAAATATGTGGGCAGGAAGCCGGTTGAAGAGAGGATTATAGTAGAGGATGATCACGGTATGAATATCAAATCCGGAATTGGAACGCTTTTCATAATTGTCGGTGGTATACTCGGGATTGGATTAGTAGTATTTTTTGTTGAGATTTACAGCCTGGTTAGAAATATACTGATTAACTGGCTGATGGCTGATCTATTTTGTAAGTCAGCGATATTTTGTGTGTAAGAATAAGTTGCGAAGAAGCATCAAAAGGACCTGAAGTGTCAACTTCGAAGATTATGGACACATTTTGATTGCGTTTAAAGCAATGTGTGCTAGGATTCTAACAGGAGGAGTATTAACAGGAGGCTGAAGATTTTAGCTTATACATACTAATAAATACTTTAGTACTAGTACTTCTGTAAATATGAATTATGTTTTAGTACTATTGAAGAATATGGAACAGGATTTACATTTTTTTAAATTTGTAACTTTTCTGTTTATGTACATCACACCCATAAAAATTGTTTGATACGATTGTTACAGGAGAGAGTCTAATTTTAATGCATAGACTATAGCATTTCGTAAATATTAGAAACACTTTCGACAAAATTCAGAGATACAGAAGGGTTTGGCACTTTGGTGGATACGAATTTGACCTTGAATAACCCCAGAACAGTTTGTCGTAGCGGGTCAAAATTTTGAAAAGACGAGCACGTTATCCTCAAATACTTGTGTGCAAAAATTCAACTCTCTACTTTCAAAAAAGCCTCCCCCACAGCCCCCAGAAGTTGAGACGGTCATTTTAACTTTTTCCAAACTCCCTCTCAAAAATTTGGTCTCCACAGAAAAAAAATTATTTTCAAGTCTTCGAACCCAAAAAGGTCTATTTGACTTATGTCAGGGCATTTTACAGGGATTTCACTATTCGAAGTGATTTTTATACCGAATCTAGGTTCAAGGTCATTTACATAATCTTGGGTCAACTTTGCCGTTGATGAAGACGCTGCGTCATGGTGAAAAATAACATCCTTTATTTTTTTACCATGCCATTTAGGAAAATGTTATTCTAAATGTGGTTTTGATGCACGGTCCACATAGTGCTTTGCAGATACGCTTTTGGGGAACTTTGATAAGTGGGTGGACACCGCGATCGGACATTGCACCCACGACAATAAACTGTTTACGAAAGTTCTCCTCGCTTAAAAGCACCAAATTGCTTGAATTTTTTTCGGCATTTGTCGTGTAGTAAGCTCTTCGGACCCTATTAGTATTTTATAGAGAAAATAGTGCTTCGTCAATTGTCACCAATAACGCACTCTTATTTCTGAACAGAAAATTTAAATAACATTTTTTGCAAACACGGGCGAGATTTTTTCTGGAACAAGTTGAAATGACTGTCTCAGCTTCTGGGCGCTATGGGGGAGGCATTTTTGAAAGTAGAAATTTGGAATTTTGCACACAGCTATTTGAGGATAACATGCTCTTCTGTTCAAGATTTTGAACTGTTAAGACAAACCGTTCCGGGGTTATTCAAGGTCAAATTCGTATCCACCAAAGTGCCAGACCCTGTATGTGAAGATCTGAACGACATATGTGTGTGAGTCAGATACATAAGTAATTTTATAGATACGAGATACATATGTACATATGCGAGAACAAAGTCAATTTATGTCATCCAGAAGTCGTTATCTTGCCCTGAATGCGTACCCGATAATTATGTACGTGACTAACGATAAGCCCGCAATGAGGCAAGATCATGGCACATTTACGTCACTCTTATACAGACTGGATTACGCATTGAATGCTACAGTAATCCAGAATATCCTGAGCATTAACATAAATTAGAATTGAGGTAGATATGTACATATTCTGATACATACGTAACAATTTGTTTCACATATCGCCGGACTTTCCTACCATGTTAGCTAATACGGCAAAACCTTCAATCAGCGAGTGTAATCTGGGCTGATATTGTTCAATATGATCGAATACGGATTAACCATTCGGTCGAAAGTAGATATCTCGGAAGGCATTAACTACTCTTTAGTCGAAATCAAGGCTAATGTAGGGGCCTGCCTGTCCGTCTGTCTGAGGTACAATAAGTTTAGAAAGCATTGGTTAATTTGGGCAGAATTTGGCAGGAATATGTACAAGCCTTATAGAGTCGCATATTTAAATATATGCTGCTCGGTAGTGCATGATTTTGTATACTGTAAATAAAGTTGAGTAAAAGTTGAGATACCTTAAGCGAGTTTGTAATATTTGCACAGTGAAACTAAAATTAACTCAAGGTTGGCCGAAGATTCTGCAACGTTGGATAAGTTTTAACCTCTATTGGATACATTTTACACCTGTTTTGTCATGACAAATTTTAATAAAACTTTGCTGAATCTATTTAGAGTGCAATATGTATGTAACTTCATTCCGGATTGGTAGTATGGTCGAGGCATTAAAATTGAAGTCATTGTGGCTGAATGGTTCGGGCTACGCGAAGAAGAACTGGGAGGTTTGATGTCATTACCCATAAAATGAGATCACCCACGTGTATTAAACCATGCAAAAAAACATTTTCTCATCACTTTACCAAGTTCTTCTGTGCATGGAATAACGCCAACTATTTAATTATAAGCCATGGAGAAACTACAATTTTTTGCAACCCTTGCAATCTGCACGTTCTTCCTCGCTGCGATTCAAACTGCGTCCGGACAACAAGCCCAATTTCTATCGTTCTGGAATACAGCGAGTTGCTTTGGAACCGCTTTCGCCAATACGACCAATTCCACGACAAGCATCACCGTCCCTGTTAACTCAACAACTTTGTCTTATCGAGCTAATGGCTTGTAAGTTGTAAATTTTGCAAGAATTGGGCTTTACCACGGGGAACGTCCATATATTATGTCACAAATAAAACTACATTTAAAAAACAGCATTCTTCGGTGAGGGTGCGACTAAAAACTTTTAAACAACAGCATTGAACAAATTTATAAATTTAATATTGACCAACTTTTACCTCACCGTGGGTCCAAAATGATTCTGCATTAAATTCTGCATTAAATAAATGGTGAGGTAAAAGTTGGTCAATATTAAATTTATAAATTTGTTCAATGCTCTTGTTTAAAAGTTTTTAGTCGCACCCTCACCGAAGAATGCTGTTTTTTAAATGTAGTTTTATTTTCTGGTTTTTGGGTTGGCATTTTTTTGTTGGTTACCAATAGCAATAAGATAGGTAAGGTGCAATTATCATATGCGATTAAGCAGCTTAAACGGCTGCAGATACCACCATCAAAAGTTTCTCATTTTTCAACCGATTTGGCTCGAACGTATCTTAAATAGTGCGTAATCAGTGCCCGCACAATAAAATCAATAGCCGGCATGATCATTGTATGGTAAAATTGAATTTCCGGTTCATTTTAAAGTTTCATAGGTCCTAAAATTCTTGTAATACTAGAGTTTTGCAAAAAGAAAATTGAAAAGACACTAAATTTTGTAATTGTCTGATTTTTTTGTTTCAAAAATTTTCCACTAAATTCAACCGTTCGAGCTGTAGCGTTGACAGAAGTTTTAGGACCCTGTCTTGAAAGCATACCTTGGCTTCGCCGTAACCATGTGCTTTTCTGTCGTGAGGGTAGCCCTTGGTTACTTTCCTCACCTCAGAAAAACGCAGATTTTTACCCTCGCTCCCCCTTCCCTATCTAAGCCTATCTTACTCACGTTAAGACGAGTAAAATAAGCGATCCAAAACCACCCACCCATGTTTTTGATGACGTTATATATGGACTTTCCCTCCCCTCTTCAAATTCATTTATTCAACACAGAATGAATAAACTATTCGGGCCTAATTTCATAAGTTGTTGAATAATTGTTTCAAAATTTTTGAATGAATGAACCTTGAATAAATATTTATTCATTTTATATTCATACAGAGTGCATAAATAATTTGATTCGTTACTCCTGTTTCACGCAATGTTTAATACATGGGGAAATATTGCAAAATCCGTTTTAAAAGACGAGTTTAGGATAAACTGCGTGAAAAAGAAAGGAATATTTATTTTCAAATTTTAAATTAATGAATAATAAATTTGAACAGATAATGAATATTTATTTTCAAATTTTTAACAAATTAAGAATGAATTTGAATGCATGACAAATTATATTTAATGATACATAAGTATGTATAAATATTGATGTCGTTTCACATTTTGGTATGAACAAAGGATTAATGTAATCTTTCTTCGAATTTTAAAATTGAATAAATATTTATTGAATTACTACGTATTTTTTTGAACAGCTAAATATGTACATATGGGCTGGTTCATATTCGCAATAAATAAAAATACCTTTATTACAGATGGGAGATCCAGTTTTGCAATACTTCTACAAGTTGTCACACCCGCTTTATTCAGGCGGGCAATGGAGCCACTTGCATAACGGACTTGGTCCGGGTAAACTATACCAGAATTCATGTCCACCGTTACGGGGATCTCGACCAAAATGAGGCCAGGATCACATTTTTTGAAAGGACCCTTTTCACCGGGCCATCCTACTCGGCTACTTTTGGTACCCCGTTAGACACCACAGCACGCCTGGCGGGGTCCTACTTCTTCACCGGAGTGAATTCATGGCAGCATAAACCCGGACAAAACTCGGTGGGAGGAGTTTGTCTAAATTCCTCGGTGGAAGTGAATCAACGCGGGTATGGATTCACGTACAGTCTTGGCATCAACGCGCAGGTATTTACATATAATCCTTTTCTAGGTTATGCATAACGATTATTATCATAAAAATTATATCCATAAGAAATTATAATTTCTACAAAATCGTAGAATTGATCACTTTTGTAAACACTTTTAATCTCTTCGACCTACGTAAACATGCGAGATAGGGAACGTTCATATATGTATTACGTCATCATTTTAGTAGATAGATGGTTTAGGTTTTCCTATCTTAGCCAGGTTAAAATTCCTTACCCTTAATGCTTATGTTGGGGTGGGTGGGTGATAAAATCGGGAATTTCTGATGACGTAACATTTGGATGGCCCCATGCATTAAATGTAACACAATATTAAATCATGCATGATTAGGGCGCAAGGGCATATATCCTTTAATAAATTGATTGATTAACACGCAGGTGGGGTGGGTGCGGCATGGGTGTAACACGACGCAACCGCCGCTGACGACTAGCACCTTAAGAACGACGCAACGTCCAACCACCACCTTAAGGCCGACTCCTACAACACCTACGAATAATACGGTGAGGACGACGCAAACGAACGGCGCCGGAAAGCTGGACAATTTTGCAGTTATGTCCCTCATTTTAATGTTTATGGCCATGTCATTTCGGTGAAAGAAGAATAAAAAAAAATTTGAAACAAGTAATAAATTTCAAAATGATTTTAAAACGGTTTTGGAGCTCTAGATTTTAAATAAGTACACAGTTTTATTTCCGTGACGAAGATAGTTATCAGGGTCGCAACTATGTTTTTCTGATAGAACACTAGATAAATACCTACTTGGAAAACTGAGAATAAATTATGAATTAATTAAACATACATACAGGGTGGTTTAAATGTCAGGTTACATTGGAAAAATTTGCAAATCTCCATTAGTTACCGAAATTTTCCCTCTGAAATTCAATATTTTAAGAATTTTGTGGTCAGTGTTCTGATAAAAATTAATAAAAATCGCAATCCCAAATCCGTAACTAATGGAAATTTACGAATTTTTCCCATTGAAAAATTTTCCATTGTAACCTGACTTTTAAACCACCCTGAATTATACCACAAAGATGACGAAGGGAATTGTAGGAACAATTCGTGACAAAAACGCTTTACTGACCATCTGATTTCAATGATCACCTTCTTGCGTAAATAATAAAATTTATTGAGGCATATTTTTGAATAAAATTATAATTTTTGTATTTATTACCTAGGGATTATACAAACGTGACCCAATCCTGAATCTGTCATGCCATGATAAATGGATTTAGCTTGTTCAGTGGAAACTAGTCATATTCAAATTTACCTTAAATCATGTCCAATTTATTTATTACATATTCATTAATTGGATGTGATATGACGATCTTAAATTAGCATAAGTGCCTTACTTTGAATTGGCGTGTAAAGAATGATTTTATGTTTTTAATTCGTATTACGGACCAGGAAACATTTGTACAATTTAACTTTGATTATCTGACGTCGCCTTATTGTATCTGAATTGTGTTAAATGATTTTTGTATTACCGAACAAGCCTTACTTTTTGGGGTACCTCATCCAGTTATGTATCTTATCATATCATCAGAACTTTATTATCAAACACCCTGCATACATTGCTGCGTAATTAATTAGATCACCGCCGCTAAATATGAGGCATACTTAATTATAGGGAAATATACCTACATATCTTTGGCGATTGGTGCTCAAATACGTACAGATTTGATTCTTCTCGTTGATACATTCGCAAATTTGTAACACCTTTGCTAAAAATTAGATTACATGACATGAGTTATTCTGTTTATTGAATGGGTACTTTTTTAGTGTATGTAAATTGATAATGTATATATGTACTTTCCACGAAATTGTATAAAGATCCGTGCTGGTGACAACTTCATAAAATTTTCGTCAAAACAAAGGAAAAACCTAATAGAACCTAATAGAACCCTAGATGAAGGATCCATTCTTATTTCCACGTAAAACTCATATTCGGCTCCGTGGCGTGGCGCCAAACTTAAAATCCGCATTTTCGACCAATTTCAAACCTACATACATAACTTTTGCAGTTTCCCTGGGATTTTCGAAATTTTACGCTTAAAATGATTACACAGATCACAATTTTATCAAATGTATTAAAAAACTTATCAATACATCAAAAATTTTTATTTTTGAGATCTTTAAGATTTTTTCTACATTTAAGAAAATATTAAAATTTTCCAAAGATTGAAACAATCAGTTTTTTGAAAAATTTCATTGAAATCGAAAGTTGAACTCCATTTGTGCTAAAAATTTTGAATATCCGTGCATGATTTCAGAAGTTATGACGGTTTTAAAAACCAAAATATTCAAATTCACCCAATGTGGCGCCACGCCATGGCGCCAAATATGAGTTTTACACGGAAATAAGAATGGATCCTTCATCTAGGGTCCTGGCAGATTCTAAAACACATAGTGGGTACCCTGGACACGACCATCACCTCGAAAGTATCTCTTTAGGTTAGGTTTTACTTTTCATAAGGTTAGGGATTCATTTTGTAACACTCCTGTGTGGTCAGTTTTTCCACAAATTTTTCCGTAATTTGTTGTAAATATTTGAACTCTGCGTTACGCTATTTTACACAAGAAATAGTACAGATTTTTTTATTGACAGATAGAATACTTAACATGTTGATTCTGAATTTATCAAAAATCAGAAAATCAAGTAAATTCAAATAAGTCAAATATTTAACACTATAAATACTTGAGATTAAAAAAGTCAAGGACGCTTAAAACGTGTGGAAATCTTGTCACCAGTTTTCAGAAGAACAAAGGTAGTCCTCAGACAGCCAAATTCCTGTTGACCAAAAGAACCAAAGTCCTCGATAAGTTCGCACTTATCTTTCGTCACGGTAGCATTGTACTTCGCTCCCTGTATTGATTTGACAGGTTCGCCCGCCAGGGTGACAGCCTTATCGAGGGTCCACTCGAGTCGGACATCTTCCACGAAGTCCTTATCGTCCTGGATTTTCATTTCAAATTCTGTCCTGTTCGAAGATACCTGTTCAGAAAATTGTTTTGTCAGTCATCCCGATTTTTTGACTGAATACTTTCATTCACATTCATTCATTTTTTGTCAAACTCAATTCATTTCACTTCATTTCTTACTTCACCCTATGTCTTAAACATATGTACAGTAAAAAATGAAAAAAAGCGAGAAATATCCTTTTATTCGCAGTCATCCATGTGAAATGACGGAATCTTTTATTCATTTTCAATATGAATGAATGAATGAATGAATGAAAGTGAACAGATGTGCTTTAAAATACTGCGTGCTGACCTGTCGCCCTGTCAGCTCCCTCTCGAACGCTAGATCTTGCCGGACCAACCCTTCCGGACTTATCCAGGCTCTCGGATTCTCCTCGAAGTGGTCATTGTCACCCCCGTTGTAACGATCCCGCTGCCCAATGTTCAAATATTTCCCGCCAATACGAAGACGAGGAAGCCACAGCTGCGCTCTAGCTTCGGAAGCTTCTATAAATTTAATCCCATCCGGGGCCTCGTAGGCGAGGCGGGAATCCAAATATTCCACACCCAGGGTTCCCACCACATCCAAATGAGTATCGCTTAGCGCGCTGAGTTTTAAGGATTTTAAATTTATCCGCATAATAGTCGGGGTGTTACCGTTGGATGTCTCATTTTCCCCGCGTGGTCGGAAGTGGGCGTTATATCCCGCACCTGGGGAGGAGTAACCGTAGTGGGAGGGCAGGATGGAGGAAAAAATGGTGCGAATCTTCTCCTGGTTATGACCCAGGCGGGGATTTAGCTCGGGTTTCTTGGATTTCGGAGGGGCAGCAAAACATTGAGCAGATAAGATGGAAGTAATTAGAAAAAAGTTGAGAAATTCCATTCCAAAAAAAAAACTGGAAAACGTCTAAAATACTTAATTATAGTTACATATGAATGCAATGATTATAATTCGTGTCTGGTTTTATACTCGATTCTAGTAGAACGCGTACATATGTTAAGCTGATGCCCGGATGTTACGGTAATTCTATGTACAATAGACATGCACCGAGTACTCGGCGCTGCCGAGTACTCGGCAGGTTTTGGCCGTGTTCTCACTACTCGGACTCGGCCGAGTATTTTTGCGTGCTCGGCCGAGTATTTCTTAAATTTTTATATGCATCCAATACCACTTTACCCGTTACTTACACCGCGCAGTTCAAATTATCCATCATGTGATTTTTGCAATCAAAATCAAACTTACTGGATATTATGTAAACAATGATTTTTTTGATGATCTTTTTGCCAATATACTAGGTGGCCGAGCCTTACTAGGTACTCGATTGCCGAGCTTTGCTCTGTGCTCGGCAAACGAGCAGAAACGAGTACTCGGCAAAAATATAGCCGAGTACTCGGTGCTCGGCCGAGTCGACTTTTTCGGTACTTGGTGCATGTCTAATGTACAATAGTATCATCTTACTGTAAACTTTAATTCCGAGAATAAACATAAAGGTGAACGTCCTGAACGGAATTAAAATATCGCATGTGGACAAATCTGTGTCGGAGTGGGGTATGTATGCAAAATTATTAATATGTATGTACATAAATACGTGTGTAAAATGAGTACTTTTTTATTTAACGCATTTTCCAGGAAGTTGTATGAATTCTTTTGAGGCAAACAATTGATATCATTTATTGCATGCAGGAAGTTAATCTCGAAAGCTAACTAGTCATGTATCCATGGGTTTTTGATTAAAGTCGAATTTATGTATGCTTAAACTATGTATGCAATCTACATATTTTCTACTAATGGTGCAAAATAATGTCAGAATTGTGTGTTTACTTCATATGCCAGCTGATTATAATATGGCGAGCTACATACTTCTAAGGTTACGACGGTTTGTTTTTAAGGTTTCGTATCCAGTTTGGTACCTCATCCAATCGCGGATGGGTTGGCTTATTAGAAACTTATGGTGAATAGTATTGTTCATACATCTGAAAGTTATGCATGTACATATGTTATTAAGTAGATCATCCAAGATACATACATCGGAGGCATGAATAGGGAAAAATTCCTACAAATATATTTGGCGACTGGTTCTCATATGCCTGAAGATTTTATTTTTCTTATTAATGATTTCTGAAATTTTGGAAATAAAAATTATAAGAATTTTATTAAATTACATGTTTCCCTGAGTTATTCAGGTGTCACATGTTTCTCCTTGGCTAAGGTCGAGGTCCCCTTATGAAACCATTTTGTTAAGAGTTCATCAATATATTTCTTTTCAAGAAGTGAATTTATTCTGAAATTTGACATATATTAAAAAATCTCTGTCTCAATTTTAAAATAAAATTAGATAGTTAAATATCCCCAAAACTCACGTGAGGTCCATCTGCCACTTAGCATCGGATGCGAATAGCGGAAACCCTAGAGATAGATAGACCGACTTTTCTGCATTCCAAACAAATGGGGCTGAATCGAGCATAACTTTTTTGTACGGGTTTGGGTTCCGAAGGAAATTAAAGGGTGTGAGGATCAAGTCGGTTTTCTAGAAATAAAATGGTCTCATAACAAAAAAAATTAACGTAATACTTCATGACTAATCACCAAGATCGTTATATGTAATTAGCATAGTTTTAATCAGTTCCACGCCCGGGAAATATATTCTGAAATTTTGGACGACAAGTTTGTGGACCGTGAGTTGCTTGATAAAGTGACGGCGAGTTTTTAAGCAAGTTTCGATAAGCTCTAATTTTTTTGATGGCATTTTAAACTTGAGATCCCCTCCATCAAAAAGGTTTCAAAGTTTGAAGCATAATTTTTTTACATAAATGGCAACGACATACTCTATAAATTTGTTGTCCAGAATTTTTAAATAAATTCCCAGAACTGAGAAATGATTTGCAATGTGATTTTGACAATTTGGCGATTAGGCACCGAGTTCTGCATATGTTAATTTTAACAGTTACGTTTTGTTTAAGAAGCTTCAGAATTCTTGCTGTTCGGACAGATGAACTTTTATTCGCCAATTTTATCACGGTGATTGTGCAGTTGTCCAAATTTTTGATTTCGTGATCAATTTTGCAAATTAAATCGATCAGAAATCCGGTAAAGCAAGGACTAGCGCGACACGAGTTAGGAGATTTTGTCTTTGAGTTAAGACACGTCTGGTTTCGAATTAGCGAGGGGTGATCCTGAAATATTTGGAAATCAATGTACTTGATTTCTACCGGAATTGTAATAATAGAAGTTACCTCAATAGTTGCAATATTTCGGAGCTGAATAGGTTCTTGAAAAAATTATTTAGTTCGAGTTATTTTATAAAATGTAATGAATTTTAATTGCGCCCTAAATAAAGTTGTGTGAGAGATATTAAAGGTTGAGTAAAACAGAGGATGACAGGAATATAGTAAAATTTATGTATACATATTTAAGTATGTATTTATGTATGTGTAGATTTAATCTATAAATTTATGTAAATTTTGTTGAATAAGTTTTCTAGAATTCTTGTGTTATGTCCAGAATTATTACAAGTTGGATAAATTTTATTCAATTTCGAGTCATCCTTTGTTTTACTCAACCACGAGTCGTGGTCCACGACTAAAGTTTCAACAACTTTATTTAGTTTATTGTTTATTTCTTTTGAAATTTCAAAGAATCGTATGAACACCTTCACAGAAATGAATGTCATTATGTTTGAGGTGCTCGTAGCCAGACTGACATCGACACGTGGAGTCAATGCAGGCAGTATTTTTCCAAGCACAGTGATCACCAGGTGTACATTTTCCATGGAATTGGATCCCTTGCCTTTTTGCAACTACAGCATTTCCTACATATTAATGAAAACCATACAAAGATTACTCTTGAAATTTATTCCATAAATTTGTTTCTCTATAAAAATATATATTTATTCTTACCTGAAAATATCCAGCAAACGAGAGCCAGTACTAGGACACAAATCGTTCCAATAAAATAGTTGGTCAATTTCGTCTTCATTATGTAAATATTTATGTAAATATGTTTCTGCCTGGAGTAAACTCGGAATATATTTCATGACATTTACATGTGTACATATGTGGACGATCAGGATTGAATAAAAATATCGCGTGAGAGATACATACATATATCCAAATTATTTATACACTCTTAAAAATAGCTTTGCCAATTTCAGAAGTAAGTGCTATCAATTAATTTACATATCTATTCTAAATCCATAAACTTTACTCTTTATCAAGTCACCGTTTCTCGTGATTTTGTATAGTTTGTTTAAAATCTAGTTCAGAATGCATTTCCTTTTCATAAAGGGTAACCTGATTTTTAACAGTGCATTGTACATAAATCTGGGAAATGTAGTTTTTTAATGTGTTCTCCACAAAATTTAATTTTGTCATTGGATACAATCCTCGATTGCATGCATACAAATAAATAGTTGGTGGAGCATTATGTTTTTGTAGGATATCATAATCTCCAAATCTAGCCAGGAAAACAATTAAATTCAATTATTGTATTCATATATTATTGAATTAAATTATTTTCAGTTTGTTAAATACAATGTTTAAGTAAAAAAAAACTATTTGTGTGCTTGGATAATGAAATTGATAACTTTTATTAGGCAATGGTTTACATTATTTCTATACCAATTATATTTACAAAGCCTATGAATTTATTAGTTGCTTAAAAATTTTTGCTTTAAACATTTAACAAAATTATTTTAGCGATACATATGCACAGTCCGTGATCATTTCCGGTGTAAATTTTATACCACGTCTTATAGAAGATGACACTTTCTGGTGGGTGTGTAGGGAGTCTTCTGTTTGTCCTTGGACCACAACGATTTCCCTTGTATGAACCATTTGTTCAAGAGCTGCTCATTATGCCCCTGCCCGATAAGTACCGTGATCCTTGAAGTAAGTAGATATGCATGTAATTTGACTTGTCAATTAAATAACCCTTTAACGAGTATTTATGATTATCTACAGGTGTACAGAAAATGGGTTAAATCGGGGAATTTATACATAACTATATACATATGTTGCGGTCATCGTACGGACGGAGGTTGCAGACAAATAAACCTCAAAAAAACTTAAAGATCCTAAATTTGACATTACGTTATATTGCGAAATGTTGAAATTTAACATTGGGTCTGTACTGGAAAAATCCCTACAGATTTTTTACTACGGAAAGAAAATTATGAAAATTAGTGACCCTTCCGAAACGACAATTGTCTTCTTTCCCCACCATACCATGACCACAATTTTTCAGGATTTCTTATACATAAAACGAAAATTTTCGTCGTTCCATATCAGTTTAAATGGATTTTGAAAATGTTCCTTTACCATTTCAGGTATTGGAACTCGGCCCGAGACGAGAGGGGGAATCCAATGGAAAAATGCAATTGTTGGTACGGATTACTTATTATGAAAGTGGAGAAATCCATCGTGTTTCTGAGTTCGGTGGTTTGTTTGGTAAGACTGAAAGGCGCCAGGACGAGATCTGTTTGCTAAATGTGGGAAGAAGAAAAAATTATGGGTATATTTTACAGTAAGCTCACACATACATACATGTGACGGTGTGCAATGTCATAATATTGCCATGTCAGAAATGTCGAACTTGTCAGATACTTAAAATTTGTGACATTCAAATTTTCATAAGTGTCCAATTTCTCCGTCATGCTTACCTACATATCACAAATGTTACAAATGTCACAAATGTCAAATGAAATGTCGAATTTGTCCGTTATACATACTTGTCATAAATGTCGGTCGTCACATTTCCCATAAATATCCGTCACATTGGAATTGTGACTAATGTACGGTAAAATATGGCAAAATTTGACATCATGGCATGGACAAGCTCCATCCTTGTGCGTATGTATAACGTATGCCTTACAGTTATAAGTTATACCCTTCAGTAATAATTTAATACCAAACCGGTACAACTGCACAATGTGAAATGGAGGATTTGATTATATCGAAGTTTTTGAAGTTTTTTGTGCGCATACATTTTTCGCTACGACTTGCATCAATCCATTGTTCCACGAGGGTGGATCAGTACTCGTGTCCAGGGTCCCGATGGAATCCTTTTCGGTGATTGTGCAATTTTCCAAATTCTTAATTGCATTGTCGATAATGCGAATTACGTCGATAAGAAATCCCGTGTAACAGGGGCACCGACACGAAATATTGGAATCTGAGACTTGAAGACATGTCTCGTTCTTGATCACCCAAGGATGGTTCTACATATGTACAGGGTGGTTAAAATGTCACGCTACAATGGAAAATTTTTAGATGGGAAAAATTTGTCAATTTCCATTTGATAGCGAAATTCTCTCTCCAAAATTAAGCATTTTAAGAATTTCGTCATTAGTTTTCCATCAGTTTTGACAATAATTATGAAAATCTCATTCCAAAATCTTATAACTAATGGAGATTTTGGGGTTTATCCCATTGAAAAATTTTCCTTGTGGCGTGACATTTAGACCACCCTGTACATATGCACTCTTAGAAACTGGGTATTGATCTCTGAAAAATTTTAATACCGTCGTGCTGGTATAATCACGCAATCACGAATGGGTATTAAAATTTTGCGAAAAATCAATACCACGAGCTTGTACGTGGAGAGTATTAACTTGTAATACCGAGTTGGTAAAACATCAATACTGACTGGTACAGATTTTATACCACGTTTACCCAGTCTCAAATCAGTCCGGTATAGATTTGTGCGCGAGATTTGCAATGTAATCACCTCACACTTGCAGTTGCAAATCGTTCTCTTTTTAAAAATAAGCGCTTCTAAATTATTTCGGCTAGGGAATTATTTGAGGGGAAGAAATTGACTATTCCGCTGGAAACTTTGACACGTTCTTATTAAAGGGTAAGCTTAAATTTATTTTTTCTTTTCGTTTTATCTTTTGCTACGTATTATATTAATCGGAAGGATTTTTAAACCACCAATTTCGTCATAGTGTCTGCTTTGTATTAATTAAATTGTTTTATATTTAGCGAGATCATCAACTTAGCCAATTCCGAGTTCCGGTCGTGCATATAGGATTCCGGATAATTTTAGGTTGGTGAATACATTTACAAATCAGAATGACTATTGAAATTAAATTAGACATGTGTAGATATTCTAAAATATTTCAACTAATTGACATTTTGCTTATCACTTATTTCAGTTGGATATTTCCTATCGAATTAGGAGTAAAATAACTTTAAATTGAAAAATATATAAAAATAACTGCCTCAAAGTGTGAATTATTTACACAATTTATTGTTTAAATTAGACATGCACCAAGTACCGAAAAAGTCGACTCGGCCGAGCACCGAGTACTCGGCTATATTTTTGCCGAGTACTCGTTTCTGCTCGTTTGCCGAGCACAGAGCAAAGCTCGGCAATCGAGTACCTAGTAAGGCTCGGCCACCTAGTATATTGGCAAAAAGATCATCAAAAAAATCATTGTTTACATAATATCAAGTAAGTTTGATTTTGATTGCAAAAATCACATGATGGATAATTTGAACTGCGCGGTGTAAGTAACGGGTAAAGTGGTATTGGATGCATATAAAAATTTAAGAAATACTCGGCCGAGCACGCAAAAATACTCGGCCGAGTCCGAGTAGTGAGAACACGGCCAAAACCTGCCGAGTACTCGGTGCATGTCTAGTTTAAATTGCTTGTGCGTTTAGAACCAGTCAGCTCAACTCTTCCACATTATTGTTTGTGAGCCAGTTTCATAATTAAGTTATTCCATTATATTCCATCCAGTTGATTTCCATTTTTTGTAAATATTTGTCATTTATAATTGGCTGATTTGTAATTTTATCAAATAAATAACGTTAAAATCAATACCAACCAGTACTAAACCGTTATTTTTCATACTGCATGGTATCAATCATCAATACCGTATTAAGTGTTTTAATACCGCTGTGTCTTAGGTTGCTACCCTTCGGTATTAATAAACAATACTACCACGAACAAAAAGCAATACCGCAAGTGACGTTTTTATACCGTAACGGTATAAATCCAAAATAATACCGCTTGGTATTAAATCAATACCAAAACGGTAGAGTCACATATGAATACCGCGTGGTATTGATCTGGTATTGATTTTTCTAAGAGTGTGTAGATAATGCCTATTTAAGAATAAAAAAGCGAGAAAACCTTACCTCGACCGTGACAATGTTGTGGATTTAGACAGTTTTTGGAAATCATTCAACTCGCTTTCAAAATATGTATGACGTGAATACAAAATTGTACCATGAACACGAACCATGACAACTGATATGGCTATGGACGGCAGCTAAAAAGTGGCCTGGTCTGCATTGACAAATTCCATCGATGCAGGACGTGTTGGTGTATTTGCATTTATCCGTTGGCGTGCAGTTGCCCCTGAAATGGATTTCCCCTCGATTCGTGTCAGAATTGGGTTGACTGGCTGTTTTAAAGGGGCACGAAAGTGGATTATGTAAATTAATGATTTTATGTAACAAAAACATATGTATTTAGACTGTTAGAAATCTGGCATATGTAGCCACACAGGTATTGATTTCTCTGTATTAAAGTTACTACCGCTTGGTATTAAAGTTGTACTGGTCGGTAACAAAATTATACTAGTCGGTAAAAATTTTCTGCCGATACATAAATATGTTAATACTTAGCTATTACTACACGGTATCACTTACCAATTACTGATATGTATTTAGAGTCATATATGAATACCACTTGGTATTATTTTGAGACTGGATTTCTAAGAGTGTGTATGTATTGCAACCAAAATTGATTTTCGTTAAGCTAAAAATCTTGGACTGCGGCAACAATTTGTTTGCATTAAATGCATTATTTTTCCGTAAAATAGGAAATACTTACACGGTTATCTAGAAATGTGGCATTGGTACATCTAGTTATTAAAATTACACCGGTCCGTAAAAATTTACTTGACAATACTATGTATGTACAAAATTTACGAATTTTTCCTATTGATAAACTTTCTAGTTTATGTATGTAACATTGAAACCAGCCTGTATATATTTTGGTATAAATGCACGTAAATAAAACTATGGTGTAAAATAATACTAAAAGACCTGAGGATGTAACCCGTCCAGAAATCCCGAGCACAAGCAAGAACAGAGTGGAGGAAAGGATTACTCGCTTCATCTTCTTGGCTACGTCGCTATGGCAACTGCTTACTGATTTGGCTCAAATGTGTATACCTCATTTGCGTGATTTGGAAATAATACTTTTTCCGTAATACGTAGTTTTATACCTTATTTATTTATGCAGTATCGTGATTGACAACAAGTTAGATCCGCATGAATACTTATTAAGGTTAGATAGGATACAACCAAGGACAAATTATGAATTGGTCTTTCATTATTTGCAGGGAGGGATATGTATATGTACAAATGCAATTTCTGGGCTTTGCCAATGCAGACACATTCCTTTAAATGATCCTTGTATTTATACCATGTCTATATAATCATGATTTATTCATAAACCAGTCTGAAATTTAGACGATATTATAAATTTCAACTATTCAGCAAGTAGAATGCATAATACAACTTTTATACCAAATTTTACAAAAGATGACACTCTGCGGTTGGCGTGTATGGCGTCTTCTGCTTCTCCTTGGACCATAATGATGTCCCCTGAATAAACCATTTGTTCAAGAGCTTCTCACTATGCCCCAGTTTGGTAAAAAGGTGGATCCTTCATGAGTAAATTAACAAATTAGTTTTTCTTATGGATTTTGAAAATGTTCATTGCAGGGCTTCCCAAGGTCTCTCAAACGCATGTGCTCCCAAATACATACTATAGTTTGTGGATTAAATTTTGTCCCTATTTTTAATGTCGTTCTAGTATAATTATCAAGAACCAACGCACCTGAAGTTACTGCCAAGATTTGACTTTTGCAGGTGACACGGTTACTTTTCGGATAAAGTTACTAAATAAAGGACAAAAACGACTTACAATGGAACATTTTTTCAAGATACACCAGGATTTTTTAACGAGTTATGTCAAAAAATCAAGTCAAAAATTAAGAATCACATGCCACTTTCTGTTGAATGGTTCCTTTGAAGAACAATATTCCCGGCATGTTTAAACTTTTTGGGAAATTTTCTCTCGCTTTGCCTCCACAGGGACAAAACAAGGGAGGGTGCGTGACCTATGCTGCCCAATATTTTTTTCGAAAGGGCCATTCAACGGAAAGATACACACATAAATGCTATCCGATTCCAAATTTCTGGCTTGATTTTGTGATTTATCTCGTTAAAAAATACCCGGTATGGTTTGAATAAAGGTTCCATTGTTAGTTTTCGATGTTGCATACACTCTTAGAAAAATCAATACCAGATCAATACCACGCGGTATTCATATGTGACTCTACCGTTTTGGTATTGATTTAATACCAAGCGGTATTATTTTGGATTTATACCGTTACGGTATAAAAACGTCACTTGCGGTATTGCTTTTTGTTCGTGGTAGTATTGTTTATTAATACCGAAGGGTAGCAACCTAAGACACAGCGGTATTAAAACACTTAATACGGTATTGATGATTGATACCATGCAGTATGAAAAATAACGGTTTAGTACTGGTTGGTATTGATTTTAACGTTATTTATTTGATAAAATTACAAATCAGCCAATTATAAATGACAAATATTTACAAAAAATGGAAATCAACTGGATGGAATATAATGGAATAACTTAATTATGAAACTGGCTCACAAACAATAATGTGGAAGAGTTGAGCTGACTGGTTCTAAACGCACAAGCAATTTAAACTAGACATGCACCGAGTACTCGGCAGGTTTTGGCCGTGTTCTCACTACTCGGACTCGGCCGAGTATTTTTGCGTGCTCGGCCGAGTATTTCTTAAATTTTTATATGCATCCAATACCACTTTACCCGTTACTTACACCGCGCAGTTCAAATTATCCATCATGTGATTTTTGCAATCAAAATCAAACTTACTTGATATTATGTAAACAATGATTTTTTTGATGATCTTTTTGCCAATATACTAGGTGGCCGAGCCTTACTAGGTACTCGATTGCCGAGCTTTGCTCTGTGCTCGGCAAACGAGCAGAAACGAGTACTCGGCAAAAATATAGCCGAGTACTCGGTGCTCGGCCGAGTCGACTTTTTCGGTACTTGGTGCATGTCTAATTTAAACAATAAATTGTGTAAATAATTCACACTTTGAGGCAGTTATTTTTATATATTTTTCAATTTAAAGTTATTTTACTCCTAATTCGATAGGAAATATCCAACTGAAATAAGTGATAAGCAAAATGTCAATTAGTTGAAATATTTTAGAATATCTACACATGTCTAATTTAATTTCAATAGTCATTCTGATTTGTAAATGTATTCACCAACCTAAAATTATCCGGAATCCTATATGCACGACCGGAACTCGGAATTGGCTAAGTTGATGATCTCGCTAAATATAAAACAATTTAATTAATACAAAGCAGACACTATGACGAAATTGGTGGTTTAAAAATCCTTCCGATTAATATAATACGTAGCAAAAGATAAAACGAAAAGAAAAAATAAATTTAAGCTTACCCTTTAATAAGAACGTGTCAAAGTTTCCAGCGGAATAGTCAATTTCTTCCCCTCAAATAATTCCCTAGCCGAAATAATTTAGAAGCGCTTATTTTTAAAAAGAGAACGATTTGCAACTGCAAGTGTGAGGTGATTACATTGCAAATCTCGCGCACAAATCTATACCGGACTGATTTGAGACTGGGTAAACGTGGTATAAAATCTGTACCAGTCAGTATTGATGTTTTACCAACTCGGTATTACAAGTTAATACTCTCCACGTACAAGCTCGTGGTATTGATTTTTCGCAAAATTTTAATACCCATTCGTGATTGCGTGATTATACCAGCACGACGGTATTAAAATTTTTCAGAGATCAATACCCAGTTTCTAAGAGTGTAAGAAACAAAAATCACAAGCATCCGATGTTGGAGATATGTATGGATTTAACAAGTTTTGTGAAACATGGGCGTCTGTGAGACCCGCGGAAGCCCCGATGGTTCATTTACATGGAAAAATATAGTAAGTTAGCCCTGGACAAGTGGGGGAGGCCGATGGTTAAGTACGTGTTTTGATGCGGATTGCGGATTATGAGGCTGGAGTAATCCAAAATTGTTTTGATTTCTGGCCTCTGCTTGGAAACATTGAACGGCACCAGGGCGAGATCCGTTTGCTAAATTTTGTAAAAACGCAAAAAAAAATTAATTGAGTTGGTTACTGCGTTAGTTTCGCTGTAGATACATAGTTGCAATTCTTTCGAATGGTAATATGCATATAAATAATCACAGAAAATAAGGCTCAAGGGTGTTGATTTAATGTGCCCCTGTTTTTCGTTAAAAGATTTGAAAACTTGTAACTCTGAGCAGGTGAATATTTATTAGGACATGATCTGTACCTTTCTTCATTAAGGCGAGAAATCGTATGTCAAATATTTGCTTCAATTAAAAAACCTATCATTGGGACGAATTAAATCAGCACGCTTTATTCATATTAAGCAAATATTAAAAGTCTCAATTGGGTGGAAAATTTTCTTCGAGGTTATTTGGTTTTTGAACAAATAATATAAAATAATTTGCCAGGAAACCTTTCATATTTTATTGGTCTGTAAATATTTGCTTAATATGTAATGGTGGAATCTGGAGATAAGTAGCAGCAGTGCTTTTCATTTAGGGTGATATTATCTACGGGTTTACGATTAGCCCCTTAATACATGCTACTGTTGGGTACTAATTTACTACCAAATCGGAAATAATACCTTCACCGGATTAGCTTATCGCATCGCAATTTATGGAGATATTTTTGTGCTCACTTTTTTCGCCACGATTGCCATCAATCCCGTGTTCCACGAGGGTGGGTCACTACTCGTGTCAAGTGTCCCGACTGAGTCCATCTCAGTGACGGTGCAATTTTCCAAGTTCTTAATTTCATTGTCGATCATGCGAATGACGTCGACTAGTAATCCCGTGTAACAAGGGGATCGACATGAATTATTACGTTCTGGAGACTGAAGACATGTCTGGTTAATGATCACCCGGGGATGGTCCTACGTAGATAATTATGTAAAAATTATCTGTAATTACCATATTTATTAGGAATAAGAGACTAAAAGCTGCAATTGAGGTATATGTACGTCGGCATGAATTTCATTTTTAATGTCTACAAGAGCACTATGGTATGATTTTTTTTAAATAAGAAACTGTTTTATACAAAATCTTAACGCGGTCAGTCTCTGACTTAAAAAATCAAACCATAGGCATAGGGTGGACCGAATATATCAAAATCAAAAGCGAAACTTAAAAACTTTTGAAACCCTGACCTCAACCGTGGCAATGTTGTGGATTTGCACAATGTCTGAAAATCATTCAACTCATTTTCAAAATAACATCGGAAATAATACAAAATCTTATTATGCTCACGAACCAAAGCAACCCTGCTGGTCGCGCATGAGCGCAGTGAAAAATTGGCCTTGTTTGCATTGACAAATTCCATCGATGCAGGACACGTTGGCATATTTGCATTTGTCCGTTGGGCTGCATTTGCCCTTGAAAGCGATTTCTCCATTCGTGCCAGGATTAACAGCGTCGGGTTGAGGTTGACTGGTTGCTTTAAAGAAGAGGAACGAAATTTATGTAACAAGATAAATACATACATATGTATTTATGAGAGGTGAATATCGTGGCCTTTTAAGGCAGAAATTATTCAGTAAAATATTTTAGTTGTCGCTCCAATCTCGAACTTATCACCGAAATATTCCGGTCGAAAATTTCTCCCCAAAAAAAGTAGGTGAATACTAGGCTTAATAATGAAAACTTTGAGGAGAACATTTGTAATTTACGGAGAGACGTTTTTAATAATTTTGATTAATATTAGAGAATTGGGTATCGCTTGATCTAATGCATGAAAAATTGTGCATATTTAGCACTAAAAACCTGAGGATTTAACTTGTCCAGAAATCCCAAGCAGTAAAAATACCAGAGAAATCGACAGGGCGACTGGCTTCATCTTGTTGCCTAGGTACGTAGCTGTGGCAACTTGTTTCTTATTTTACTTAAATGTCATAACTAAACAACTGTTTGCGTGATTTGTGATAAGTTATAAATGATAATGTTTTTTGTCGTGGTACATGCAATAGTTACATACTTTGCATAATTGGTTTTTGCATATAATATTATCCCCGGACGCATTTAACCCGCAGATTCACTTTGCGTAATTTCTTTTTGCATACAAAATTCTCTCCGATCGCATTTAACATACAGAGACACCTTGCATACAAGGTCATTTTGCACACCAGCCTTTTGTGTATTTTTTTGTAAACGAGCACACATTGATCTCTATCCGCCACACGTTATACAAACATAAATACTACTCAATAAAATTTTACACAAACTAGTTTTATAAAATATTTAGTGTCGTGATTGACAAAGATTTCAATGTTAGATTCACATATAATTGAGTTCATTTATGCCGTGGAGGCGAAATTTTACGTGCAGATTAAACTTTGACACAATCAATGATCTGCATTGATCATTCATTATTTGTAAAGAAGCTTATGTCGGCTTTGTATTGCTTTAAATGATCCTTGTCTTTATAGCGTGTTTATGTAATTATGCATTAACTATTCAAGAACTAGTCTCAAATTCTAACAATGGAGCCTTTTTTCAAAGTACATAGTGATTGTCGAGCGGGTTATACATATCTAATGATAAAGCCAAAAATTAGGAATCACGTGACGCTTATTTTTCCGTTGGAAGGCCCTGTGGGAGAAAAATATTGGGAGTCAAAGTCCACACGGATTTTACCCCCGTGATGAAAAAACGAGAGTAAGTAAAAAACTCCACCTGTTGGACAAATTTTGCACAAATTTGAATGAATTTTGCACAACGGTTGGATAAGTTTTACCGTTTGTTTGTGTCATCCCCATTTTAGCTTAACCTTGAATAAATTTCACTTATTTTTATTTACAGTTTATTTAATTCTCGACATTTGTATCTTGCACAATACTTAACTAAAACTCTACTTGGGGAAATTTTGTATGCTTATCTCGTTTTTTTAGATAATTCGTGTATGTACCTACCTTAGTAATTTTTTAATGACCGGGTAAACCTGGATTATCTCGAAAGGTAATTTACGCGAGTCGTAAATACTCATCTCATAAAAATCGCTTAATGTCACTTCATTTCTTCTCTGCTAGGGATTCCCTGGTTTACTTTGTATTCAAATCGTGTAAATACATATGTACCTAAAATTTACATTGCAAATGTGTCATCATTATGTATAGCTCACAATAAATTGGGCCGATTTGCAGATAACTCCGCCAGATCAATCTTCCCCATCAATTCCACCTGGCCTTGCCCACCCCATCATTTCCACAAAGAAGATGAACCCGAACAAATTCGCCAACATGTCGCATACAGAAATTAAAATATTTCTTTGAGCCTGCGTATTTGTCAAAATCTAACTCAGGGTATAATCGTACATGTGGGATTTATTAAGGGTGGAATCGATAGGGGTAGAATTGCGGGGGGGGGGGTGGAATCATCCTCGAGGGTTTTCCACAGATCAATTTCGTAATCATGGGATAATTCTTGCCGGGTCGTGATCCAAGGTGCACAATGAATACAGAAGTTTTAACTAGCGATTACAATATGTGCATCTCATTAATATGTATCCAAGCAATTAATATTTTTCAATTAGTAGCTTCCTATACTTAAAACTTACATAAAAAGTTGATATAAAAGGACACATTTCGTCAACCTGGACAACCAGATCTTTTCCAACCTTGCGACCCGAAGATTATTTTCAATTTCGAAAAACAAATATGTTGCCCCTTAATAGAAGCAGCCGAGTTTTTGGTAAATCACTACATAAGAAAAAAAATGTCATAACTTAATTTTAAGAAATATTCGGGATTTTCATCACATGTCAACATAATTTTGAAAACAATTTCAAACTGAATACTAGCATTTGAGTTCGCGAAAGAATTCTCCAGCCAAAATTTTTGCGAACTTGTCCACCTTATTTTTTGTTAATGATACGAACTCGAAATGATTATGTACTCACATTGCTAACTTAATTTACTTTAATTTTGTACCTGCAGCCGGACTCATAACGGTGGCACTGATTGGATCATGCGGAGCTAAACTTCGTCACAATGAGCCCCGCTGCGACCAACCGTGTCGAAATGGAGGTGACGGGATTAACCAGTGCTGCCAACAGATCGGCTACGACGATGGGGGCGTTTGCATGTATCCCAACAATATCCGCTCCGAAGGCTACGCGAGGTGTTACACGAATGGAAATACGGTTCCGAACGTACGTTAACATTTTCGGTTAAATGTTTAAAATTTCTGGAATTATTATTGATTTACTGAAAATGGCCTAATTTTGGGGCAAACTAGTTTCAATCGAAAAATTGGGAACGTCCATATATTACGATTATGTCATCGTTTTAATGGGTGGGTGCCTTAGATCTTCTCATCTTTCCCGTGTTACAATTCCCTATCCTTTAATGTTTACGTTGGATGGGTGGGTATTAAAATCGAGAATTCTTAATGACGTAATATGTATATGGGTGACCCCATTTTAGTTAGTCTAAAATTTGCGGAAGACAATCTCCTAATTAGGACGCTTGGCCTAGATACATATTTGCATTTAAAGAAAGGAAAACCCGCAGAAATTTGGAAAGTGTAAAATTTGGGAAATTTTCTCCTCTTTGAATGCAAAAATCTCCACCATCGTGCATTTCGGGGGATGGTGCCATAAACTTTTTTTATGAATTGACACTAGTTTGGCCAAAATTAAGCTCCATTTGTTAAGAAAATCTATAATGTATGTACAGTGCATAGGCCCCGACCAGAAATGTGGGAGCTATGCAAATAACGCGCAATGCTGTCCAGGGTACACCTGTTTTTGTGAAAACGATATGAGTGGCAAAATGTGGAGTATTTGCAGCTGTAGACAAAGATATGGATAAGTTTGCAAAATTTTTGTTTTGTTGATGACCTGGAATGATTTTGAGATTTAAAGAAAACAATACTTTTGAAGGATTTTTTAAAACCATTCTGCGATTTAAAAATCTAAGCAGATTTTTTATTCAAATCTTAAAACTATTTAATAAGGAAATAAAATTGATTGCATTACAAAATATGCGGGTTGTCGTGGAAATGTTGCAGATTTTTTGGCAAGGTTTAAAGGTATTTTTGTCTAATTGGACATTATCATCGATGTATATGTACATATGTATTGTATGGCCATTAACTATGCGTGCCTATATAAGCGACTTGTCATATATTTATTACCGGATAATAATAAATATTTATTTTTCTAAACAAAAACGATATAATTTAATTCGTACATAAGAACTACATACATACATATATGGTAATAAAATTTCATATTTATGTACATATATGTATGTACTGATGCCAATGCGGGGGTTAAACATTTTAAACATGTATGTACAAGGTGATTTAGATATTTCGCCACAATTGAAAATCCTTAATAAATACGAACAAAATCATAAATTTCCTTTAGCTACCGAAATTTTGTCGCGTAAATTCAGCATTTTAAGAATTTTGTTACTATCAGCTTTGATAAAATTAATAACAATCTTAATCCTAAATCCTCCTAACTAATAGAGATTTAGGGGCATTTCCCTTCGAAAAATTTTCCACTTTAACGAGACATTTAAACCACCCTGTACATCAGGGTCGTTCATAAATTGTGTGAAGCAAGAGGGGAGGTCTATGGTTCAAGTGACATCGTTACTTATGTGACCCATGTTACAGGTGGGGAGGGGGTCACGATTTTTACCTTACATAATTTATGAACGGCCCCACAGCATCGAACGAAAAAATATTCTATTTTGTATGAAGAATGCTATTATAATTCACAGCTTTAAAAGCTGTGAATGTAAAATTGTATGCAAAACCTGTTCCGCATATGGTAGAAACTTCCAATATCGAACAGATGTTGCTTTCTATTACGAGACCATAGCACTTGTTGGTAAAACATCCGGTAGCGAAGAAATGAAACGAAGAGAAAGTCGGGTTTCTGGGTTGCACTCGGATGTATGTACTTACATACATAGCTCGACATGTTCATTAGTAGTAAAGAAAATACATGTTGCACAAAACAGATGACGGGACTCTCTAATTTGTAGTGAGTCACTTAATCACGTAATCACTTGATAAATAATCAATAGTGAAAGTGATCGCTGACGAAATGCACGTACAAACATACGAGTCTGCAAAAAATTCTTCTAACAAACGTTCGTGGTGAAGAACTGTGTTCCCAGTGCCAAATTTTATTTCATCCAAATAATAACTTTATCAGTTCTGGGCTTATCTACACATTCTCAAAAATTTTTTTACAAAATTATGACCGGCGGAGATACTATACAACTCTACCGCGTGGTAACACTATAGTAACAAATTGTCTTCTGAGGGTAGGAAATTGCCTCCGGTATCGGTAATATTTTTATTACCTGAGCGTTGACATTGGGGGCTGAGCAGGATTTAGCCTCTGTATATATGCTACCCTTCGGTGAAAAATTATTACCCGAGCGGTGGAATTGCATAGTACCTCCGCCGGTAACAATATCGTCAAAAAATTATTGAGAGTGCACTCTTAGACATAAAGTATTAATAATATCCAGAGGTGTTCCGATCTGTATAAACATAACTCTGCCAAATTGGGATTTAATGAGTAATACTGTAAAATAATACACATTTAGCGTCCCCACATCGGCATCAAATTTTTACGCGTTGGTATTATCTCAGTACCACGTGGGAGGTAATTTAATACCGAGAAATCCATTAGATTTTTAACTGTGTAATTTACTCCGACAAAATATGGCACACGGTTTCGTGGATTCGCAAAATTTCGATGGAATATATTCCATCCAATTTTCCAGGGACAATTTGATCCGAGTAAATGGAGTGCCTACGGTGCCAAAGAGGTTAATAGATTGTGTCAGGAAAGCGATTACTTCCGGCTGGGTGAAGGGTCTCTTTAACGAGTCTGTGGAGCATGGTGCACACGAATTTTGCTTAGTTGGTGCACCGTGGTTTGGAAAGCAAAGTAACGGGGTTGCTGGACGCAGGTAAATTTTAAAAATTAAGTTTCCAATAAGTTTAGCAACTATGTATTTAATCCATTTTTAAGTAACAATTGGGTTTAGGGGCTGTTCATAAATTATGTAGCGCGAGAGGGGTGTCTAGCTTTCCAAGTATATCGTGTCTCAGTGTCACGTCACGTGACTCACGTGTAAATGGGGAGAATGGTGGGAGGGTCTAAAATATCAAGATTTTTGCTTTACATAATTTATGAACGGCCCACATCCAGCGTATCTTTGCTTTCCGATCTTGTCCGAATTATGTAGTGTCAGTCGATCATAAAGTTAATTAGATGGTATGAAATTTAGAAAAGATATGATCTCTGGTTGATATAGAGATATTTGCATCCAAAGAGGAGAAAATGCGCAGTAAAGTTGATCAATTGCACACTGGTCAAACTTACTGTGTGTTTTCTCCTCTTTGGATGCAACTATCTTTTTCAAACGTGCTCATTTGGAGCTCAGTTTTTTTACAAATTTCATCTTAATTAAATTGTGACCCATTTTCACCACATACATAATTGGAATAATAAATTCCGTGACCACAAATATGTACCTTCATTGCCAGTGTAGAAGTATGTGTTTTGCTCAAATGAATGATTATTTAGATGAGAACGTAATGCGAAAAATTGAATTTTCGACTTTTGAAAAATTGGATTTGATTTATTATTAAAATAAAAAACTTGCTACTTTCAACGTTTCAGGCATTAAATTGATTCAAGTTTTTTTTACCGTTTTTCAGACTCCTCGCGTCAATCTTACTCGAGCTTGCGAGACAAGGTTGGCAGTTTTTGCAAAGTTTTGACCCCACTCGGAAGGATAACGATAAAGACACCATGTTCTTCGAGTTCGCCAAGCCCGACCAAGAGGCAGAGATTTTTGTCGTGAGTTTTAACAGGACTTCGAGAATCAGGTTGGTGAAATGTTTAAATTGAGATATAAATAATTTATTTTAAATTCATATACGAATACCTTACCCAAAAATATTTATTCATTCAAAATTCATTCAGTTTGACAATTTTGAAAATATTATTCATTTATTCATATTTACATAATTTAAAAATATATACATACCCAGTACCCGCAAAAGAACTGTTATAAGAAAAACTCATTGTAGCGAACCCAGTTTATCGAATTTCGAAAAAATAAGTCCAGAACTGAAAAGCCAATGAAATTTCGCGTAGGAAACATTATTCACTTTTCAAAATGTCAATCGCATAAGGGAACACGAGCCCGGAGTCTTGGTATCCACCACTCGATCGGAGTACGCACGCGTTCCAGCGGGGATTGGCCTCATTTCTATACCGTTGAATTTTTTATGGATTCCAAACTTATACGGGGTTTAGTACATACATCCAGCTAAAGTTTGAAAAATATGCCATACTCCAGCAGGTTGAGGTTCGGCGACAATCAATTTTTTTCTTGATCCGAAATGGAGTCAGGAATTTTGGATTTCAACCACCCAATTACCGTCTTGGCCTCATGAACAGGATCTGAGCCCTGTTTTATATAACGGCCATGCTTTTGAATAGGTATTGGTTCAGTGGTTCCACAATTCCCTCAGGAACTTGAACAAATAATTTTTGGCACGAAATTTCACCCCCAGAGGAAAATAAATCACTTTTTCGGCGCAATTCAACTTATGCCCAATCAAAAAATCGTAAAACCAAAATGGTGGGTAAGGTGAACATTTTTGAAATTTCTACGAATAGTCTAGACCGATGGGGTGTAGAAACGGTATTTTTGCTATTTTATTTGGACTCACCCATAAAGCTGGGATCATCTGTTGAAAATATCCGTTTCCATTTCAAAAAGCGCGTACCGCATGATCAGCTTAAGAGTTCTAATGGGTCTATTTTTACTTGGCGAGTGGTTAGGATGTGTTTCTCCCCATGACTTGAAGACATAAGTCCAAGGTTTAGTTGAAGGGCTCGAGACTTTCTTTTACTTCATCCGATAATCTGTGAGGGAAATTTTCTTAGGGCTCGGCATGGATTTGGACGAATCCATTTTTTCGTGACTTGGTGAATTTTGGTGACCTTTTTTACCTTCTGCTTCCACCTCTATCTCGGTCCTCGACACTGCCAGAGTTAGGGGATCATTTTATGGTACGGTCGACCATCTTGCGATCAGTTCCGACTTTTGTTTAACAATTGCAAAATGACGATTTTTGTTTTTTACAAAAATCTTGTTGAAAAATTGCAACATATTGTTTCTCCTGGTATGTCACTTTGGCACCTTAGGTGACAAAAAACTTGGAAGCATGGTTTCTGATAGACAGAAGCATGGAGATTTCAATGAAATACAGAATATAGTACAAAGCTCTAAAAAAATGTTTTGCCTGCTTAATTTACCCGGGAAATCTTATAACAGAACTTTTGCGGGTACTAGGTAGATACTTACTCAGTTTTCTGGAATTACCCTGATTACCCGAGTTTCTCAATATTCTCCTTGTATTAACATTGGAAAAATTAATAAAGAATGAAATTATTCACTCTTTCTTCAGGAATATGAATTGAGAAAATATTTACTTAATTTTCAATCACCCAAAAATTTTGAAAAAAGTATTCACTCATTATTCATGAAGTGTTGAATAATTAATGAATAATTGGCTAATTCTCTATTCAAATTCAATAAATGAATATCAACAGGTATCTAAACATATATTTTGTTGCGAGAATATTTTTATTATATGAATGATTAATGAAGCTCTTAAGAATAGAATTATGTACTTCATCTGATGAAGTTCATCATTCTACATATTTATGTAATTACAGGTTGATTGAGCCGCCAAACTCGCAAGTTGTGGACGCGTTTAAAACCGTCGTGACGAATGGGTGGGGCCGTGGGATATTTGGTCATCGAACGTACTACGGCGCTGATGAGATCACGTTGGTCGGAACTCCTTGGCTAACGAGCAACAAGAGTGAAAGCATTGCGGCCAAACAACTCGTGGCTTATCTGATCTACGGCATGAAACGGATCGGGTACAAGATTTATGCCTCGGTGGATATTACGGGAAGGATGGCGGGCAACCATACTCGAGACACGGGTAATTTGGACGTCCTCGTTTTTAGAAAGATTTCAGAAACTTGGGGAAATTGAAATGCGTACGTGTTTTCCTAAAGGAAGGACGGGTAAATGGATGTGTAGCTACATAAATTTGCAAATGCACCCTTAAAAATGATGAGACCCTTTTGAAAAGTGAATAAAGTCTGGATTCTATATTAACTAAATTATACTTACTCCAGAGTAATTATGTATGTAACTTGATAAAGGGTAAAGCTTACCATGGATTTAGTGAAGTTTGCTCAATTCAGAATTTAGAGTGAATTTAAGTTTCAAAAGGGTAACATACTTTTTAAGAGTGTGCTTTAATTTTCTATGGGAGGTTTAGATATAATTGTAGTTCTTTTAAGTTTGGTTCGGACAATATTGTTTGAGGACATTTTAAGTATTTCATTGTATTGATAATTGCGAGCTATCTGCGGATTACAGTTGAGTAGATCACAAGATGGAGAAAATTGTGTAGTTTCAACAAAAAGAAAGGAGTACAATTTGCAATATTTTTTGAATCTTTGAAGTTTCAAACATTGAAATAGTAATCCTGGATGAATATGTTAAAAGTTATAAGGTAATTTAAGTCACTATTTATGTATTTTTGTTGTTAAAGCTAAATACGTACGTATTTATTTTTTACCCAATTTTGCAACTTATTTACATAATATCACTTTGTTATATAAAATTTTTAACTATGTATGCATACATACGCAGTGCCTAAACTAGGCCACCCACGAGGGTGGGCAAACTTATTGATGCGCCCCAAGCCCCTCGCGCCTTCGGCGCTCGCGAATTTTTCTATGCGCCAAAATGGCCATTTTAAAATTCGTTGCAAAGACATGGCTTATTATCTTAAGCACAATTAAACCATTTCCAATGTAAGTTTGTCCATATTTATGTCCGCCGCACTGGCTCAATTTTTTCAAGTACTCCGATGGAAATCGCATCAAAATCTCCGATCGCACTCAAACATTTTGTTCTCAAACATTCTTTATGGGATAAAAAATATTGCTCAATACCTATTTTTCGAAATTTCAATTTTTGGCGAAATTATGGCAAATTTTCAAATTCATTATTTTAATTTTTTCTCTCAAATTACTAAAAACCATTCATCAAAACAATATACTTTCCTATATCATTGTATTTCTATTTTCAGTAAGATCTAATTTATGCATTAAAATTTCCCAACTTTTTGAAATTTGAAAAACGATAGTGCTAAATTCTGCTAAGTTGATGGTCAATTTGCGACCAAGATATAAAGATATAGACTAAAATATAAAAAAATTGACGTTGGGAAATGAAAACGTTTTTTGAAATTCAAATTTTAAAAAATCATAAAACTTGTAATAGGCGTTTACGCGGCGCATGTACAAAAAAATGTAATGGCTCAAATGGCAGAAAATTAAGTGTCGTAATCCAGTTAATTGAACATTTAAAAAATAATGATTTTGATGAAACTTCAAATGCATGCGCAAAATAATATTTATTTGTTTTTAAAATTATTACAATTGTAATCCCAACAATGGGTTTGCAGGCGTACGGAATTACGCAACTGGGGTAGGTGAGCTGTCTCAACTATCCCATGGCTTTGAATTTTGCAGAGTACTTGAAAAAATGGAGCCTACTCTCTTGGTAATTTCATGGACCAGTTTTGTTAAGAGTAAGAATTATAGGATTCGACAAAGGAATCCGGCAAGTATTTCAAAAGTGAAATTAAACTAGATCATTATGTTCGCCTTGAAGAAAGAAAAAGATTTGTAAAATATTTTCGGCGCCAAAATTTTCCTTGGTGGATTATGAGAATAATGGGAATTTAATATGTTGGATTTTGGCGCAGGATATCTATCGAACGGCTTGATGAAATTACAAATTTACAAAACAAATGCATGAAAAGCTTCTAATGCATTTGAGGTTGACTAAATAAAAATCGGAACGTTTATAAAGTTTTTCTAAAATTTCAGACTTTAACTTTATTCTAAAGTGCATATGGAAAATGGAAAAATCGAATAATAATATTTATTATGAACAACGAAGTACTTTATCCTGGTGAAAGAAAATATTTAGAAGAAAGTATTAATGATCGTCGGATGTACTTAGTATCAAATTATGATACATTAAATATTGCCATTCCCATTTTTTAAATTCATTAATTTTTTGAAATCATACTCATAATTGTTATGCTGCATCATTTATATTTAAAGTTTTAATAGCCATGTGCTTACTTTCTGCTATCACCCAAATTATCAATTATATCTAGTGCCTAGCGGGGCGCCTACCGGCGCCCCTTCTCATTCTGGCGCCCCGGGCAATTGCCCTGCTTGCCCACCCCCAGTTTAGGGCCTGTACATACGTACATATTTATTTGAAAATGCCAAAATTACGGAAGTTAATATTATAATAAAATTACAATTATGAATATTCAAAACTCATACATATCTAATAGTATAAAATTGTGTTGCAAGAAATTCCTTAATTTAAGACATAAACGATATGTAAATATGTATTTCTAATACTGCATGATAATTCATCATTTTATGGATAATAATAATTATATAAACCTTCTGCGGGAATCTCACCATTCTGCAATTTTGTAGTAAAAACTGAGTATTAAGGGGGGTCGATTTCAACTTTAAACAAAACTCTTGCCGTACTTTGCAACATATCAAAAATTGGAGAAAACCAATTATAATTTTGCGATAATTTTGCTGAATGCTGATAGTTTGTCCGTTAAAAATTTGCTGAAATAAATTCACATTCAATTGAATTCAATTAAACAGTGTCATTTTTGGAAGTATATTTAATTCTTTGGTCCAAAACTGGTCATCTTCGATCCTGCGTTATTTGCAGTAGTCTCCCCGTCGCGAAATTGAATCAGAACAACGATAAATGTGATTACAGTGGACAAAATCTGCAAGCATTTCAACTTTTTGGATAAAAGAAATTCAACATATGGATAAATTAATTTTGAAAAACCTACCGAAGTAATTAATCTTCGGTTTAACACAAATAATTTCCCTGTAAATATATTAAGTCAATATCAGTTAACATTAAAAGCTACACTTTTAAAAATAATGGTATGCTTTTGAAAAGTATGCAAATATGCACATATCTATGCACGCTGAACAATTTAAATGAACTAAACTACATCCAGAGTAAACTTTTCTATTTATAAGTTAACTTTACAAAATAAGAATTTAGAATTCCCAGTGTTTCTCCTTTCCAATAGGGTAATATGATTTTTAAGAGTGCAAGAAGTCGTACAAATTTTTGTACATATTGTTTTACCTGGTTTTACTTGAAGGCGATTCATTGCCATCTTTCTCAAGAGGGAATTAATCTAAACAAATGTGGCGACCAAAACAATCAAACTTAGAAATTTCAATTGATTAACCATATAAATTTAAAATTTTATCCACACCTTAACCCTCATTCTCTCGTTTCTCTCAATTTTTTCCTCCAATCCTGCAAAACACTCGAAAACATCTTCCTGCAACTCGGTCACGGTTTCCGCCTCGCTCGCAAGCTGATAAATAATCGTTACTGAGGTCAAAATTGGTGGAATTCTCATCACCGCGGGACCATAGTACTTAATCAGTATCCAGGATAAGGCGGAAAATGTCTGACACAAAATCTGCACTGCACTATTGCCAATTTCCAGGATTAAATACGTTCCGAAATGGCGGGAATATATTTTCATCAAGGATGCCACATTGCCATAAGCTTTGACCCATTTCTCGATATTGATACAAAGTAATTTTTCTGATAGTAATGCCTTATCGGCGGCGGTAAGTTCATCCTTCAAACTCTGCAAGAGTCCTTTTGCCACTTTAAGCGGAAATGTGGCCCAGATCGTGACCAAAATGTGGAAAAGCATGGTCAAATTTGGAATTGAGGCTTTAACAATTCGGATAAATAGTTCCAATTTGAACCCAATCTTTTGTCCAGTCGTACTAAAAATAATCGCTGCCATGAAATATAATTGGGATAAAGAGGCAAAAACACATTTCACAAGGAAATCCTTTCGGATAGATGACTTAATCTGGATAAATCGGGGTGACTTTAAAGTGGTCGAGATCGCGTCAACATTTTTCAGCACGGACACGAATTCAGACCAGAATGAGGTTATCTTTTTGTAGAACATTAGCCCACAAAGTGCCCTGAAGATGGTGAGGTATACCTGTTCAAAAATATTGGTACATTCAATATGCATTCATTTGCAAAATTTGAAAAAATTTATTCATATTCGTTTACTTACAATGTTTACTTGTACTTAAAATATTAAGATGCATACTGATTCATTATTCATTTTACATTTTACATTCATTCATTTTGCGTGTTATCTTAAATTCGCTTTATTAGATGAACTTCCCAATATGCCATGTGTAAGTGTGTTATAGAAAAATGAAAAATGAAAAAAATTACTCATTCCTCATTCATTCTTCATGAATATAAAATGAATAATGAAATTAATATAAAATGAAGAGTGTGTTATAGAAAAATGAAAAATGAAAATAAAATTATTCATTCTTCATGAATATAAAATGAATAATGAAATGAATATAAAATCAATAAATATGTAGTTTGTCAATTTGAATTTTTTTTTGAAAATTATTCACTCATTTCGTATATATTCATAAATTTATGGAATCATGAATGAATAATTTCTGAATTCTGTACATTTTAAGTGTTTAAATGAATGTGAACACGTGCGAAGACATACCGTGAAAAGGTTTGAGGCGATTAGGGACGCCTTCTCCGTCACGAGACTAATGTTCAAGCGGTGAAATACGTCTTGTGACAATGACGTCGCGAAAGCATGGGACCCATAGAGTTGGGCAAGTACGATAAAAATCGTCCACAAATATGGGACACTGATGAAGCGAAGGGTTAATCTGCGATTGTGGTTATCTGTGGATACCACGGTTAACGGGAGATACCCGATTAATTGAGTTTCCTTAATGGCAATCTGGCCAAACTGGATTAGCGCTGATTCCACGTCGGATTGTGAATTGGTTGGAATCGAAGTAGGATTGAGGTCTAACAGAAATATGGACTTGGGCGATGGTTTTGATGAATATGGAAACGTTTCCATGACAAGTTTGGTTTTATTATGTTAAAATTTCCGAAAAATTGTATTGACAAGCTTTAATTTTTATTCAAATACGCAAATTATGTTAGAAAATTTATAGTCCTTGTGACTCGTTTTTTCCAGGTTTGACATTTAGTACGGCTAAATATCACTTATGATTAGGTATGTATCTGTAAGTTGCAAGATTGATTTGATAAGTATATTTTGCTAAATATTTACATAACTCGATACAAACTGGCACTTTAACCTAATAGATTTTTCTATGAACTTGCACGTACACATATTCGTAATTCTTTATTGTGACGAAATTGTGGAACTTCAGGGTAGGGCGGTTAATTTTGCAAATAAATATGGGAGCGTCCATAAATCACGTGATCGATTTTTGGACAATTTTGACCCACTCCCCCCCCTTGATGATCGGTGGTGATAATTTCGCTCCCCCCCCCCACCGGTCACGTGACAGGTTATGATGCTCAAATTAAATCATGTTGTCCGAAATAACAATATTTTTAAATCATTAATCAAATTAGAGCTACATTACACACATGTGTAAATAACTATTTAATACGCCAGTCAGACAAGAATATAAGTCGAAGCAAGTTTCTAAATATGCAAAATGAAAATCAAATTTATATAACGTGCGTGTGGTATGCCAAGAGAATTTACATACACAAACGTGTATAACTCTCATGACACTTATTGGCATATACAAAAGTTAAAAAAACTTTACTCATGTCACGTGACATCTGACCATCTACCCCCCCCCCTGTGATACTTGGTGACAAATTTCAGACCCCCTCCCCCCCTCTAATCGATCACGTGATTTATGGACGCTCCCTATTAGGTCGGCGATATTCTGAAGTTTTGTTATCACTAAAGATACACACATAATAAGCTTTAATAAGCAATTTATACACATATTTGTTAATTTTGTGTATAAATGCATTATGTTATTAAAAATAAATATAGTTTGTGCATAGTAACAATGTACGAATACTACATTAGTAACCTTAGCAGGCACTTCTTCTAATTTGGGTTATATATTTATGTAATTAAAACTAATTATTTAATGCTTAATTTAAAAACGTCACCAAAAATAATTTCAGCAAAGCCCGACCCAGATTTTGTTATGAAGAATGGGTGCATATTTTACACAATAAATATTACGTTAAGCTACAGGTAAGCAGTGCCCAAACTTGCCTGGCCCGGCCCTGGGAACTTTTCCTGGCCCGGCCCCATTTAATAATTTACCATGAGTTTATGCATAACATTCTAATTCTAAACTTGTGTGCTAAATCAGATCAATATGATGATAAGCTTATTAATGACGTCCAAATTAGTAAAGGTATGACTTTATTAAAGAATATTTACTACTTCGACCACTCTATCTCGTACTTCAAGGTTATACAATCTTAATTTTGCGACATTTTTGGGAGGCGAAATCATTAATCACCTCATCGAAGTCAATATCATCTGCAACCTCTCTTCCAATAGAAATTAACGCAAGGGCGTTAAGCCTCTCCTGACCCATTGTCGACCTTAGGTAATTCTTGACTGTTTTCATCTTCGAAAACGACCTCTCATTTGACGCAACAGAGACGGGCAGAGTCAGAAATATCCTAAGTGCTGTCTCGCAGTTTGGGTAGGCAGACGCTAAGCCATTGGCGTAAAGAATGTTAAGGACATCCATGGGTCCCAATTGAGCAAGGTCTCTGCCAGTTTCGTTAAATGCAGATATGGTGGTCTCCAGACTCTGAACTTCATTTAAAAATGTAGGACCGGAAAAATCGGAAGGATATTCATGACACAAATCCTGCATGCATTTTTGTTTCTCTTGAATTTCCATCTCTTTAAGGTTGCGACCCCACAAAAATTCAAAAGTCTCCGTGCACTTCTTAAAGGCGTCGAATCTGCGGGAGATTTCGGAAATGAGCTTCTCCATTAATTTGTCAAAAAAATCGGCTTCAAATCGTTCATAGTTGGTTTGCTTTTGCGCAACCAGAGCATCCGAACGGTCCATATAACGTGGATTTATCCCTCTTCCCTGACGAATATTTTCAAATCCACTTGACATCTCTATTCCCATGTTTTCGGCAATTTGTTGCGCCAAGACTTCGGATGACTGAAATCCGGTTTCCTTGAAATTCTCCAACCAAGTTTTGAGGACATTTAATTTCTTCTTGGCTATACTCACATCAATTGTTTTATCTTGCAGGTTGAGATTACAGATGTTTATTTGGAACAAAATCTGGTTCCAAATAGTGATTCCAAGTAAAAATTTATAGTTTAGCATGTCCCGCAATCTGCTAAGGGCATTGGCATTCACATCCGAAGTGAAAGACTCTGAGGTTGAAATTTCGGTAAGGGCGTCAACGATTTCTGGGTACTGGTCATATAATGCAGAGACGGCGGCGGTTTTTGATGACCATCTTGTGTTACTTTGATATTTCAGGGTTAGCTTGACTTTGGATTGAAGAACATCCCATCTTGATGTTGATCCGGAAAAAAATAAGTAAATATTTTGGACGTCGCCAAGAATCAGCTTTGCGGGAGGTACTTTCTCCGCTGCATTAACCCCCACCAAGTTCAGGCTATGTGCCGCACATGGTAAAAATTTTGCCTTGTCATTTATTTCCAAAATTCTTGCTTGGACTCCAGAATAGATGCCCGCCATGTTTGCTCCATTGTCGTAGCCTTGTCCTCTGCAATCCATCAAGTCCAATCCATCCATTTCCAGCTTCTCCTGGATGACTTTAGACAGTCCAAGCCCGGTTTTATTGGTCGTAGTGATAAAGTCTATAAAACTTTCAACAACTCGGCAACCCATTTCTTTGCATTCCACTGTGCGAATAACTTGAGAAATTTGATCTTGTCGAGAGGAATCCGGAGTGCTGTCGAATAAAATTGAAAAATATTTTCGTTCCTTAATGTCATTGACAAGTTTTGTTCGAATTCTTTGGCCACAGAGCAAAATAAATTCATTTTGGGAGATGGCACTAAGATAACTTGGGCTGTTTTTTTGTAAGCGATCGACGTGGGCGGCCAAGGGGGCATAATACTTCGAAAGCAGCTTGATGAGGTTCAGAAAATTTCCACAATTTGGATCGGTTATTTTTTGACTTCCACCTTGGAAGGCCAAATTATTCTTGGCTAAAAAAATATTAGGATCAATTATTAGGACGTAAAATATGATAGAGGACTACCCACCTAAGAATAGTACGGCGTCTACTATTCCACGCAAAACCAATCTCCAATGATTGATGTTTTCATCATAGGTTTTCACACAAGTGCCTGTTAGCGATGTGGGATCCTTGACATTTTTTAGGAAACATTTCCATGTCCGCGTCGCGTCGAAATGGCTAAGGCTGTCCTCGTGGTCTTCAACTCCCCGCTTCGCGTGTTTGAAATCCTGGAAACCGATATTTCCAACCCCCCAATTACTCCATGGTGATTTGTTTCCAGATTTGGAGGAGAAAAAGCAACATGGAAGACAAAATGCGCTATTAGAAATCTTGCTGAATCTCAGCCAATCACGAAAATATGATTCGCCATTCTTCTTTGATCCAGTAAAATATCTTCCCGAAAATTTGTGACCGTTAACTGGGACGAAAGTAAAGGTAGACTCAAAATTTGGCACTGACTGCAAGATTCTGTTCCGATTTTCCTCGTTCAGGATTTGGGGCCAACTACTCGGATCAAACAATGAAATAGCAGCGTCGTCATCAGCATCCATTTCGACTTCGGAGGTCGCCAGAAATTCTTTATTTTCAATATTTTCATTAGGAATTTTAACGGGTAGAGAAGACGTTTAAAAATCAATCTACATTAAATACATTTGAACAGTATTATTTATTGGTCAGCTTTGATGCCAAATTAATTTTGCTCAATAAAAAATGAGCTTGGCATAATTTTTTTAAAGTTCAGAACCTGAGCAGACACGATTGCTTCCTGATTACGTGAACCATCCGAACGTACATCGTCTACACAAATTTGCAATGATGTTGAAGTTGTTGCCGGCGAATCCGTCTGCTTAATAATTTCATTAATTTTCAATTTAGCGATTCTAATTTTAATGAATTTTACCACAATATTTACAATAAATAATCGTTCAGAAAGTGTCACAACTTACCACTGAGATATCCGAATGAGGCTGTGTAGGTGACTTAAAAAACCGCTCGGCCTGCTTCCTTAATTTTTTATCCTTATCTTCTATTTCTTTCTGTTTCTTACGTTTTTGAGCTCCGGAGGGTTCTTTCGACACATCACTAATCGGTTTCTGGTTATCCAGTTTATGTTTCCTCGTCATTGCGGGATAGTAGTACCGATAGAATTTGTGAAATTTAATTGTAACAAATTTAAGCTTGGATTTTGATGGTGAAAAGAAACCTGGCAATAAATTCCCGCAATAAGTTTGTCGGATAGTTGTAAGTTGAGAAGCGTCTCAAAAAAATTTTGGTTATACTGTGCAGAGTAAATGAAAAGATGGAAAATGAGAACATGTGCAATTGTTAACATACAAACTTCTAACTACTTTTTTACACAAATTACTTAGGCTTCCTAAGTAGAAAGCACACACAATTTTTTCAGGTGTTTGCTTAGTGTGTTAACTATCGATGCGCACTTAGGATAGGTATATTAGTGTCAATGTTTAGGTTTTATGTTTGGTGTTGGTTACTGAAAAACTATTTTTATTCATTTTAAAATCAACTGCAGTCTGAATATTTTCTAATTCTTTCAGCTAAAAAATGCATGCATACATAATTATCCATTGTTGCCACTCGTGTAAAAATGAAATAGCCTACATAATAGGCCACAATATGCCTGAACAGTGAAGGATGGCCTCAGGCCTCTGCCTGTTTTAGGATTTTGAGGTCGACCTCAGTAAGACATGAGGTCGACTATTATTTTGAAAATGAAAATCTTTAAAACTAATCGTTAACCAAAGGCTTCGGTAAGGTCAAGGCCGATCGCGCCGTGGCTTTAGGTTCACGATCTGAGGTTTGGACAGAAATTATGAGGCCTTGAAATCAGTGCTCTTAACTAGCAGGGCCAAGAGAGCTTTTGGTGTGCTGGACTCGGCTCGATAATAACCGAGTCGAGCTGAATTATCTCGAACCGGACTAAAGTATTTGCTTGGCTCGAGCTCCAAAGTTAACCAGCTGGGCCGAGCCAGCTCGAGTTTTCCTGTAGTAGTATGGAAGTGGTATGAAACATATACACGAAAAATTTCAAATGAAACAGAATGTATCGATAGATGTATATTTTGCAAAACATTTTACATGATCTAGTGCACAAATTGACGCAATTGTTATTTAACCATTTTGATACTGATATGCGCATAAATTTATATTTTGTGTTCTCAGTTATTGTTTATTTTAGGTTCAACATTAGCACGCTACGCCACTGCTCAAAATCTTCTAAACACTTAAATAATCGCCTGTGCAATTTTTTTGATGGACACCAGGGCCGGGTCCCGAAGGGGCCGGGCCCTGGGAAAACCCCCACCTGGCAGCCCCTCGTAAGGGCCCTGCAGGTAAGCTACAAATTTATAGAAAAGCCCGACTATTTCGAACATTCTGTACAAAACCAGTGGCTCATACCACATAGGCACATTTTTTTAACTCATTGTGCACTAAATAATTACTTGTAGAATTAAAAATCGTCTCTGTAGGTTATCCTCGTCGTAACCGCCCAATACTCCCTTGCATATTTCCCTCTACTGGTTTTCTCCAGCCTCAAATTGGCTTCCAAGTAGTCAACCGGAATGGTTAAGTAGTGTGCTGGATTTATATCTCTGGTTGTGCTCAGAACGAAATTATACCTTTGATAGAGAGGATTCTTAAAGCAGGACAATTAAACGAGCTTCAATATTAATTTTAAAATCAATGATTTTAATTTTGTAATCCTTACCACGTTTCCATGGTCATCCAATTCTAATTCAGCTTTAAACCTATAAGCTCTTTGAGGATTTTCATGAATCGCTATCCAGATAATAACGTCATCATCAGATTGAATAGCTCGCAGTATAAAATTATCAATTCCATAAGGCCCCGATATAATTGCCATGCTGGACGAACCATCTAAGTGAGGAAAAAATTTTCTGAAAGTGTATTATTAATAATGATTTGTATGCATGAATTACTGAAAAATTGGATAAAAACATGGTTTGAAACACGCGAAATACATGTAGGGGTTCCATTAGATTAGTGAATAAATTAAGTACCGTTTCACATAACTTGAGTTCACCGCCACAGACAAGGAGCATGAGATCCCCATGTTAATTTCGTGTGGCGGTGAACCCAAGTAATGTGAAACGGAATTTAATAAGGTACACGTAAAAATAATATTTCTATTTTGAAAAGTCGTTAGTTTCATCAACATAAATTTTGCGGTGAATTTCGTATAGTTTACAGAATTTAGAATTCAAAGTGTATTTACTTTTTAAATAGATAACATTATTTTTAACGTGTCTTAATCTGCACGCTATTTACTATTGTGCGAATATTAAAAGAAGGGTCATTATTTACATGACAAGCTTCTGTTAGGAAAGTCTCTTCGTTCAAAAATCAAACCACACTCCTCCCACTGATTATACCCATCCAGCTATGGCATTGTCCACAATAATTCTTTTTATACGTACATACTTATGTTCACATTTTAAAAGAACGTCATATGCACATACCTCGCACCAACTTCCCGCTACGATTCACATAGAACTTGACATGGGCTCGTCCACCAAAAGTTCTCACTTTGCGTACAGTTTTTAAATGTTCGAGGTACCCTGCAAAAGGAATTTGAGCGTTTTGACAGCCATCAGTTTTGAAAAAGCATTCTATCGGACTGAAACGTAACAAAAAATTAGTTACTAAATGAAATGTGTAACTTACTTATTTAGTTAGTTACTAACCGGAAGTCACAAACGGGTTGGTGAGCTAGTAATCTTGTCACATCACCGGTATAGACACATCCATCTCCAACATATCCACATGGCTTATCGGGTTCTGGCGGTTTAATATTTCGTGTCGTTGTTACTTTTTTAGTTACCTTTAACTTTTCCATATCGTCCAGCAATTTTTGTTGCTGTTCTTTCATCTCTAGTTTACTCTTCTTTTGAACTACCAACTTTTCTGCGAGCAAATTTCGAGACGATCCATCATGATAAGAAATGCGACAAATGGGGCAAATTGAAATCTGTGATGTGTGCGTCTCACAGATATTGTGTCCATTTTTGCCATGCCTTATTTTGCCAGAGCATAAATCTAGGCAGATGCTACACTCGAGCATGTTGGAAACTTCATCGACAGATTCTTCAAATAGGTAGGAGGGCCAAGTTTCTTTTCTCGTAGAAGCTACTCCAGGTTTTGTTGCGTTTGATGAAGTAGATGGTTGATTAACTTTTGACGTCGTTTGGTAGATTGAACTTTGAGCAGTTGGTATTGAGCTTGAAGTTGATGGCACGTTGGTCCGGCTGATTTCTACAATACGACGATCTGCAGACCGAATTGTTGAAGAAGGACTTGATGATGTTGGTATTCGAGCTGGGTTTAATGGGGCGACATGATCCCGCTGCGATCTTTGCGGTGTAATTTGACTTCTTGTAGCTGAACCACGTGGCAATGGTTGTCTTCTTCTTGGAGTAGAAGCATTAACTCGAGAGGGTATGGGAGAGATATTTAAAGTTCTCACGGATTGTGTTGGCCTTGAATTATTGGCAGAAATTGAGCCTCGACTCGACATATTATCGAGGGCGGGTCTTATAATTTGCAATTGGGTTCTTGGTTCCGGCAACCGAGGTGCGATAGGTGTTCGAGTCGTGGTCGAGGTTAGCGAAGCTAGCCCCGTGTTTTGGTTGCTTGATACTGTAGGAGAATTTGATCTTCTTATAGCGAAATAGCCATGTCCGTCAAATTGTGTCGTGTTCATAATGAGTGGACCATCCCACCCAATGGGATGATCACAATCTTCACAACCACAGTAGGGATATGATACATGACGTGGATCACGTGGCTGATTGTTTACCGCACTTGGCGTACTTGAGGATAGCAAATTACCCATTTTGACAATTTTTAAAATTCAAACCTATGTAGATATTAGTTAAATAATAGAATAGAACGTTATGCAAGGTTTGAATGTGAGAAAAGGTAAGTAATGTTAATTACATTTAAATAAGTAAGCTAGATATTTGTATTAACAGCTGGTGTTAATTCGTTAATGAATGCGACCACTCCTTAATTGCGAAGGCAGTACAGTTTTGTACTACATAACCATGCAACATGCCGTTGGTTGACGGTGGTCTTCGGTATACACAGTAGACATGCACCGAGTACCGAAAAAGTCGACTCGGCCGAGCACCGAGTACTCGGTTATATTTTTGCCGAGTACTCGTTTCTGCTCGTTTGCCGAGCACCGAGCAAAACTCGGCACTCGAGTATCGAGCAAGGCTCGGCCACCGAGTATATTGTCAAAAAGATCATCAAAACATCATTATTTACATAATATTTAATTACCAGCACCTTAATTTTGACAACTGGTGGACGGAATCACGTGAAGCTACTGATTCTTCTTCCTGTTCCAACATTTCGATTTAAGTTGATTACCGGATAGAATTAACAAATTTCATTGGTGCATTTTTCAAGTAAGTTTGATGTTGATTGCAAAAATCACATGATGGATAATTTGAACCGCTCGGTGTAAGTACCGGGTAAAATGGTACTGGATGCATATAAAAATTTAAGAAATACTCGGGCGAGCACGCAAAAATACTCGGCCGAGTCCGAGTAGTGAGAACACGGTCAAAACCTGCCGAGTACTCGGCAGCGCCGAGTACTCGGCGCATGTCTAATACACAGCAAGGATACAAATTAAATTTACATTGGACACTTCAGTATACACATATTTGGTTATCTAGAAGATAAGGGGCAGTATCAGGAATTGTTTTGTATTTATTGGTTACGCTTACATACAACTGTGTATGTATGTATAAAGCTAAAAATCTGGTAGAGTCGCATATGTGCACTGGTATTAACTTTGCATTAAGTGATAAATTTTTCATTCCTGGACCGTTACGCCCTTTAATAACGTGCCGGTAGAGTCATACATTTACTTACTCTGGTCAATAATGATTTGTTACTAATTATATTAGAGTGTATGAAAGAAACTATGCAATTCCAGTTAAATAGTTTCAGTTTTTGAGGTATGATTTTTACGCCCAAAACCCATCCTCGATTCAACATTTTGTGCGGTAGTTTCAGAGAAACTGTTTCTCCATCTCGAAATTGAATCAAAACCAGGGCACATGTGTTATTGTGAAAACGATATGAGCGGTCAAATGTGGAGTATTTACAACTGTAGACAAAGATATGGATAAGTTTGCAAGATTTGGATTTCCAACATGACCTGGAATGATGGTGAGATTTTGGAAAAAATACTTTTGAAGGATTGTTTTAAACAATTCTGAGATTTAAAAAACTAAGCTAAATTTTGTATTGAAATCTTGAAACTAATGAGGAAATAAAATTGATTGCATTACAAAATATGAAATTTGTCGTGAAAATGGTGCATATTTTTTGCCGGTTTATAAATAGATATTTTGGTTTTTAATTGCACCTACATTAGCATAAATACATATGTACATATGTGTGGACATTAATTATATATACGTGCATATGTATTTATGTGACTTGTAATAAATTTGTTACCGGATAGTATACAGTAAATACTTCTTTTTCTAAACACTAACAATATAATTCAATTTGTAAGTATGTACTTACAATGGAACTTTTTTTCAAGCTACACGAGATAAGCTTAGTGACTTGTACTAAAAAATCAAGCTAAAAATTAGTAATGACGTGGTACTTATCTTTCCGTTGAATGGGCACTTGGAGGTCAAATATTTGAGGGCAAAGTTCACAGTAGCGGCCTGTTTTTTTCCCAAGCGGGCGAGCGGAGGAGTGAAAATTTTCTCCTGCGAGGTCACTCCGCTGCCTTCACTCTCGCGTTTTGGGGTTTGCACTTTCATTCAATGCACATTATTCTTGATAAAATTTCACAACCTCGTAAATTATACATTCATATAATTTTATATTTACTTTTTAAATCGATCCTTAAAAAAGTGACGATGGGTGCGGTAAATTATAAGTGCGTCGCTAAGACATTCATCCAAATAATACAATTTCGAGGATGATGAATCGGACCCAGATGAAGAACATTTCTTAATTGCTGAAGTTTTACTAGAAAATCTGCACGAGATAACTTACAATTACATACTTATTGAAGAAAATGAAAATCGGTGGTAAATGAATAGCTATTAGCACTTATGTAAATTACGAATTTACTCTTATTTTTATTAGGTGGTATAGTGCATGATGTTAATTTTATTGATTGCGAAAACGGGGAATTAATTGATACTTTTTTATTACGCATCGGTGGATAGTAGGATCGATTTAAAAAGTAAATATAAAATTATATGAATGTATAATTTACGAGGTTGTGAAATTTTATCAAGAATAATGTGCATTGAATGAAAGTGCAAACCCCAAAACGCGAGAGTGAAGGCAGCGGAGTGACCTCGCAGGAGAAAATTTTCACTCCTCCGCTCGCCCGCTTGAGAAAAAAACAGGCCGCTACTGTGAACTTTGCCCTCAAATATTTGACCTCCAAGTGCCCATTCAACGGAAAGATAAGTACCACGTCATTACTAATTTTTAGCTTGATTTTTTAGTATAAGTCACTAAGCTTATCTCGTGTAGCTTGAAAAAAGGTTCCATTGTTAGTAGTTATAAAATTTCATATGTACATACATTCAAATGCGGAGATTAAACATTATACATAACATGTATAATGTGATTTAAATATTTCGCTACAATTAAAAATTTCTTAATCGAAAGATTCAAAAATTTCCTTTACGTAGTTACAGAAATTTCGTCTCTGAAATTAAACATTTTAAAAATTTCGTCACTATCAGTTTCGATAAAAAATCTCAATCATAAATCCTCATAACTAATTGAGATTTAATGGCAAAAGTATCCACTGTAGCAGCATGACATTAAAACCACCCTGTACAAAAGGGCCGTTCATAAATTATGTAAAGAAGAGGGGTTTGGGTCTAAACTTCGAATGATATCGTTCCACACGTGTTACAGAGAGAAGGGAAGAGGGCCTAGAAAATCAAGATTAATGCGTTCCATTATTTTTGAACGGCCCCATACCGTCCAAGCAAAGAGTATTTCATAAAATACAGTCAGCAGAATGATGCAGACGCTGTAAATGTAAAATTGTGTGCAAAACCTGCTCAGCACAGAAACTAACAATGTCGAACAACACAATGACATGCTTCTGTTATGAGAAACACTTGTTGGGTAAATCTACGGTGGTGAAGGAATGAAACCAAGAAAAAGAAGGGTTTCTGGGCTGCACTATCTACATACATATGTATGAAGGTCTACACATATTCATTACTAGTGAAAAAAGACATGTTGCACAAAACAGATGACCGGACTCGCTAATAAATATTTAGTGAATCACTTCACTTAATTACGCAATTAAGTAAATAATTACTTAATCAGTAGTGAGTCACTTAATCAATAATTGAAGTAGTAACTGACAAGATTGCAAAAATTGTTCTAATAAGAATACATACAAACATTCGCAGTTATGGGCTTTGTTCCCAGTACATAATTTTATTTCGTCCCAAAAATAACTTTATCAGCTCTGTGTGCTTATCTGCCCTCTTAGAAATCCAGTATTAAACTAATACCCAGCCGTGTTCTTATCTATCACAGTGTTGTTAATAACTAATACCGTGAATATACTGATAAGTCGGGATTAAATTTTCGTCACATCTGTAGCGAATTTTTGCGGAGAGGTGCACTCTTAGAAATGGGGTTACGATCATAACCAAAAAGGAAACGTATGTGACTCTACCGCCGTGGTTATTAATTTCTCACGACTGGGGGTAAATTTATTATCTCCGGTGACAATTTAATACCAAGTCGGCGAAACTTTATAATTAGTCGGTGACAATTGTACCCACTCGATGACAAATTCATAACCACGGAGGTAGAGTCATACACATATATGTTAACATTTTGGTAACAATCGTAACCATATTTCTAAGAGTGTATGTATAAGTTAATTGGTGACAAGTTTACTACCGAGAAATCAAATTCTGCCGGAGATTTGAAACAGTGTAAATTGTTTACTGCGATAAAATATGGCACACGGTTTCGTGGATTCGCAAAATTTCGATGGAATATATTCCATCCAGTTTTCCAAGGACAACTTGATCCGAGTTAATGGAGTGCCTACGGTGCCAAAGAGGTTAATAGATTGTGTCAGAAAAGCAATTACTTCCGGATGGGTGAAAGGTCTACTTAACGAATCTCTGGAGCATGGAGCGCACGAATTTTGTGTAGTTGGTGCACCTTGGTATGGCAAGCAAAGCGACGGGGTTGCTGGACGCAGGTACATACATTTTTTGGAGTTCAATTTTTAAAAATTTTTAGCAACTACTGCTTCGTTTGTAGGGACTTATTAAAACGAGGATAGGAGTATAAATACTGCCCACTTACATACCTAATTGCACGCTGCCCTCTGTGAATTGGGTAAGTGGGCAGAATTTATACCCGTATCCTCGTTGTAAGATCCCTATTTATGACGTAGTTGTCTCAAAAATATCTCGCGGCAAAAATATGGCGCGAACGCTTCTCATCATGGTTTATTTTTCCCAAAAAACATATGTTATTTGTTTTGGGGGGACACGCATTCACTATGTCTTGGATGGCATTTGTCGTAAAACCATTTTTATTCATGTTTTTACTCAACGCACTAAAATCTAACTCAATACACAGTTGGTGCGTGGCCCTCACATAACAAATCTTGTTGGACGTGTTCACGCCAATTTTTTCAATTTCTAAAACTATTTTCTAAGACTTTGAAATCCAATTTTGAAATTCTGCCTCACGCCATTATAGATAATTAGCTGATTAATAAGATAGTTTTGAAATTTTTCAATTTTCATGAGCCAATTTTGCTGAGGTACAAATTTAATATAACAGGTGGTCTTATGCTTTTTATATATTTCTTGTACCTCAGCTTTCAAAAACCACCGAAATATTGAATTTCTTCTTCGAGTAGGACAACAACGGCATTATCTATAATGGCACAAGAAAGAATTTTGAAATTCCGTCTGGCAGCTGAGAAATAATTCAAAATGTGGGGTTGTGACGTCATTATTGTGACGTATGCGATGACTAATATAGTCTCACGTTAACGAATCAGTAGATTACCCTGTCTTACCTAAGAACTGACTTTAGGGGCTGTTCATAAATTATGTATCACCAGAGTGAAGAGTGGGGATCTAGCGCCCCAATGATATCGCGTCAAATTATAAGTGTCACGTGTAAAAGTTGGGAGGGGCGGGATCCAAAATAAAAATATTTTTGCGTTACATAATTTTCTACTATGTTCGAATTAGTGTTAATTCATCAGGAACTTATGTAATTACGTAATTGAAATTTATGTACAAACGATTTGATCTCTGCCCAATATATTTGCATCTAGAGAGGAGAAAATGTGCAGTAATGTTGACAAGTTTCAAGTAACAAACTGCTTCAAGTATTTTTATGTTTTCAGACTCCTCGCCTCAATTTTACTCCAGCTGGCGAGACAAGGTTGGCAGTTTTTGCAAAGTTTTGACCCCACTCGGAAGGATAACGATAAAGACACCATGTTCTTCGAGTTTGCCAAGCCCGACCCAAGGGCAGAGATTTTTGTCGTGAGTTTTAACAGACTTGCGAGAATCAGGTTGGTTAATGAAACACAACCAAATAGATGTTTCATTAAGAGTTGTTTAAAACTATGTACATGCATATGCTAAACATTCATATCTACACTCTTAGAAAAACGGGGTTACGATTATAACCAAAACGTAAACGTATATTTATGACTCTCTCGCCGTGGTTATCACCAACTAATTATAAATTTATTAACTCCGGTGGTAATTTAATTCCAAGTCGGTGAAACTGTATAATTATTTAGTAGATGACAACTGTAACAACTCGATGACAAATTCATAACAACTGCAGTGGAGTCATATATGTTGATTTTTTGGTTATAATCGTAACCCCATTTCTAAGAGTGTACACGTCTTCGTTTAAAATGCATTCAGCTCAAAAATCCAAATAATATAAATTCTTTTTCGAAACCATTCTAATTTTTTGAATGAACAATTTAGTCATTATCTATCGAATAAATGAATTTGAACAGGTATCCTAATGCTTATTTGTTTATTAGCGTTTTTAAAGATGAGCTGATATTCTAGAATCAATAAGGCTCTTCAAATTCATCATTCTATGAATTTTTATACAGATTAATCGAGCCACCAAATTCGCAAGTTGTGGACACGTTTAAAGCCGCCGTGACGAATGGGTGGGGCCGTGGGATAATTCGTCATCAAACGTATTACGGCGCTAATGAGATCATACTGGGCGGAAGTCCTTGGCTAACGAGTTACAAGGGTGAAAGCATTGCGGCCAAACAACTCGTGGCTTATCTGATTTATGCCATGAAACTGATCGGGTATAAGATTTACGCCTCGGTGGATATTACTGGAAGGAAGGTGGCCAACAATAGTCGAGACAACGGTAATTTGGACGTCATCGTTTTTAGAAAGATTTCGGAAACTTGGGGAAATTGAAATGTATACGTCTTTTTCTGCAGGAAGCACGGGTAAATGGATGTGTAGATTAATTTGCGAATGCACTCTTCAAAATAATGTACATCTTTTGAAAAGTGAATGCAATCTGGATTCAATGCTCAATAAATTATACTAACCCTTTATCAGATTATATAAGTTCACCATGGATTTAATATAGTTTACTCAATTTAGAATTTAGTTTTCAAAAGGGTAACATTTGTTTTTTAAGTTTGTGCTTTAATTTTTGTGGTGGGGATTAAATATAATCTTGGTTTAATTAAATGTGGTTAGACAGTATTTAATACTGAAACGGAAGAAGTACAATTTACAGCAGTTCTCTAATATTATATGTCGTCGAGATTTACATAATTATTTTAAATGATATTTAACATGATAATGAAAAAAAATCTGAATGTATTTGCTGTGATATGAAAATGACTTTGGTGGATGTATGTATGTACCTTTGAGACAGAGACCAGTTTGGTAAATTTGAATGGTGCCATTCTGTCGTCCTTTTTCCTGGAACTTGTCCAGTTTTTAATCTTTTTCTTTAAAGTTTTTTGAACCTTTCGTGACCTCCTCAACCCCACCTCCAATAATTGTGTGGCCATCAGCCATTGGCTGGTGAGGTTGAGGGGACCTTCCCTTTGCCAGAAGTTGGCTTCGGTTTTGGCAGTGAATATGCCCTTTTTAAGTGAAGTTCAAGTTGAAATAATTTTAGTGTCGACTCACCACTACGAGGAAGAACATCGTAACCTCTAAATTGTCCCTCGTCTCATTTTACACTCTAAATTTGTAATAGTTGGCTTATGTGTAAAATAAATGACACCACCAAGTAATTGATTGTGACCACACCGCCGCCTTATTTACGCCTCACACGGTCACATTTCGCCCATCGCCATTTACACATTAGTCACACACACAGAAACACATAAAGTTCTCTTAAATCCGAAACATTATAGGAATAATAATTATGGATAAATATATTAAAAAATTATCGAGTAATTTACATGCAGACCAATGAAGTTAAAGCGAAATATTTACATAGGTATTTTCTACCTATATTTGCAGCTTACATAATAATCATTTCGTCAAACTGAAATTTATTTAAGTAGCTAAATATGTATTCGTTTGCAAATGTCAATTTATATTTTAATAAAATCACAATTACTCATTTTGTCTCAAACTTGCCTCATTAGATCGATTTTGCAATATACAAATTATTTTTTTCGTACCTCGCCAACGATGAAAAATTAATAAATCTGTTCATTCATCCTTTATGAATATCAAATGAATAAATATCTATTCCATATTCATTCATCATTTTTCAAAAATTTAATAAATTTATTGAATTATGAACGAATAATGTCCTCATTCTGTATTTAGTTAATGAATATGAACAGGTATGGATTCCATACTATGGAACCCTACCGTAAAAAAGTTTGAGGCGATTAAGGACACCTTTTCGGGGACGAGAGTGATGTTCAGGCGGTGAAATACGTCTTACAATTACGATGAGGGCTGTCCATAAATACGGGATTCTAAAGATACGAAGGGTTAATCGACGATTGTGCGTATGCAAATCTGTGGCTACCACAGTCAGTTGGAGATATCCAATTAGTTGGGTTGCCTTAATGGCATTCTGACCAAACAGGATCAGGTCCGTTTAGACGTCGGATTGCAAATTGTTTGGATTTGGGGTAGGTTTTAGGTGTAACATAAATACGGACTTGGACTTTAACGTGATGAATATGGAGAAGCTGCTATGACAAGTTTGCTTGAACTGAAGACAATTATTGCTAAAATTTCTGAAGAATTGTACGTGTAAGTTTTAATTTTTATTGAAGTATGTATGTATATTTCTTTTAATTGGCATTTGATAATGTTGTCACTCGTGTCTGTCAGTTTGGTTATACTGATTTTGCAAAATTACACAATGATGGCTAGGAATTTCTGAAGAATTGTAGTTATGTACAACTTTTAATGTACCCTAAGACATCACTTTGGGAAATTGATTAATGATGTGACTCATTTTGGCCGGTTTTGATATTTATTTATTACGATCATCCACATACATAAGTTTGAACAGGTTACTTTGATTATCATATTTTCCTACATAAATATGTACTTATATAAGTCAACACAAACTAATAAATACGTACCGTAAATTATTATTGTTCTTTCCATGTTCATTTTACATACATTTATTTCGAAAAAGCTAAACGACCAGCGCCGTACATAAATTTCCCTATCTGAATATTCAAAAAAATTCCTCTAATTGTTGTCGTCCTAAAGATAAAAAACCTCATCCAGCTCTCGTCCTGCTGGCAGAGATCCTAAAATCGCGGCCACATTTCCGCGTTGAACTGCAATACTAATTCTTTGGATGAGAAAATTCGTTGCCCTCTTCTCGTCCGTGAGGGCTGTGATCCTTGTCCCTATTTCTTTGGTAAGGGACAAGCCCTCCTTGCCCCATACTCCAGTTGTTTCAACGGCTACGGGAACAAAGAGGAATCTGTCCAGAAGGTCTTCGAAGGTCTTCGTACCTTTTTGTCTTCCTGTCCTCCGCCCTCTCGGCTGCCGCACCAGGATGAACACAGGTTTGGGGGAGGTAAGACGGTGCAAAAGTGTCGACACACGTAAAGTCCCATACCAGGGGCCGCCCTCTTGCCCATGGAACCAATGTCAGTCCGTCAGGGCGCTTCCCGTCTGGCCGGGAACAACCGGCTGGCTCTTTAATGGTGGGGGCTCCGGAGGAACGAAGAGCTCTCCAAATCACGTCATTTGCTGCGGCATGGCGGGAATGACGCCCCGCAATACTTTTGCAGCTCAGGCCATGGTAGCCTTTTGATGTGACCATAGCTCCGCATGGACATTTATGGGAGTGGCAGACGTCGCATCCAAGACGGAGGGCACAAGCGATGCGAAACGTCTCATTTGGGAGTAGCGTCCCAAGTTGTGGCGAAGGTACGGCATTGAGCCACGCCCCCACATGCAGTTGTCCCATGGCAAGGAGACGAGCTTTATCCTCTGGAGTAGATGCTCTATTTCTGAGGTGGTTGATAGCGGCCTCTTGCTGAGGCACCTCCCACGAGGCCTGAAAACCTCTAACTTCCGGCGGGGGAAATTCTGCGGGTCCCATTGGATTCCATCCCTCTTCTCCTTCTTGCAATGCGGTGACGGTGCCATGGAGGTATGGCGGGAGTAGGCGTTCTACAAGGGGGAGGACACTGTAAGCGGACGCGAGAAAACACGGAATCGCCACGTCTACAGCGTGCCTAACCCCCAAGCCGCCATCGCCGACGGGAAGGGAGGACTGAAGCCAAGATTGCGGGGAAAGTGAGCAGTTGAGGATCCCCTCCATTGACTCCTTTAGTTTGGCGTCATAAAGAGTGAGGGCGTCGAATCTCCGCCAAGTCGGGGCACACCGCAAAAAATAAATAAGGCGGGGTGTAGAGATGGACGCCCGAAGGGGGAAAAACGCAGAGTGGGAGGAGAGTTCAAGGAGTCGGGCGCCCAGTTTGGCAAGTTGGTCGGTCTTTGTCCCCACCACCGACTCGATGGCCTCGTCAGTAAGCGGGGCGCCAAGCAGGACGGCGGTTGCGGGGGATATCTCCTGTATCCCTGGCGCCGCCTGTCGGAACCGCTCCAAAATTTTAGAGCGGGTATGGTCGTCCGCTCCAAGCACACCAACCTAATAAACTAATAAATATGTACATACATATGCACATATGTTGAACTATTAAATTAATTTCTGGATCTGCATGTAAATAAATATGCACTCAAAACAAAACGGTGTCAATATATGACTTAACCGCTTTGGTTACAACTGTAATTCCGAGTAGTAATGAAATTTTTCCGTCCGGTCATAACATTATAACCCTACCCATCATAACACTACCGGTATCAAAATCATCATAACTCGGATTCAACATTGTAACCAAGGCGGTTAAGTCATATATTGACACCGGCGGTGTTGATTTGACAAATTTTTATTTTGAGTGTATACATATGAACATACAAACGTATTTACATATTGTATTACTTCGGAGTTGGGCAGTTAATTTGGCAAATATTATGTCGGCGAACTTTTAAAGTCATGTTATCAATCAAGGACATACATATTAAACTTTAATAATTAATGGATACACACATTTGTATACATAAATATGCTGCATGAATAAATGTATTACGGTATTACGTAAAAATAACTTGCATGTGAATCGTAACATCTACTAATGCAACCTTATCTAACAGGCATTTCGTCTAATTCGAATTACTCATTCAAATTACTCATTAATTACTCATTCGAATTACTCATATTCAGTTCATTAAAATTAATTCATTCTTTATTGCATAATTTAAAAATTTCTCAAAAAGTCACCTCCTTTTTAGTTATCCTCAACTTGTCCACATTGTCCAGCAATTTTTGCTGTTGTTCCTTCATCTCTAATTTGCTCCTTTCTTGAACCACCAACTTTTCCGCGAGAAGATTTCGAGATGATCCCTCATTATATGCTACACTCCAACCTGTTAGAAACTTCATCCACTGATTCTTCGAATAGGAAGGATGGCCAAGTTTCCTTTGTTGTGGACGAAATTTTTAGAGATTTAGGTACGTTTGTCGAAGTAGATGGTCGATTAACATTTGGTGCTGTTGGATAGACTGAAGAAGGTTGAACAGCTGGAATTGACCATGATGTTGATGGTAACATGATCCAGTTTGTATCTATAATTCGGCGATCTGTTGACGATGTTGCTGATCGAATTGGATTGGATGGCGACACTGGACTTCTAAGCGATGTTTGTGGTTGAAGTTGAGTTCTTGCAGGAGCACCACAATTAGTAGAAATTGAGGGTCTACTGGTTGTGTAAGCTAGTGAGGAGGGTATAATTTGCGGTTGGGGTCTTGGTTCCGACCAAGACAGCGATCCTGTTTTGACAGAAGATCGAGACGCGGTCGGTATTGATCTTGAGCTTGGAGTTCTTGATGCAACATAAGTGCTGGAATTATATGATCCTCTTACTGGATCGGGTGAATAATCGGTAAAACCGTATGATTGTGTTGTGTTCATTCCGGGAGAATTATCGTACACGTATGGATCACAATCTGCACAACCACAGCCGTAGTCACATGCATAGCGTACTTCTCTGGGAGGATTTGAGGGTATAAAATTACCCATTGTGGCCAGTTTAAAGTTAAAAACGTATATGTTACTTATCTAGGATAAAAAGTATCGATGGAATAATATGAATTTTTAAAATATGAAACTTCACTAAACTTCACTAATATTTATTAAGTGTTTTTCGATTGATTAATTAATTTGTTACTGAATGCGACCACTCCTTAAAAAGTACATACGTATTCACTTGCACAGATAATACGCACCATTCAACACGACAGTGACCAGTTGCATGGACATATGTACAGAAAGAATATAGGCTACATTTGCATTGTGCTTCAACAAACAAGTATTTGTTTATCTTAAAGATAAGGGGCAATATCAGTAATTGTTTCGTATCTATTTATTAGTTTACAACTGAATATTTAGTACAAGTTTATTCATATTTTATCTACAATTGACTTGCTTGATTACTCATACAGACTTACAAACTATTTCCTGGAATGGGTGGTTTCACCTCACCATAAAATGATGTTATTCTCATATCACCTATTCGGATGGTTTCGTTGCGAAACTCTGTTTGGCTGCGACACCTTCAATATCTTCGCTCTAAATAAAACTTGTGCTAAATTTACTAAAGGTTGAGTAATAAAAAAATAGGATGACACAGTAATTCGGTAAAATTTATCCAGCCGATGTGCAAAATGTATACACTTTGTGTAAAATTTATGAACCGTTGCACAAATTTTATCCAATTATTGTGTCATTCTCTTTTTTACTAAACCTTTAGCATGACTTTGATTTATGTATAGTGCCTGTATGCATACATTGTTATAAATTTTGTAATTTATTTTAATTTGTGAGCTAAACACGTTTTCGTGAATAAAATGCTGATGAAAACGCACATTGTATAAATATTTCTAAATTTTGTATTTAGTTTTACAACTGAATAAATGATTAAATTGTTAAATAGTAACATTTTTTGAGGTAAAACTTGTTCGTTCGAAACTCGTCCTTGATGCTGCGTTTTGCATAGTTTCTCCGTCTCGAAATTGAATCAGAACAACGATAAATGTAACTACGGTGGACAGAATCTGCAAGCATTGCAACTTATTACATGGAAAGTTTTTAAATATTTATGTATATACATAAGAATTAAATATGTAATTCTGAGTAGCCTACCGAAGTAATTAATTTGCGGTTTAAGACAAAGAACTTCCCTGGAACGACAAGTTAATATTATTTACTAAAGTTCTGAGGCTGCACTCTTAAAAATACATAATACATAATATTTCCCCTTTCTAAAGTAAATGCAGTCGGGATTCTACAGAAATTCAGGAAAGTTAACTTAAATCCATAAGAACCTGTTGAAAAAATGTGTTTTCATTCAAAGCTCATTCATCTCGATCTAGAATTGAAGATCTTCATTCTGATTCAGTCATTTTCTTTCAAACTAATTTCATTTCACTCCATCGGACTTAATTTCTTACTTCGACCAATGTATGAAACAACAGGTGAAAAATTAAAGGAGTGAGAAATTCTTTCACTCATCTGAAATGACGGAATCCTTCATTCTTGCATGACACAATTCATTTTCATTCAGTATCGTGATCAGTCAAATGAATGAAGGTGAACAGATATGACTACTTAAATCAAGAGCAACGTTTACTTGTCAAAAAATAAATTTCACTCTATATTTGATCTGGTTTCCTTATATTGAAATCAGAGTGCATTTTCATTTTACAAGGTAACATTATCCATTTTTAACAGTGTAACTCGTATCAATTATGCTCTACATTTTACCCGGTTTAATTAGAAAGTGATTCATTGTCATTACAGATTTTGCAAGTTACCAATGAGTACGTGAAGTGCCTCAGTGGCTGCTAAAAATTTCCAAAAAGTTATGTAGGTATGTATGTACAAATTTTTATTTTTATTGAAGTATGTATAATACATTTGAAGAGCGATAAATGAAACTTTTTTTCAGTTTTGATATTTATAAAGGCTAACCATCAATTATGATTATTATGAAAATTTTAATATCATTCTTATCAGCTACTTTTCATAAGTATGTATCTACTTAACTCAATTCTAGTGTGTATATAGTTTAGCCTATTACACTATTTTGTACACACGTTGTGTACCTTCAGGGTTAGGCCGAGAAATTAGCAAATGTTCTGTCGATATTAAGCAAATTGCTAGACTGATGTCATGTACCATTAGAGGTATTAAGGATTAACATGTTCATCTTTCATTGTGTTATATATAGTTGTGAGTCCAAAATGGGAAGATTTGATAAACCGGGGTTTCGATTAATCGGATTTTGCAAAATTTACGACAAGCCGATTATCGCTTAATCCAGATTTTAAAAATTTTAAGAAACCTGCTCTCTATTCTGTGGGAAACCACTTTTAGTGCAAATTTTAATAAGTTTATAAATATAATACCCAAATATTGAATGTAAAATTAAAATTAAATGTATACTTGAGAATAAGTTATTGCAGAACAACTAAGAACGAACTATTTTTATCTCAACAAGAAACATGAAGGGTTTTTTCTATTACATGTAAACCGAAAAACGGTGTTCGTATATGCAAAAACCTGTTTCCTATAAAACTGGAAACTACAATATTCGCACTTGAATATTAAATACGACTCTGCTCTGTTTCATCTATTTTAGTACATAAGCCAAAACAAGAAATGTATTTACATAGATAAATATATTAGCATCTTATACCGTATAGGATATAAATAAAGTTTTATATGTAGTTGTATGTATGTACCGATGAAATAGCACATGCCAACCATGAGCTTCGGTAATCATTGCGTGACATTTTTGGTTTCACAGAAAAAAAAGTTCATTATGCAAATTGATCTTTTCTAAATTTAAAATGTTTTGTCTTCTAATTTGCAACACATCCTTACAAGGTTTTAAAGAAGCACGCGATCACGCGCAAGGGGTGTGACAAATGGAAAGCACCAGTGACAGTGACCGTGCACGGTTTGGGCATGTTGTTGGATAAGCGAAGTTTTTTGCACGTTAGGTGCGATTTGGTTACTACGCCATTGCACCCAGTGACAGGAATTTATTAGATGGAAGAGCTAGAAGTTCAAGCTTAACATACATATTTGCATACATATGTCCTTAAGCAGATGTAGAGGAATCAGTTTGCGAACTTTTCACTTAAATAAATCTTATCCAAATGTCGACCTCAGTCACAATAGAAATGCAATTTAATTTGCATACACAGTTTATTTCTAACCAAGCACAGAATTTAATTGTTAAACCGGAATGCATACACACATATGTATTTCAATCTTTGCAATGTCAACGTGTGAGTAGCTGGTTGCCTATTTCTGTACCAGGGTTAATGCAAATGAACACAAATTTACTTGTGCAGGTGGTACATAAGTGGTTCAAATAAACTTCATAATCATTTAGCAATCAGGATCGCCACTCGTCAAATCACTAAGTTCACGACAAATCTATGTACTCGCCAATCTGATTTTCAGGCATTACACGGTTCGTGAAATGCATCCACAATTAATATTTTGCACGATTCTCACATTAGTATCTTTAACGTCAGCCGGATACTTCTCAATACTTGCAAAAATTCAGATCAAACGCCTTCTTCGAAATATGAGCAATTGTGACGTTCAAATTTTACACGACGGGACGGACATTGTCAATTTTAACATTCCTGTTAAAGTTATCTGTATTCCTAAATATTCGAATCTTTACTTGCACCCAAGGGTGAATTTACCATCTGCAATTAACGCATTGTCATCCCGAAGTCCCAAATGTAAATTAAGTTTCGTCCTCTCAAAAGTATTCATGGATCTCACCGATGAAATTGATGGGGTGTCCTCGCGATCCTTAAGAGAATGGATAAAACTTTCAACAAGCTACCATATCTTTAGTATGGATGGCAGCCAAAACCAGCGTTTCTATCACCACGGTGATAAATTATTTGTTGTAATTCTAACGACAGCACCGGATAAAGGAAATCAATCAATTAAGCCGATATTTTTACCTTTGTTATTAAATACATTTGTCGCCGTCCTTTCATACCTTACAGACAATTTTATCCACAAAGTATGCTTCATTCCATACTCTATTGATTATGTCGATAGTATCAAAGATTGTCAAGAAATTACTTACTGGGATAGACGCATATCCCGCGTTACTACCTGGCCGGTGGAGTGGTGCTACATGTTACCCTACATGGTCGATAGGGTCAATATTGAAAAAACTTCCACAAAATCTAATCCGTTTGATCGTAATAAAATCTATACAATTCAAAACTTGATTGATATCTCGTTGTCAAAGGCGAACGCAACCATGATACACAGCAAGTATTGTCCATCGAGACCCTACCTTACATTTAATTACGAATTCGAAGCTACTGATATGGTAGACCCGTTCACGGATCTCATGACACATATCCCCATAATAACACGGATATCTGGCTGGCAGTTTCTTACATGCTACAGAGAACAGTATAAACCCTTCGAAATTTATATAGCTCCATTCCAGTACAGTTTGTGGATCTCATTATTCGTCACGTTGATCATGACTATGCTTCTAGCCTCGATATACAAGTATTTCTCCGCGTACGCAAATATTTCTTTCTCTCCTTGGCTCTTCATATTGGCGACAATATTTGAAGAAACAGGCTACGTCCCGAGCAGGATTGAAAAAAACTCCCAATTCCGCTTAACTCTAGGCATATGGTGTCTCATTTCTGTCATCATTACCAATTGTTACAACGGCTTAATGATTTCTGAACTTAACGCACCGCTCCCAGCTTTCGAACCTGGCACGTTTAGTGATCTCGTTTGCAGGAAATTATCTCCAAACACGACAGATTATATGCTCATCAAATCTAGACAAACATATTTGGACGCTGAGGGTAAGCTCTCAGTGCACCAGCTTCAGTCGTACCTATGGGCTATGGTTTATAAAGAATTTCGTGAACAAAATAACCCATACCGGAAACACAATTGTTTCAGGCTTTTGTCTGTGCCACAATCATCACTTCATTTTTTCAGGGTGCCAGAATTCCTACGTTTTCCTATAGCCATAGCTGGAATCGTTATGCCTAGGGTCTATAACTGGGATTATAATTCATACTTTAGAAAACAAATTAACTTCCATTTTAGCCTGTCCCTACCAATTCATTCCCATTTCCCCACCAACTTTAATTCCACGTGGAATCCCAAGAACGCTACAGAATTCAAGAAGAATATAGAGACAGATCTTGTTGAGTGCGGTAAAACGGTTTTCATAGATTATTCTAGCGCTTTAGAAGTGGAGCATGCCTTCCTTTCGAAACACTACCCTTGGCATAAATTCTATAACGGAAAACAAATTTTGCATAGTAAATCGGACGGATTGGTATTCCGAGGCGTAGGAATATCAAAAGTTCCAGCATACAACAGATATCTCGTTGAGGCTGGAATTTTCGGCCGCTTGTGGTATGAACTAAACAATCGTTTGAATTTGGGACGGAAACCAGCAGCTAATGCAAGTGCGGGGGGCTTTAAAAAACATAAAGAAACCGATATTTACGTTGGATTGGAAGGAGCTATTCAAACATTTTTTATAATTTGGGGCACCGCAATGGCTCTAGCTTTGGCAATGTTTGTATTTGAAATGCGACATCGAATTTATCTAGGTTGTAGGCTCATAGTTTATTCGATATTCGTTACAAGTTGGAAGATTATCAAAAATGAATGTTTCCGAAGGATAAAGAAAAGACGCAAGTTGGGTAGAAAAGCTTGTGCGAAGTAAAATGGAATGGTAAGAAACCCAATGCAATATTTATCAAGGGACAGAAGCACATAATATTTTAATATACATTGCTTACAATAAACAAAATGCAGGACAAACAAAAAACTAGAAATATGCAAATTTTCTCGATATAAATATACCGTAGTCTTAAAAATATTTAATGGAATATTGCGTTTGTAATAATATATATTTAAATTAGTTATTTCGTTATAGAAGTATTGTCGGAACACAGCGTTAATATTACGGAAAGAGCACTTTTTAGGCACAGTATAGAAAAATGACTTAAATAAAACTTGGCTTTCTATATACAATAAGCTTGTTAATTTCTACTGGACAGAATTTTTCTCTTATTCCTTATATACAGACATATACATAATTTGTGAGTGAAGCGGACTACATTTACAAAATATAAAGGCATATGTATGTTGGATTTGGACATTATCGAATACGAAAAACTTGTTCAAGTTTGGGTTTGTTGATTTGACGAAAGACAATTACTGTAAAAATGCCCTTAAAAATGTCCTAAACTGAATATGTTTGGCTATGATACCCTGAAATATCTTGGAAACATTAAATATGTACAGTTTGCGAGTTCAAATTCAACCAATTATCTTCACCGTAACTGCCCAATACTCCCTCACATAATTCCCTCTATTAGTCTCCTGTCTTAAATTGGTTTTCAAGTGCTTAACCGGGATTGTTAAGTACATGGCTGGACTCCTATCTCTCGTCGTATTCTGCACAAGACCATCAATTCCAAAGCGAGCATAATTCTTAAATGAGAACAATTAAATAAACAAATATTCAATTTAGTTTAATTTTAATGTGTGGTTATTTTATGAAAGCATTACCTTATCATCCAGTTTTAGTTCTGTTCTGAGCCTATAAGCTCTTTGAGGATTTTCATGAATGGCAACCCAGATTATCACGTCGTCATCGGATTGAATTGCTCGCAGTACGAAATTCTCCGTACCTAGTGGACCCTGTATAATTGCCATGCTGGAGGAGCCGTCTGAATGGGAAAATAATTTTCAGCAAAGTTGTGATTAATGGTGTACAGGGAACGTGCATATATTACGCTACCCATCCACCATATTGATAACGTAATATTTATATAGACGTTCCCTAAAAAAATTGCATGGTTGAAGCTGTTGTAGTAGTAGTCTCATTGTATTAGGCGGATGAATTCAATGAAGGTGCACTCTTAGAAATACATTTTGTTACTCGTTTGAAAAATATGTAAATGCAGACTGAATCGGATGTTAAGTAAGCTATACCAAATCAGAAGTCGACGCCGCCGATCGTACGGCGCCGCGCCGCCGAACGCCGGTAGCATTTTACGCGCCGCTGCGGCCGAAAAATTTGATTTCCTATTCCTTTAACATTGTGACGCCGCGCCGCCGAAAAATTACAAAAAACTGGCGCCGCCGCCGCCGAAAATTTGTCGGCGTCGACCTCTGTACCAAATCCTGAGTAAACTTTACTTATTATCAAGTTAGTGTTACTCTGAATTTAGGGTAGTTTACTTAACACGTATATATAGAATTCAGAGTGCATTTACTTTTTTAGAGAGTATCATTATTTTTAAGAGTGCATACATACACAAATATTTTTATATTGATGATTTGACATATGTGTATTATAAAAGAATGTCATGTACATATTTACCTCGCACCCACTTCCTGCCTCGATTCACATAAAACTTTACGTATGCTTCGTTGCTGAAAGTTTTGACGCTGTGTACATTTCGCAAATGTAGAATATAGTCTGAAAACTGGATTGAGGAATTTTGACACCCATCAGTTTTGAAACAGCATTCTATTGGTCTGAAATTTAAATTTAGTTACACCCTTAAAAATTCAGTGTTAAAATTATTCCAAGCCGTATTTGTATATGCATAACTCTGTTAAATGGAATTGATAAGTACTACGGGGTCGTAATACATAGCTCTATTATATAAATTTTCGTCATATTTTTCAGTAGCAAATTTTTTTGCGGACGGTAAAATTTCTGCCAAATAATACTAAAAAATACCAAATTTTTAAGAGTATATTTACCGTCAATTTGGAACTTATTTATATACTTACTGAAAATGACAAATGAGTTGATGCTCTTGTAATCTTGTAGTACCACCTTGATAAGCACATCCGTCTGCTGCATATCGACACGGCTTATCAACTTCTTTCGGTTTAGGGATGCATTTAATTTTCCTTATCTTCAACTTTTCCATATTGTCAAGTAACTTTTTTTGTTCTTCTTTCATCTCGATTTTCTTTCTCTCCTGAACAATCAACTTCTCCGCTAGTAAATTGCGAGAGCAGCCCGCATCATAAGAGGCACGGCATATGGGACAGGTTGAAATCTGAGGTATGTGCGTGGCACAGATATTATGCCCATTTTTGCACTGCGTTATCCGACCAGCGCACAAATCTAGGCAGATGCTGCACTCGAGCATGTTGGAAACTTCATCGACTGAGTCTTCGAATAGGTAGGAGGGCCAAGTCTCCCTTGATGTGGAGGATGAGACTTCGGTGGATTTTGAAGCACTTGAGGACATAGGTCTCTCAAGAATTCGATAAACATTAGACGGCGGTGTTGGCAACAAGTCCCAAGAAATTGGAAGTGGCGGTCTTGACCTTGACGTCGATGGCAAGCTGGTCCGGTTTACTTCTGTAAGGCGATCTGGAGACCGAATTGTTGATAACGTACGTGTGGATCGTAACGAAGTCGCAGATGGCGCTGTTGGCATTATTGATGTACGTTGCGCAATTGTTATTCTTGACGTTGATTGCGCTGTTGTTATTGTTGGCCTAGATGGCGCTGTTCTTATTAACGGTAATGGCGCTATTATTGTTGGCGTAGTTGGCGCAATTGTCATTGTTGACGTAGATTGCGCTATTGTAATTCTTGCTCTAGATGGCGCTGTTCTTATTCTTGACGTTGATGACGCTGCTGTTATTCTTGACGTTTCTTGTGATGACGCTGATATTAATTGAGTTGGACTTGATGACGCGACCTGACTTCGCCCTGTAATTTGAGTTCTTGGCGGATCAACACGTGTCAATTCTTGCCTACTTCTTGCAAGAGAAACAAACTCTCTTGTGGGCACTGTACTTAATGGTTGTATGGGCTGGCCGCCATAATTTGTAGAAATTGCGTCTCGGCTGGTCGAATTGGCCGCGGGCGGCGGTGGTACCCTCCCAGAATAAGGTGTTGTTGATGAAGGATAATCGTTAAACCCACGTGGTTGTGTCGTGCTTGTTAGGGAAGCATTATTGTACACAGTATCACAATTCTCACATTCACAAAATATGTCACATGGATCATGTGGTCGCTCAGGTGAACTGTTTAAGGAAGATGGTGACGGGTAAGGCACGCCATTTTGAATATTTGAGGATAACACGTTACCCATTGTGACACTTTTTAACCTTTAGGTTTTTCGTACATACCACTTAAATCAGGGCGATAGGTCGAAATGAATATTATGAAGGAGAAACTATGTAGAAATCTAAATTAATGAAACAATTCACGCAATCATTTGTAAATTCGTTAGTATTTCGTCCTTTTGTAAAATAATTTTACAAACTTTATCCAAATAAAGAGGCCCCTATTGAGTGAGTTCACAAAACTTTCTTAGCTAATTATACGTCCACAACTTTACACAAGTTTACAGATTTTACGGATTTTATAAGGTTACGAAATGCTGCGTGAATTTCCTCAATATTTATTACGTATGCACTTAACTTTATTTATGTACTGACAAAATTTCCAGCTAGATACATTCAAGCACAGCTGCTGTAAATTTGTTGATAAATGAGTGCCAGCATTCCTTACTATACATTTATACATTTGTACATATATTCATGCACATGAATATACATATTTAGTTGTTGGACGGTCAGTCCACACCATGCAAAAACGGTGGTGTACATACCGAAATATGAGCAGTTAGGATATGTACGAACCACTTGTTCATTAGGGACTGTGCAGAAAGCATGTGATGGAAATTGGGGCCTACCTGTCTTATAAGTATTATATGGGCAAACAGGTTTCGCCCGGGGGTGGGAGCATACTTAAACTCTACGAAAATCGATTAATTACATCCTTTATGTACGGCCCTTTACACACTTAAACATACCAATGTACATAGGCACTTCCGTAAATAAACGGCGTATGTACATATATACTTATTATGTAGTTCAGAAAATATTTAGTCACAATGCAATGACGAACAACCAGTCGCCGGGGAAAGCATGGGAACATTAGGAAAGTCCATATATAATGTAATGAAAAAAACGCCGATTGTAGGATTATCCACCGACCCCTTCCCTATCCGTACTAACGTTAAGGTTAACGATGATACACTGCTAAAAATCTGGTAGATCCACATAGATACTACGTGCTGGTTACCAGCTGGTATTGACTTGGTAATAATTTCCTACCGGATATGTAGTACATTGTTCCTGATTGGTAAATTTTTCATTACCACAACATTACTGTAGACTGAACGTTGATTCCCGGTAACACCAGATTCACGTGTGTATGTACTCCGGTCGGTAAAGATTGGATACCAGATTTCTAAGAGTGCAAGATAGGCGACCCACAACCACCTACCCAAGTTTTTAATGACGTAATACATGGACGTCCCCTTAATTAAATTGGGCGAAGAAGTAGTTTTTATCTATATCATAGACAGATGACGGGGATAGCATTGGATTCATTTTCCCTTTGTCCTCACATTTCCGCGGCCACTGTCCGCATGTACATATAGTACATTCATATGTAGGAGAATACATGAGTCAGAAATAAGTGCAAAAGTACTTACTTAAGTAATTTTTGTACATATAAATGTAAATGTGGTAAATATGTAGGTATGCTCTGTATTTACCGAGGGTAGTATAATGACAAATTAGAAAGTTAGTCTTTAAATGGGTCTAGTATACATAAACCATACCCTTTTAAGGATTAGCATTTTTTGTACGATCGAATATCTACAAAGATATTCGATACAACAAATTTGTGCATGAATGCACAATCTTCAGATCTGTTTTGATATGTAACAGCATATGTGTTTATATGATTATCAAAAATAAAATGCTAAGCGTATGTAGACACGAAAAATAAAACTCTGGCGTTACACTCAAGTATACATAACATTTCATTAAAAATGTTTTAACGTTTCACTTTTTCAGAATAATATATGTACTCTAACCGCCAGCTACATAATCCTAAATTTGTAATTTCCACAGTTTTGTTAATTCCTTTCTCATCTATTTAATAAAAATTTTGATGTTCAGTATCTATGTACATATATTTTTGGAAATGCGGCAATAGTTTAAAATTTTACATGCGATCGTTTTTCTGTAACTTACAGACTGTAAGCCAATTGTTAAGGAATAGCACATTGTGAAACTTTATTTAAAATAAAAAAACTCAACGTTTAAATAGTTGTTATTTCATGTAAAATGGATTCATGCGCATAAATTTGATCATGCGAGTACCCATTCTTAATATATTTTATCATCCTGTATCCCACCTCATTTGTCATGTAGTCCTTCATCGGAGCCACGTATTTGGGATGCACCTCGACCGACAGGACCTATTGGATTAAATCTAGCACTTGTAAATATTCTTCGTGCACAACACCTTTAAAAATTAAGTACCCTTTTGGTAATAAATGCACTTTCCATTTTAAATTTTATAATATGTACGAAATCCAGACTAAATTTTACTCTCCATCGAATCAACATTTACTCTGGATCTAGATACACTTTAGAAATATGGTTACGATTATAACTGTAAAAACCAAGCTATCACCTACCCGGAGTATAGTGTCTTTACGTATGTTTAATTGTGCCTTGCTCGTTGGAATTGAAGAAAGTGACTTGAGTGAATATACGATTATTTTATCTACTTAAACTAGATTTTATTTCCAACAAATTACTAATTTGTCAACACAATTCAGAGCTCTGCACTAACACGAGTTGATTGGTGACTACTATAACGACAAATTAATCGTGGACATCAATTACAAAGAATTAACAATTCTTACTCTTGATTTCCTACCACGACGACTAAATCCAAAATGTCTGACTCTGACAACGACTAAAACTCGACTGTGTAGAATTCTTCTACCTACTTACTTACTACGACTTATAACAAAGAACGACGCGCACTCAAAATCCCACTCTGACGTCACCATGGCAACCACCACCACGTCACGGGGCAGTCTTACACGCATATTCAACAATTTACAAAAATACATAAAACAATTTCATAAATACATCATTTTACATTTAACATACTCCCACCTTCTTTTGTGAGAGCAAAAGAACTATTCTAAAAACAAATTATGCAATTATCAAATTCAAATTAAATTACACAAATAAATTATAAATTCCACTTCGGATACCGCCCTGGTTTCTTCGAGATCCTATCTTGATCCTTACCACCAACTTCCGGCTCCTTCTGGACTTGCTTCTTCTCTTGACATCTTCTTGGAATTCAATTTGTGGTCGGTCGCTCCCACCATTCGACTTTCTTCTCCACCACTTTCTGCACCTTCATCTTCGGCTTAATAGAGGCTGGACGACTGAATCCGATGGGGTTACAAGCTTCCATCTTCCCACACGACGGCTTATTCGTGTACTTGTCACTAATTAGACCAAGTACCTTTGTTGTCGAGAGTAATCTTGACTTCTTTGGAGCAAAGCTGTTGCCGTTTCCCAATCCGCACCCCCTCATGGCAGGCTGGCCGATTCTGGGAACCCCCACAACACTTTGCTCCCACCGTCTCAACTCGTCGACCTTTACACGTTTATGCTCTTCTTGAGTTTTCCTCTCTACAGAGCTCTTGCTTGAACTAATTACGACACCAGCGTAATTCAACTTGCTATTGTTGACACCTGGAACCACTCCGCTGATAGTCCATCCAAACACGGATTCCACGGCGATCAATCCACATCCAAGTTTGACCATTCTTCCGGTCATCAAACTTCCCCACAGATCACTTCCTATCAATATATCGACTTCCGACGCTGAAGTGTCTGTCGTGTGGATCTTCTTCCGAGCCAACTCTTTACACCAAGGGCCAGGTGGGATTGCTGGGCATGCTCCACAAATAAAGTCCTCGTTGACTAACTGGAGATTCATCCTCGCGCAATCCTTCCTATCGATACCGCTGGCGTTGACCCGATAACAATTCTTTTCTTCGGTGCTGGTCACATGTCCACCGAACAAACTATTCTGAAGAGTCAACTTGTCCACTACTTGACATTTCAATTCCTGGGCAGTTTTCGTCCTGATGTATGACCTCTGACTTCCCTCGTCGAAAAGTAGCCGGACTGCTTTCTTGGCTCCATTTGCTCCGTTCACCATAACACGGAGCGTCTTCATCAGGACGACTTTGCTCTTGCATCCCTGACTGAAGTTTGTGGTGGTTTCTTCCACCGAACTACTACTTGATTCATCTTCATTAATTGACGTCACTTCCTCATCTCGGACCTGACCAGGACACATCACAGAGTAGTGTTTCCGTCCACATATTTGGCAACTGACCTCTTTGGTACAGTCATTTGCATTAATGTCCTCTTCCCAGGCAGATGAAGCATCCCCGATTCTCCTTCACCAGGATCTTCTCCTCGAGAGGTAATGTCTGAGCCTTATAGCACTTCTGACTTTTGTGATTCGACTTTCCACAAAAGACACATCGCTGGTCAGCTTGATGACTTGAATAGAGACCGGCAGCAGTAGAGAAATCTTCACATTCACTTTCTGCATACACGTTTACTTTCTCTCTATTCTTGACTAGACTTTGCCTGAAGGTTGACAGCACAAATTTTCTTTCTTTGGCATTCTGTGCCTCCAGCCGCAAAAACTCCATCAGGTTTTCTAAATTGGTAGCAGAAGACAAGTCTGATTTCTTCTCGCGTACCCTCAAATTACTATTCTGCCACCTGAGTAACACTTGCTGTGGCAGACTGGATTCCACTAATGGATAAATGAGTTCACTTGGATCACTAACTTTCCCCAAAGACTCGAGACTCTTCAAATGACCTTCCAACTGGTCATGCAATTCTTCCACGTCGGCATCTTCTCTTGAATCCGCGGCGCTATTGATAGCCAGGCCCAACAATTGTCTAATATAAATTTGGCGTAAAATCTTCTCATCACCAAACCGGGACTTCAGCTTCTCAACCACCAATGGATAATTCTGATCCGAGCGCGGATAAATCTTGATCACTTTCTCTGCTTCTGATCCGGGGACAATGGCTTGAATCAAATACTGAAACTTCACGTTTACTTGCAATTCATCATCTTCGTGAATCTGACGGTATTGAGCCCACCACCCCAACCAATTCTTCCAACTCCCATCGAATTTCTGTAGCTCGATCTTGGGCAGTTTGAAGCTTCTATCCTTTTTGATACGCTCCCCATTCACGGTGACATAGCTGCTACTTGCACTCGGACTTGGTGGACGGATTTCTGCATTAAGAATCTTCTCAATATCCATGATAGAAACTCTGATTCTATCTGAATATTCTTCATTCACTGCACTCTCATCCCCATAAGACCCCGCCGTGCAATTGTCATCCAACATCTGGGTAAGCACTTTTTCATCATGTTCTCTGATCGACGTCTGCAGGGATTCCAACTTCCTTAACTTGATGGTAAGTTCTCTCGAGTCCTTTGGATCTTTCGACAACTCAGCAACTACACCATCCACCGTCTTGGTAATGGAAGCTCGAACTGGAGCCCTCGCCTTCTTCAGTCGATCCATGATGTTATCTCAAATCCAACAAACAAAACAATTAGAACAGTACACGCTTATTAACTCAATCAGCAACAATGCCGACCTCTATGGCTCCCGAACGCTCAGGATGGGGCCCTCAACGAGGCAAGACAGTAATTGATTAATAGACGAATAAAGTTGAAGTTCCTCTCGGGTTGGACACGCCGATTTCAATCTGGTCGGTCACTCCTTCCTCACGGACTACTTCACAGCAACAATAAAAAACTTGAAAGGTATCACCTGAACAGCCCCCAAATACTCAGGGTCGGGTCCTCAATGAGGCAAGGCTTGATGTGAATCCTCTCCTTTGAATCTGCTCCTCGTCCAGACAGCAACAATCGCCCAGGATTTCCACGGAACACTTTTTGCACGTACACTAATTCAATCTGCTCCTCTTCCAGACAGCAACAATAGCACAGGATTTCCACGGAACACTTTTTGCACGTACACCAATTCGATCTGCTCCTCGTCCAGACAGCAACAATCGCCCAGGATTTCCACGGAACACTTTTTGCACGTACACTAATTCAATCTGCTCCTCTTCCAGACAGCAACAATAGCACAGGATTTCCACGGAACACTTTTTGCACGTACACCAATTCGATCTGCTCCTCGTCCAGACAGCAACAATCGCCCAGGATTTCCACGGAACACTTTTTGCACGTACACCAATTCGATCTGCTCCTCGTCCAGACAGCAACACTTGCACAGGATTTCCACGGAACAGTCTTTGCACGTACACTAATTCACTCAAAAGGTCACAACTCACTGACCACTATAACTAGTCCACTTTCAACTAAAACTGACCCAACGAGCAATCACGTCGAGGTCACCACTGATGTAAAAACCAAGCTATCACCTACCCGGAGTATAGTGTCTTTACGTATATTTAATGGTGCCTTGCTCGTTGGAATTGAAGAAAGTGACTTCAGTGAATATACGATTATTTTATCTACTTAAACTAGATTTTATTTCCAACAAATTACTAATTTGTCAACATAATTCAGAGCTCTGCACTAACACGAGTTGATTGGTGACTACTATAACGACAAATTAATCGTGGACATCAATTACAAAGAATTAACAATTCTTACTCTTGATTTCCTACCACGACGACTAAATCCAAAATGTCTGACTCTGACAACGACTAAAACTCGACTGTGTAGAATTCTTCTACCTACTTACTTACTACGACTTATAACAAAGAACGACGCGCACTCAAAATCCCACTCTGACGTCACCATGGCAACCACCACCACGTCACGGGGCAATCTTACACGCATATTCAACAATTTACAAAAATACATAAAACAATTTCATAAATACATCATTTTACATCTAACAATAACCAAAAAGTAAACGTATATGACTCTACCGCCGTGGTTATAAATTTGTCATCAAGTGGTTACAATTGTCACCGAGTAATTATAAAGTTTCACCGACTTGGTCTTAAATTGTCACCAGAGCTAATAAATTTGTAACCAGTCGGTGATAAATTTATAACCACGGCGATAGAATCATATATGTACGTTTACTTTGTGGTTATAATCGTAACCCCATTTCTATGAGTGTAGTATAGGAAATTTAATTTAGAATGGAGAGTGCATTTACTTTTCTAAATGGTATATGACATAATGTTTAAGTGTGTTAATCAAATCTTCACAACATAGTTACATACCTTGATAAGAACCTTATCCCATGGAATGGTTTTAAGCACGTCCAACTCGGCTCCTTCAATGTCGATACTGAAGAAGTCCACCGTTGTCATATTGATGGCTGAGAGGATTGAGTAAAGTGGGAAACATTGGGCATCAAAGGAATAATAGTCGGCCTCGTTTCCGATAAAATGTCGCTTTCCTGGAATGAAACTTAACCCTTCGTCCCGATCGTGACGGAGAAATTCCATCTATTTATTTTAAAAAAGAGCAACATACATGTATGTAATGGAATTGGGGTAAAAGTTCTGACCGAAATAAGCACCGAGACAATTCACGCCGTCAGTTGTAACTCGTAAAATTGTTAAGTTCTAAAAAATAATTTTAGAAAGTTTTACAAAGTAAAAGGTGATAGGGATAAATTACAAGAATTTGTACGCTAATTTTTTTAGAAATGTTTGTATAATTTTGTGAAAATCTGTGATTTTGGAGACATTTACAGATTTTACAAAGTTGCAAAGAACTGCGTAAATTGTGTTGATATTAATATTTCCGAAAATTAATTGAAATTTGCCTTTTGTGGTTGACTTCCGGTTGAAAGACAACATTCCGCTATCCAAGCTGCTCTATTTCTTATCATTAATTTTTTCAAAGGGCGAGGATCTGACTCGACGAGGAGTCCTGTCCAGCCATACTTTTCCTCGAGGAGCATCGTGTTTGAGAAAAATTCGCCATCATTCGCCCCACACTCGATGAATGTGCCACCATTCTGAAATAATATAAAACAACATAGAAGCTGGTCAAAAATCAGAGTTGAATCAAATATCCGGTTTTCGGATTATCCGCTAGAATCGGATAGGATTTGATTATTTTTGAATCCAAGTATTGGGATATTTTTGAATATCTGAAGGATTTATAGGTTCGGATATTTTTGGAAATTTATAGTAACGAAGTTTTCCTACAATCAAATAATTCATCGGGTCGGTTTGGGTATTTAAAAAAAAGGTCATGAAGGTGGATATTTTCCAAACTTTCAAAAAACGGATCGGGCTGTAATCAAACCTGTTCAGTTTCATTCATTTGACCGCTTATGATAGAGAATGATGGTGAATGAAAATTCACCGAAAATGAATTTCTCGTAATTTGAATGAAAATTCGTGAAGGATTCAGTAATTTCAAATGAGTGACTATGAATGAAAGGATTTCTCACTTTTATTCATTTTTCACACCATGCTTAAGACATTGGGCCAAGTAAGAAATGAAGTGAGATGATGTGAAATGAAATGAGTTTGAAAGATAATGACTGAATATTATTCAAAATCTTCAGTCAGGGTTAATAATGACTGGATACTGAATGAAAAACGTTTTTCTGAACAGGTACATATTAATGTGATCCGACTCAATTCAACTGAAAAAATAATACAAATTACACAGATACATAAATTTTTTAACTGTTTCACCTTATTTTTAAAAAGATCTATTATAAATCGCGACACTTCTTGCTGTTCAAATTTATTCGTGAGATGAACCGGGGTCCAATCAACGCCCGCCTGGACACCTTTTGGCGACGGTGGAATGAGATACTTTTCCGAAATGTGGCGCATTAAGCGGGCGTCGTCTTGCGCCAATTGTCCCGTCCCAGACTCTATTTCCGCCTGAGTTAGTTCGTACCCTTGGAAAAGGGAGAATAAATTCCACCCGTCTTGATTGGCAAGACTTGTCGACAAAAATATCAGGGCGCAGATAAACAATAAAAAAGTGTACAAGTAAAAGACGTGCCGCAGTGAAAGGCATCGGCGTGTGGTAAAATGCATATCTGTATTCTTAACTGGGTCAAGTTATTACGTAAAATTAGCAATTTAATGATACTAATTTAGAGCTGCACACGCTAAAAAGTTTACAATATCAGAAATCTGGCATTGTCACGGTGGTATTTATTTCTCGGTATTAAAGTTACACTCAAAACAAAACGGTGTTAATATATGACTTAACCGCCTTGGTTACAATTGTGATTCCGAGAAGTAATGAATTTTTTCCGTCCAGTCATAATATTATAACTACCGGTATCAAAATCATAATAACTCGGATTCAACATTGTAACCAAGGCGGTTAAGTCATATATTGACACCGGCGGTGTTGATTTGACAATTTTTGCTTTGAGTGTGCTTGCCGTTCAGTATTATAATTACACCGGTCCATTCAACACGATAAAACTTCGATCCCGAGCTATGTTTAGCAATTACCGCTTGGTATTGTCTTTTAAAACAAGACTTCTATCTATGACAAAATAAACAAACGACTGGGGGAGATTTTTGAAGTGGAGCACATTTGGTCAGTACCAAACCTTCATGTTTTAGAAAAATATGCAAGACTGGTATTTCGCCAGATACACGCATTGATAGACAAATTTTTCCTTATTACATTAAAGATTTGGAACACATATGTAAATAACGGCATACTTATTTTTCAGCACAGTTTTGCTTTTTGCTTACATATGTACCAGTCAAACATTTTAGTGAGGATACATATATACAATTCTGTAGCCTCACTCATTAAAATTTGTTCCGTGTAAACAAATTTTTATTACCAGGAAACTTATTTTTATTTCAACTAAATATGTACATAATCTAAATAGAGACGACATATCTGCATGAGATGCACATAATAATTAAGCTCTAATGTTACAATTACTACATACATATGCCGCAGTTACTTCACTTGCACTCAAAATAAGGTAGTAATGAATCATTACCATGCGGAATGACTATGTGGCTCTACCACGTCGGTTACGATTTGTCGTAGAAATGGTAAAAATAAGTTCAGGGAAATTCAAATTTAATACATAATGGTATTCACTTCCTTAATATTTGGTAATGAATTTGAATTTCCCTGAAATTATATTTACCATTTCTACGACAAATCGTAATCGACGTGGTAGAGCCACATAGTCATTCCGCATGGTAATGATTCATTACTACCTTATTTTGAGTGTGGTAACACAAAGTTGGTAATGCGAAAGGTGATTATATAAGAGTGTGTATGTACATGCCAAAGTACTAGTAGGTATTAACATAATATGTTAATACATATTATGTATGTATGTGTTAATATATGTAAAACTACAAATTCGAAAAAAATCAATATACTTCTGAAAACCCCACAAACTATGGAATTTTTCCAAACTGGAGAACAAAACAATTCATTTTCCAGCTAAAAAAAACAAAGGAAATATTTAACAAAGTTTCGACCATGTTTTTATTACTTAACTTTTTTTTTAATTTTGCAACTTTGACATTTTCAGTGCAACTTTTTCCTTCTTGTGGACCTATAATTAGCAATTTCAAGTAGCATACTATGCCATACATACTCGACAAAATTGAGTTACGAGAATTTGTGTAAGTGACCTTTAAAAAAAATTTCTAACAAATTGTAAAGTGTAGCTTAAAATTTCTTTCAAAAGTGGAAACTTTATGTCTACATAGTTAATTTCTCAAACCTATTATTATCTTATTATTTTACTAATAGATACTTAGGTACGCACGTGGCATAAGCTGTACATTTTAATTGGAAGGTGTATTTTTATTTTTTTAAAGTATCCCATTTTTCGCAAAACTTCATTCACTGCAAATTTCAATAAATCATAAAATCAATACATTTTGTAAGATTGGAATTGACTAAGGAGGGGAGCTTGCGAGGTTGATAATAACAGATCTTGGTGCCCTTTGGATATGTGGTAGGGACCCATGAGTGTACTAAAACCCTGAAGTAGTTTGACTCCATGGCCACATTTGCGCCCGCCACACCCACTCAAAAATGCCCAAAAAACGCTTTCACTCGAGTTTTCACTCACTCAAATCCACGTCAAAAATCCAATTTTACTCGGATTTTGAAATTTCTTTCACCATTATACTCCCAGATAGTTGCTTTCTTCAATCCAATATCAAACTCAATTTTATTGATGATTATTTCGCAAACATAATTTGTTTTGTTGATGACTACAACAATGCTCATTCAGAATTTTAAATTTTAAAAATACTAAAAATTTCGAAAAAATTGAGTTTGATATTGGATTGAAGAAAGCAACTATCTGGGAGTATAATGGTGAAAGAAATTTCAAAATCCGAGTAAAATTGGATTTTTGACGTGGATTTGAGTGAGTGAAAACTGGGGTGAAAGCGTTTTTTGGACATTTTTGAGTGGGTGTGGCGGGCGCAAATGTGGCCATGGAGTCAAACCACTTCAGGGTTTTAGTACACTCATGGGTCCCTACCACATATCCAAAGGGCACCAATATCTGTTATTATCAACCTCGCAAGCTCCCCTCCTAAGCTGGTGAATCAAGGTAAAGTTTTTTTTTTCACGCGACGTTACCGTCGTATTTAGAAACGCCTGTGCTAAAAGCTAGTATAGTTAATAGTTGTACTGGGGACACCTGCGGTCGGACCCGTCCGCGCGGTGGTCGTCGCACCCCCAATGGATTGCTGCAGACTCTCCAGGATGGATTCAAGTTGATCCAAAATTTCTTCGATTGCGGTCAAGCCATCAACAACTTTTTTAATTTGCCTCGCCACCAAGGTTTGTCCTTTATCAACTGCTTGATTCAATTTGGCTTGCACCGAGTCAATCTTGGTGTCCAGTTGAATCTGTAAATTTGTAACGGTGTCTATCAGCTGGTCTACGAGAGGCAGTACAGCACGTGATAATTGACCGGACAGGGAGTTCAGCTGTTTCACGAGCTGTGACAGCTGGGCCGCGAGGACATTCAGCTGCTCCGGATTGGGCAAGAGCGCAGTGGTGAACGCATCCAGGATCCTGAGTAACAGAGCCCCCTGACCTGGTTTACGATGAAGGTGACCGGGTTATTCAAAGGGTTAGGGGTGTTTGTCGTTGACGATGCCCCCGAGGGTGGCGTCGTTGGCCGGATGGTTGGCGCTGTAGTTTGGGCAGCTGTGAAAAAATTATTTCATAATTTTGACAAAATTAATAAAGCTTCATACAAAGAATTGAAGCATTTTGAAATAAGTGACGACCATAAATATTGAAACGCTTAAACCTAAAAATTTTGTCTTTACCTGCTCCAACTATAACCAAGGAGGCAACGAGGACAAAAACTAGCTTCATGGTTTCTCGAAATTTCTCGAAGTTTGGGATCTCTTTAGATTATTTCGGTTCGAAAGGTAGGTTGCGTCTGTGCTTTTCCCCTTGGGGAGATCTCCTTTAAATAGGTTGTACCTGAGATAAGCTCACAGGGGATGAATAAACTGTGAATAGATTGCGATTAATCTGGTTATGCAAAGTTCAATTATATTGGGGATTTAGTGATGCCATGCAATCGTATCTGCACATATTTTGTATACGTACACTTTTTACTTCTAAACGAATTTGAAGATTTATGTACTTATTAAGAAACTGAGACGAGTGCTTAGGAATTAATAGGGTATTTATTAGGGTTGCCGCGGGTAGCGAAAATGCTACCCGTTACCCGACCCGTTACCCGCAGCACAACTACTCGTACCCGCACGGGTACCCGTTACCCGCTACCCGTTACGAGAATTAAGTTAAAACTAACTAACCTTCAGAATAAATTTGATTTAATCAATTATTTGCTCATTTGGGTTGTTCAGTAGTTGGATATAATACTGTGCAGGTACCGAATGCCATAATTTGCTAGATGACCTTAGATTTTTCTGAAACCAAACTTTTTTGGCTTACAATGGAACCTTTTCAAGCCTATGCCGTGATTTCTTGGCGAATTATATAGAAAAATCAAGCCAAAAATTAGGAATTATCACTTATTTTTCTGTTGAATAGCCCGTTAATAGAAAACTATTTGGGGGGAGAGTTCAAAGTCAACTATGGTTAACGTCAGCGAAGGAAAAAGATGCAAAACATGTACTTAAAAATTGGACTTTGACGTTAATATTTTGATATACTCGCGAGACAATCCTTGTGTAATTTGAAAATAGAGTCAATTTTTAGTCTGATTTTTAAAATTTATATTTTAAATGAAGGCATCATTTACGAAATTGCCTACAAATAGAATTTTTGCTTTCAATCGATTCAAGTTTTTCACCTTCAAAGCACAAATTAAAATCTCGTCAGTTTTACATAAAGACACAAGTACAAGTCAAGTTATTACTGATGTTTCAGAGCAGGCAAGTTATTCTTGAGAAACAATAATTTCTCCGCATTTTCCAAGAATAAAAAGCATTTAAGGCTGCCGTAGGCTTCTGTTGCTTCCGAAAACACACGCTCGCTATGAACGCTAGTTGCTGGCAAATGGAAAATGCCAAAATTTGAAATGAATAAATAATAAATTGGTGCTTTTGTTCGTAAATGGACTAACTTTCTTTGTGAGCTGTTTTAAGTCGAAAATTAAATAAAAACTGAACTACCCGTTACCCGTGCGGGTAGTTCTCGCTACCCGCAGAGAACGGGTACCCGCAAAAGTCGTGCGGGTATGCGGGTAACGGGTACCCGACCCGTTACCCGCGGCAACCCTAGTATTTATTATCTCATATTTGTATCTATCTAAATCCTACGTAGGGTTTGTAAGACTGGGTTTTTTGCGGTATTTGTGTTTATTTTAGATTTTCTCGATATTTTGTACTTGTTTTGTTATTTTTTACTTGTATTACAAAATTGAATTCGATACACTGAAGATTTTTGATATGTATGAAGCAAAACATTCAATTTATAAATACATAAATATATATAGGGAATATCATTTTTTATATTTTTCTTGGCAAATTTTTCAAACAAATTTCTGGTATTTGATAATCCTTTCCAGGAAGTTTTCATGTTTTGAGCAAGTTATTCTTGAGAAAAGTAGGAAACATGAATGGCTAAAAAATCGCACGTCTTTGGAACCCCAGTACATATGTTCATATTTATTCATAGTGAAATTAAAATCTAAGCATGTACAAACATATATGTTTGTACATACACATTGTATATACATATATGTATATATGTACTTAAGGAATGTATGGTTATTCATTATTCACAAAATGGTCTCAACTTTCTAAATCTTATCCGTGTCAAACTCCAGCTGCTGTGAGGCAAGTGTCTCACTCAGGATTAACTCTGCATGATCAAGTTCAAAGGCAGCGTATTGATGACTGCAAGATTAATTGCTTTTCTGAGGAAACACGTGCTATACATGTGTATGTACATGTAATATGTAAATTTGCGAACGATTAACCGTTGGATAATGTATATGTTGTATGTACATATACCAGAACTTATGTCATATATCGTACCCCATTATGAAACGTTTATATATTACGTCATCATTTTAGTGGGTGGGTGGTGTAGGGCTGCCTATCCTTCCCATGTTAAAATTTCTTATCCCTTAATGTTTTCGTTGGGTGGGTGGATGCTAAAATCGAGAATTGTTGATGACGTCCTCTATGGATGGCCCCTCTATGGTCACATACATTTCGGAATCATTAAGACGTGTAAATAATACGTATTTACATATGTACATACAGGCTGGTTTAAATATCTCACCACAGTGGAAAATTTTACAAAGAGGAAAGTTCATTAATCTCCATTGGTTAGGAAAATGTGGGATTTAGATTTATGTTAATTATTCAACTTCAGTATCAAAACTGATGAAATAATTTTTAAATCGTTGAAGTTCAGATGCAAGATTTTGATAAGTAATGAAAATTTAAGAATTTTTTCGAATAGAAAATTTCCCATTGTAAATAGCAGCGAGACATTTAAACCACCCTGTACATGTTTAGGCATTGAAAATTTTCTTTAATCCGATTCACGTAGGATTCGAATTAAAGAATATTAATTATTTTCTGTATGTATGTATCAAACATACATCTTTATATGAATCGGATTAAAGAAGGTTACTAAATGGAAAATTTATGGGAATCTGATAATGTGATAAATTTGTATGTATGTTTAATATGTACTTATGCAATGCTTTCCGCCGATTTAGTACTTGTTTAATGCTATCACGAGGTGAAGTGTTTCTACATTTTTAATACACCTTGTATTTAGATTTATCAGTAATTCCGCTTGTGAGTCTGACTTGGAGAATAGGCTCAAGCCCGAAGAAAATTTACATATCTTAATTACTGCAAAACAGATAGCTCTCCTGAGGTTACTGGCTTGGGATGAGGCTTGCTTATTTAAGAGAACAATTTATTTATGTACCGCTGGACAATATCTATGTGTGTATAAATATACGCCATAAGCTATGCAATACACATACATATATGTATCTTACTTTACATAATTGACTGACAACGCGATGGTGTGACGTATTTATAACCTTCCGATTTGGTTGAAATTTTAAAATTATGTGGTCCAATTCCATACAACAAATGTTTCTTGAGACAGTTTGTGTGATGGCCAGAATTTGTCAAAATATTTGGGGTCAAAGTTGAAAAACTTGGCGATTGTTACCAAGGGGATGAAGCAAATCCCATTCCGGGCGATTACTTTGGAAATAAAATATCGCCCTTTTTCAACTTTGACCTCAAATATTTTGACTGATACACAAAAAGAAACGTTGCTGTATTGACTTGGACCACGTAATTTTAAAATTTCAACCAACTCTGAGGGTTACACTTCACACCATCAGATTTTGATGTTCATACATATTCTTATGTACGTACATGAGCCAATTTATGACATCATCAGTAACATGTATAGATGATGCACATGTAAATATGGTATGTCCAGGAATAAGTGGTTCCGCGTAATGTGTAAGCATACTGCGCAGTTTGTGCAGACTGGTATTTTTCATTTTCATTTTTTGAAACGTAATTACATGGGTCTCCAGGAGATACAAAGCATTTTTTCTTAAAATGACGAATTTTAGTAGTAATCGTCATGAAGGTGAAAACCTCGCGAATCGAGTTTTTCACAACCGCAAAATCGTCGCTTGTCGTGACTCGAACAAGTCGTGGCTGTACTTCAAAACGGAAACATGTCACAAAACGACAATCTATATTCATTTTTCGGTATATGAGGATGACAAAAAGTGGAATTCAAAAAACATTCCAGATCAACTCTCCTCATAGTCACCCATAAAAAACTCTTCAGCCATAACTCTTCCATGTCAAATTGTGGCGCTGCCCCGATAATGAAAATTTAATAAAGTTTGTTCCGCAACATCGAAGTTCATAAACTGGGGATTACAGAAAAAATTAAAGAAAATCTCCCAAAGTATGTTAAAGACCAAAAAATCACCATCCAAAAATGTTGCAAAAAAATGTGTCAACAAATGTCATTAAAAATTATGATCAATGATGAGGAGATCTACGTCGACCCTGATCCCATAAAGACTTCGGGAAACACATTTTTTCACGCAGGCACCTCTGCCAGTGTAGATTATCAACAGAATTTGTACATGAAAACTATATTCCCTGTAAAATGCCTAGTTAGTCATGTAACGGTTAACATTGAGAAAGATATTAAAACAGTCAACCTCATAATGTCCTTTATTTGTGAGAAATCTACCAGTTTCGGGCCTTGGGCAAAAGAAGGTTCTCCAACCTTCGCTCCAAGGCGAAAAAGCTGGTGGCAGTCGAACGTTAATGGCAAAAAATAAGCCAGGACATTTCGGAATCGGGTTGAAAATCGCTAATTTGAGGGTTGGTGTGGAAAATCGGATTGGTGGCCAGGATGGGAGTAGGAAAAATCTTTTGGAAACTAAAACTAGTAGCTATGGTTCCTACGTACACTTTGCCGAAGGTTTTATAAAATTCTTCTAACCAGGTCGTATTACACAGGTCATTAGGCGGGGAACCATTTACTCTTAGACAAATGATACGTATTTATTAAGTTATTTCAGATACTGCTAAAAATGTGTGAAGTCAGATATACACTCCGTGATAACTTCTCCCTGGGTTGGTACTTCCGGGGGAGAAGTTATCATACATATCTATAAATACCCATATGTACATATGTTGCTGTTTATAACCTTAAAATTCAAGTAATTATCTTCACCGTAACGGCCCAATACTCCCTCACATAATTCCCTCTATTAGACTTCTCCTGCCTTAAATTGGTTTTCAAGTGTTTCACCGGAATTTTTAAGTAACTGACTGGATATCTATCCCAGGTTGTACTCAGCACATAATCATCACTTTGATAGAGGGGCTGACTCTTAAATAAACGAGAACAATTAAAGAAATGTTCATTAATTAATCTCGAAATAATTGTAATTTTATTAAATCATTATATAATTACCTGGTTTCCAAAGTTTTCCAATTTTAGTTCATTTCGGAACCTCAAGTCTCTTATATAATGGGCATGAATCGCTATCCAGATCATCACCTCATCCTCGGATTGAATTGCTCTCAAAATGAAAGTGGCGATTCCTAGTGGACCCTCGATAATTGCCATGCTGGAGGAGCCGTCTGAATGGAAATAATTGCCAGAAAAGTTGCTTGGGTTAATGTTTTAGGGAGCAAATTGTTTTAAAAGGTGGTTTTAGCCAGCGGTGGGAGTAGTCCCATTGTTTTTGGTGGTCAATGAAGGTGCACTCTTAAAAATAATGCTACCCTTTTGAAAACTAACTGGACCCTTAATTATGGGTAGGCTACGTATACTAAATCCAGAGTAAACTTTTTGTTGATGGATTAAGTATAATTTAGTTAGTATAGAATTCAGAGAGCAGTTACTTTTCATTTTTTAGTGTGTATGCATAAATATTTTATTTTTGTATTTACGAATTGACCTATGTGTGCGTCTTAAATGAAAATCATGAATGCATACCTCGCACCAACTTGCCGCCACGATTCACATAAAATTTTACGTATGCTTCGTCACTGAAGGTTTTCACGTTGTGGACATTTTGCAAATGTTGAATATAGCCCAAGAATGGGATTTCCGAGTTTTGACAGCCGTCATTTTTGAAGCAGCATTCAATCGGCCTGAAATTTTAATTAATTTAAGCAGTTACGCTATTAGAAATCAAGTATTAAAATAATGTCGAGTGGTGTCACATTAAATATGACTTTGTCAAGCCAAATAGAATTGATAAGCATCCTAGCCATGTTCGGTATTATAGTTCTACCATATCGGTAGTAAATTTTTACGGCCGGATATAATTTTTGGTACTACAAACCAGTCTATTTATTTAAAAAAAAATGAAAATTTATTTCCCATTTTTCTACTGTAAATTTCCTCAAAGATGAATTGGCTAAGTTTTTTTTCAAATCGACTTGTTTCTTGTACCAAAAATTAGCTTTAGTTTAAAATACCAAAATTTGCATTTATCTCAAAACTTATGGAGTTGATTAAATCTTTGAAATTGCATTTAAAAACATTGAACTAGGGTTGAGTTAGAATAAAAACTCTATGGAGCCTTAACTTTAAATTTAGTTGTATACTTACCGATAATCACAAATGGGTTGATGCTCTTGTAATCTTGTAGTGTGACCCTTATAGGTACATCCATCTCCAGAATATTGACACGGCTTATCAACTTCTTGGGGTTTCCGGTCACATTTAATTTTACTTATCTTCAACTTTTCCATATTGTCCAGTAACTTTTTTTGTTCTTCTTTCACCTCGAGTTTCCTTTTCTCTTGAACAACCAACTTCTCCGCGAGCAATTTCGGGACGATCCCTCTTTATAAGAGACCCGACAAATGGGACAGGTTGAAATCTGAGATGTGTGCGTGGCGCAGATATTATGCCCATTTTTGCACTGCGTTATCCGACCAGAGCATAATTCTTGGCAGATGCTACACTGGAGCATGTTGGAAACTTCATCGACTGATTCTTCGAATAAGTAGGACGGCCAGGTTTCCTTGGAATCAGGATCTGGAGTAGGTTTCGCCGATGATGGATTGACATGTGTCGTTGTGGGTGATACGTCACAGGAATTTGGGACTTGTGGCCTTGACCTTGATGTTGATGGTAGTCTGGTCCTGTTGGTTTCTAAAATGCGATATAGAAAGGAGCGAATTGTTGGTCTTGGTGGGGACCTTAAGGTTGTTTCTGGCGTGGATCTTAAGGTTTCCGTTGATGACGTTGCTGTTGATCTAGTTGCATCGGATGACGATATCAAACTTGACGGTGGACTCTGACTTGTTTCAGAACCAACATGTCTCAATTCTTGACTCCCTCTTGTGGTAGAAAGAAACACTCGGATGGGAACTGTATTACGGGTATTGAAAGATCTCTCGGGTTGTGCCAGTTGGCCAGAATTGGTAGAATTTGAGTCTCGGGTGGCAGCGGGGGAGGACGGTATCCTGGCAGGATATGGTCTTCTTGGTGAATATTTGTCAAACCAGTGTGATTCTGTCGTGCTCGAATTATTGTGCAAATTGTATAACAATTTGCACAAGTACAGAATATGCCACATGGATCACGTGGTCGCTCAGGTGAACTGTTGGAGGAAGATGGCATGGCGTTAGGCACGTCATTTTGAACACATGAGGATATCGAGTTACCCATTGTCACAGTTTTTAATTTAAAAGTTGTGTCTTTCGTACGTTTAACTTATGTAATTCGCAGTTATCAATCGAAATTAATATTGGAAAGGGGAAACTAAAAAAATTAATGAGGCAATTCACCCAGTCATTTATGTATAACTTGTTAAAAAATTAGGAAGTAACCCGTCCTTTTGTAAAATAATTTTACAAACTTATAAAAAGACATTCATGATCAGAGCAACTTTACAGAAATTACTGAGCGAATTATCCTTGCAAAAGTGTTTACGCAAGTTTACAGATTTTACGGATTTCACAATATTACCAAAGGCTGCGTGAATTGCCTCAATCTTAATTGTAAATATGTGTACTTCACTTGATTTACTTTTAAAAAATTCCAGCTACGTGCACAGCCGCTGTTCATTTAGTAAGTAATGAGTGCCATCATTCCTTCGTACGTATACATATGCATACATGCATAATCCATCCACATATTTGCATAGCTGGACACTAGGCCCTTGATGACATGTACCGTATGTAAGGATAGATATGGACCACTTTTTACATTATACACTTCAAAATATGTACAAATGTACCTAAGTATGTATGTATGTATAGCGATAAGATTCAATAAGTATTTCCCTTCAGTTCACAAATATGTAAGTAGTTATAGTTATTTACATATACTGTAGTTATTCCTCTGTGTTACTTAATATTGAATTAATTTTATGTACATGAGCTTATTTAAAGTGAAAATATTGGACTTTGCATTAAGAAATGGTATTTATGTACATGTGTATGTATTCATAAATATATTTACATGGATGCGTCAGTATAATTCGACGATTTAGCATGAGAATTCTTAAAAACCAGTTTTTTTAAAAGAAGTGTTCTCAAACTGTAAGTCATACAAATAATAAATTATGTACTCAGCTGTGTACCTAATGTATGTGCATTCGTACAGAGTTTTAACATTTATCTATGTTTGGGACTGTGCAGAAAGCATGTGATCGACTTGAGCGGATATTTTAATCCTACCCTTACCATGTTAATAATAACATGGGCAGTATTTATATGTCACACGGGGGGTGATTGGATAGATGGATGGACAATTTTTCCGTTAATTTTTCTAACATTAAAAAATGAGAGCGGACAAATACATAACTACTAAACTACATATTAGTATTCCTGTGAATCATTCTGACACAATTGTACAGACAAATTATTTGGGCTGGTCACCGCATTCGAATGTTTTCATGTAGTCGAGATAAGCATAAAGTTTATTCAACATGGATAGCATGTATCGGTGAAAATGGACATTGTGAAATTTATGCAAATGAGGTGACACTCCTAAGAAAGAGGATAGTTTGTAAATATATCCAAATCTTTATATCCAAACTCCCACTAAGTATGGGGATGCAAACCATGTTCAACCCAGATAATTTTAGGACTAGCTCATTTTAAAAGACAATGTAGAAACAACACTTATCGACAAACTTATCTACACAAGTGCGCGAAATTATACGAATTCCGGGCGCTGCGAGCTCGCAGGATTTTCAAGGGTAGTCTGTGCCTTGTGGACATTCCTGGTATTGATTTATCGTAAAATCCGAGCATTTTGGTGAGCTTTCCCTGCTGGCAAGGTCACCCAAATTCACCTGAATTCGTTTAATTTTGAGCACCTGCGTACGTTAAGCGCTAAATGTTGTTTTTAAAAAGTTAATCAGTTAAGTGGTCAAAACACAATTTGGGTTGAACATGAGTTGCGTCACTGTCTAGAACATTTGTTCCGTAAAGACAAATTCGTCATTAACAACCAGGAAACCTATCTTTATTTTAACTAAATACCCTTTCAATATTCATTAGGAGGTGGAAGGAATCGTTACGCTGTGATATGGAAATTTTTACATAGATATGTACTTATCTTTGTATGGCGAAATACACATTTGAGCATGGATGGTCAGTAAATTTGATGTTCTATGTAGATTTAGAACAGTAAAAATTCCTATAGCGATTTCAGATACAATGTATCGGTGATTTGTTTATGTGTAAGTTAATCATAGCTGTTCACATTCATTTATTCAGTACAGAATGAATAAATTATACAATTCCCATTGAATAAATTTTGAACAATGAGTTACCTAATCAATTTTTAAGAATTTCTGAATGACTGAATATTGAGTACCCATTTTTATTCCTGTCGTAATCATGAAGAATGACTGAATAATTTTATTAATTTTTCATTTGTCAACGCTATTCTTAATATATTCTGTATTTTGATTAATCATTCTCATAGAGCGAATTTGTGATCAAATGAATAAAACTGCATAATTATGGTTAAAAGTAAGGAATACATTTTTACTTTTAAATTCGGCATAGAACGATTATGAATTTATTACTGCTACATACATACCTTCATTGACTAGCAAATTAAATCCAAGATACATAATATTTAGAAAATATTAATACGAGTATTAATAGTAAAAACTACTGTGTACATTAAACTAAAATACTTGAATTATTCACAGCAGGTTATCGTATCTTAATATCAAGAAAGCTACCAGGCAAAAATATTAGAAGTCAGAATCCCATTGCATGTAGTACATGTTTCTGCTAATTGTATTTCTTACCACTTAACACCAGGGTATAAACATTTCCTAGTAGTCCCTTCCTCCATCATAATTTTCCTCTCCGAGATTCCTTTTCTTACAAGGACTGTGTCCCGGTGATTGGGTCCAAATGCTTTCTCCATCGAGAGCAGGACCTCCTCCAGCATGACAAATGCTTTATCCGTATCTCCCATATCCCACAGGGCTCCGGCCAGCGTGTATTTCGTGTTCAACGTTATTCGATGTTCAGGTCCAAGCTTGTCTACCATCTGGCCTAATTGGTTTTCAAATTCGGTTATGGCGTCCTCCTCCGTTATGCGGCCAGCAACATAGGGGAAGATGGTCAAATGATTAAGGGTTGCTAGAGTATGTTCGTGTGACGGTCCAAGGTTCTTTATTCTCCACTCTAATATCTCTTGGTAAATGATAATTGCTTCATCAAACCGCGTGAGGTGAACTAAAGCCTGCGCCATTATGCTCATGGTATGCATTTTATGTTCTTCTTGAACACATAGAAGATGGTCTTGCGCCAATCTCTTTCGACACCACTCGAGTGCCTCCTCAGGTCTACCAAGGCTCAAAAGGGTTTGAGCTATGCAACATATCGTGAGATTAGTGAGGGGGTGTCTTGACCCAAATACCATTTGGATTTTGTCGAATAATTGCGTATACTTGGTCAGTGTTTCAGCAGGGTCACAATCGTGATTTGACACAAGTGACACAAAGACTTCCATTTTTATTGTTTCTGCATGGTCAGGACCACATACTTGGCGTAACAGTGCGTAGTTTTTATTTAGAAATCCCTCCTTCTCGTGCATCATCAAGTCAGGCGTGGACCAAAACATCTTGTCGAATATTTGAAAAACAAGGTTTGAATTTTGTTTGACAATTTCTTCATCTGCATGTTCCCAAATGCTGATTAATTGTACAAGTTCTTCACGGGATAAACCTTTTATTTTCACGTGTTTCAGTAAAATACTCAGCGCATCTTTGTAGTCACATTCAAGACGAAAAATATCTTGCACAAGACGATGAATAGAGATTACCTCGGACTCGACGTTAACCAAAGAGAACTTTGTCAGTAACTGGACAACCTTTCTCGTCCTTGGGGGAGTCGCTTGGGTTAAAGTGGGAACAGCGCCATCTTCAGTTTTACAGAACAGTTGGCAGGAAAATAATCTTAACATTTTGGAGCGAGGAGGTCCTGGTTTATTTCGAAGATAAATATCAACTAGGTTTTGAAGAATGTGCAGATGTATTCCATCAGGGCGAACGACACCCAGAATGACTGCCACCGTTTTCACCAGGCTTCCAACATCTCCGTAATTATTTGAAATGGATGACAACGATAATTGAACTATGGTGAGGATTGTTTGGTCATAATCGGCTAACTTCAAAGCATGCTGAAGTATGATTTTGCGATTATCTTTAAGCTCCTCGAGAAAATTTGGAATGTTATAGTCATTTCCAATGACGCTCTTCTGACGATTTTCTCTGATGTATGCAACGGATTGTTGGAGTGCCAGGGCGTGATGACCAAGTTCTTCACAGAGCAAAGTCACGTCAGTTTCGATTACATTTTCGAGAGAATTATTTACCAATTTTAATGAGTCGGCTGGCAAAAGTGTTGGGAGGCTTAGCTGATAAACTTCTCCTGCATAGATGTCGTTTTTTCGAGATGTCAAAACCACGAATCCATCATTTTGAAGTAGGATTTTGACGACAGTAGCACAGTCTTCATACTCTTGATCTACATTATCCAATACAATCAGCCAACCAGAATTTGTGACTTTGGAGATCACCTTGCTTGCTATTTGTTCCATAAGAAGATAAAGTGGAATTGGCCTATTTGTATGATCGGTTGTAGGGATATTAAGGAAGACGGCGAATTCAGTTATCGAGGAAATCAATTCCTGTGGGCTACTCCCTTGAAGCCACGTGATTATCGGGGGTGAGGAATTAATTCTGGTTAGATCTTCGATGAATTTTTTTACAAAGCGCAGTTTTTCCTTGTCCCCCAATTGCACTGATGACAACGCAGCTTCTATTTCGTTGGTGAAGATAATTTTTTAGTATTTCAAGTTCTTTTTCGCGACCAATAAATTTATGAATTGCTTTTTTGAGGCCGAAGCATATTTGTCTCGGATGGGTTGTGGTGGGATTTGGCGATGCTTGGCGGATTTTGGAGTCGGGCAAGCTAGCTAATGCCTCTACAAGTAAGAAGAAAGGATTAAGGCGCTTCAAGAAATGACCGAGTTCAATATTTAATAAAATCGCTTACCTGCTGCCGCCTGAAACATATTTATTGAGAAGATTGCTCCAAGGGATTTAATGTTTGCTTCGTCCCCGTTACGTTCTACCCAGCTTTTAATTATCAACGTTAATAGCTCGTACGAATTTATTGTCTGATTACGAAATGATGACATCCACTGTTCTGAGTCATGTGAAGGAACGTTTAACATGGTAGAAATTCGGACTTTTTCAGTCACAAAGTTATCACCGTCAGCCTCCAAAACCGTTGTTACGATGTCGTGGATACTAACCATTTTTAGGTATCGCAAATTGTGACGAATTTATTCCTAAATTTTAAAACAAATTATGTATGTGAATTAAATATCAATTGCGATAAAATTTATGATCTCTCTGCAATGTGTGCTGGCTGTCAATAATGATGTGCCCCACCCATAAATGATGATTCATACTTGCCACTTAGATTATCGTGAACGTTGAACATGACAATTTTACACCCAATCAATATAATGATCAATAACCAAATGATATTCATACAAAAGGTGATCTCAAATTATGAGCACGCCTCACCTTGAGTCATTTACCGAGAACCGTTACACTTGAAATTTGCTGTATGGGCAAGTAGTTAATACGTGCCAATAGGTTGGCAAAAACAATTGGCCATTACGATTTGACACGAAGTCAACAATTTAAAAATAAGCAAGGAATCAAAATTTATAAATCAAAAATCAAAATTTTGACCTAAATTTGTAAACACAAAAATTACCTATTTTTGGGTTTAATTAGCGACCAATTTTTGGGTGGACTAAAATCTTTATTTTGTTAACATGTTAACATGACTTTGAACATTTTTCAAAATCGTTATTTTAATATATAAAACACGGGAAAGTTGAGGTGCAGAATATTTTAAAAAGCAACATACAAAATAGAATGCACAACTACGAGTGCATGTTAATTCTGAACATATGTAAATAGGGCTACTATAATTTTTGAACATCCTCTGTACTCATGGAACCAACTTTGGTACACATACGAGATAATCATACCCCGGACAAATATTTTTTTATCCTACCCTACTCATGTTGAGCTCAACACGAGTAGGGTAGGATAAAAAAATATTTGTCCGGGGTATGGAGATAATAGATGATAAGCGATGACTAACTTATATGCCGATGCGCACTAACATTATGTATGGACCTAAATATTAGGGTTGCCGCGGGTAACGGGTCGGGTACCCGTTACCCGCATACCCGCACGATTCTTGCGGGTACCCGTTATCTGCGGGTAGCGAGAACTACCCGCACGGGTATCGGGTAGTTCAGTTTTTATTTAATTTCCGACATAAATCAGTTCACAAAGAAAGTTAGCAGCAAGTTAGTGCATTTACCAACAAAAGCTTCAATTTAATATTTATCACTTCAAAATTTGCCATAAACTAGCGTTTATAGCGAGCGTGTCTTTTTCGAAACCACAGAAGCCTACGGCAGCCTCAAATGCTTTTCACGTTCCGAAAATGCGGATAAATTATTATTTCTCAGTAATTCTCAGGTATATGTAATTTACCTGCTGTAAAATATCAGTTGTCATAATAATTTGACTTGTGTTTGTGTGTATGTATTTTGTAAGACCAACGAGATTTTAATTTATGCTTTGAAGATGAAAATTCTGAATCAGATTGAAAGCAAAAATTTTATTGGTAGCAATTTTTTTAATGAAAACTTCATTGAAGTCAAAATTTCAAAAAATCAAACTAAACATTGATCTTTTTTCAAGGTACACCAAGATTCTCTAGCGAGTATTTATATCAGAAAGTCCAGCAAAAAATTAGGAATCGCGTGATACTTTCCGTTGAGTGCCCACTTTGAAGAAAAATATTGGCTGCAAAATTCAATTTTTAAGTAAATGTTCTGCTTCTTTTTCCTCCACTTAACGAAAACTAAGGCTAACTTTGAACTCTGCCACCCAATAGTTTTCTTTAAACGGGATATTCAACGGGAAGATAAGTGATAATTTCTAATTTTTGGCTTGATTTTTTGATATAATTTTGATATAAGAAATTCAGGTGTAGCTTGAAAAAGGTTCCATTGTAAGCCAAAAAGTTTGGTTTTAGAAACATCTAATGACATCTAGCAAATTATCGCATTCATTACTTGCACAGCATTATCTCAAACTACTGAACAACCCAAATGAGGAAATAATTGATTAAATCAGAGATATTCTGAAGGTTGGTTAGTTTTTAACTTAATTCTTATAACGGGTAGCGGGTAACGGGTACCCGCACGGGTACCCGTGCGGGTACGGGTAGTTGGGCAGCGGGTAACGGGTCGGGTAACGGGTAGCATTTTCGCTACCCGCGGCAACCCTACTAAATATATGCTTCCATACAATATATATGCGTACATATTTACCATTTGTACATAAACACATATGCATGTACAAACTGACGTATGTAATTCCTATTTTATTGCGTATGCGAAACTTGTGTACGCAAATGCAAGTCATCATGATTCCGTTCTGTATTTATGAATAGATATTTCTGCTATCCTGTCAAAGGAATGTATAACATTAACTCTATACAGTATTTATCTGGGTGCCAAAAAATGCATGCAAATTTAATTTTGCAAAAATTAGCAATGATTTATGTATTGTACTTTGTATTTTGTATTTTTATTTGGATCCTAAACCCTTCCAGGCCGAGGCCCATAGAGTTACATAATAATAATTTAAGTAATATAAATAAAATAAAATAATTAATATTTAATTAAAAATACTAATATTTTAAAGTGAGTTCTACTTTAACGATTTTGTTAAGTGAGTTCATAATTGCATGAGTAAGAAAATGATTGCATAATATAAGTTGTCTAATTTGAATAAGTCGTTAAATTTCCATTAGAATATGATTAAAATAATCTGTATAAATTGTAAATGATTTATGTATAGTGCATCTAACGCAACGCCATTTACATCACACATCAGTACCGTACGATGTATAAATAAATGTGCAGATATTTAAATTTTGCTACTAAATCATAAAAGCGTAACCTTTACGAATATGTAAAACACATACATATTTGCATATGTAATATGTATTAGGTACTGATTTAGCAAATGGATTTATTTATCCATATACATGAAGACTTTATTGCAAATTAATTGTATGAATAAATTTATAATGCATAATTGGCCAAGCAAACATTTATAGATCAAACGAACACGATTATTACCACATGACGTATTCCCAGAATAAATATTTATTCAATTGGTAACAAATTTGTTGATAGAGTGAATGCTGGTACTTACCTTGTACATAAAATAATCGTAAGGAATAAAATTATTCCTAACGATTTTGCACAGTAGATTTTTGTAAATACTTGAATAAACCATGTAAATGAAGAAATTCATCGTGTTCTTTTATTTATTCGGACGAGATTCAAAAAAAATTAGAGAAAAATTTATATATGTAAATACGTGAGGTTGCCAGTTTACGGATAGATTTCCATATTTTCTTTGGATACTTGGGGACCATGTCGTTTTATAAGGCAAAACTAAGTGTCTTACCGATTTATATTTTGGGTGGGCTTATCATCCTGAGTATCTTGCGTGGTGGTGAGGACACTATATCTTGGATTGGCACGCCGTATAATGTGTCAATAATGGGGGAAAGGTGTGCAATTGTTAAAAATTTAATTGAATTAGAATTTAATTGTCTAATTAAATAATTACAGAAAAGGCTTCAGAAATTTCTTGCAAATTGTTCGATCGAAATAGATTTTAGTGTGAGCTTAATAATGATCAAAAGTAGTATTTTATCAACCTGAATTTGAATTTCCAAATTTGAAAAATAATTTATGTAGCTACCCGAAACCTGTGGTGTAAGGTATGTCATAGAGTATAGTTAAGTCTCATATTTCTGTATCTCTGACTGTGCTCGTCTCACTTGCCCAGTCAGTCACCATCTGCTACTTGGAGAATAAAGACATGTATATAGTAACTCTCCAGTGCCTGCTCTCTGACTGATTTCGACATCGGTGTAAATGGTGTGTCGATGGCCAACGCTACCTAATTGCATCTCACACGCATTACACTACATGGTGGCAGCGGGTCAGAACTCCCGTCGTGTCGAAAAGGTGACTTATCAGTGATTACTGTGAGGGGAAGTTTATTGCGGTGTCTGCACGTTGAACTATAGTACTACTCTGCGCATAGAGATGGCAGATAAAGGGTCAGTGTTTCAAGTGTGCCCACCTGAGCAATTCTCGTTCTCGTCCCCCTCAGACTGGCCTCGATGGAAACGTCGGTTCGAAAGGTTCCGGATCGCTTCTGGCCTAGTCAACAAGACTGAAGTGGAGCAAGTCAACTCTCTTATCTATTTTATGGGCGACCAGGCGGATGATATCTTACTATCATTTGGGCTCTCCAGTGACGACCAGAAGAAGTTCGACACCGTCTTAGCCAAGTTTGAGGCTCACTTCATCGTGAAAAGGAACACAATCTATGAGCGTTCCCGTTTTAATTCTCGCGTTCAGGAGAACGGAGAAAGTGTCGACGAATTCATCACTTCGCTATACTCACTTTCTGAATACTGTGAGTACGGGCAATTGAAGGATGAACTGATTCGTGACAGAATTGTTGTTGGGGTGTGTGATCGTCATCTGGCTGAGAAGATGCAGTTGGACGAGTCGCTCACTCTGGAAAAGGCTGTGAAGATGTCCCGTCAGCATGAGACCGTGAAGAGGCAGCAACGAGATCTTCGTGGCGAAACGACTACTACTAATCTTGCAAGGGTAGGGGCCCAGCCAGTGAAGGAAAAGCCCAACTCCCAGGCGAAGTCTGAAAAATCTTCGTCGTCCGACTCCTCCAAAAGCTGCAAATTTTGTGGGAGGACCCATGAGATGAAGAAGGAACTCTGTCCAGCATGGGGAAAGGATTGTAAGACCTGCGGCAAGAAGAACCATTTCTCTAAACTGTGCAAAAGTAAAGTGGGGACTGTTAAAGTGAATTATGTGGACGGTGAAGTGCGCGATCGTGAAGGTAGTTTTGTTGGATCCATCAGAACCATCGGCTTTTTGGAAACAGCCCAGTCGCGTGACTCTCGCTGGTCATCCCTGGTGAAGGTGGACAACGCCGAAATCCTCTTCAAGCTCGACCCTGGGGCTGACGTCACTGTGATCCCACACACTCTTTTCTGTCAAAAGTGGAAATCTCGCCGACTGGATCATCCGACGCGATCAGTGAATGGACCGGATGGATCATCTCTGAATTCTGTGGGAAGTTTTATGTGTGACCTGAGCCATGGAAAGTTAAAAGTGAATGAAACTGTTTATGTGATTCGAGGGCTGCAGCGACCACTGCTAGGACTGCGAGCCTGTGAAGACTTGAATCTTGTTCGCCGAGTTGACCGTGTGTGGAATGAAGAGGTGCCGAAGTCAGCAGAAAATCCTGCCCACTTTGAGAAGGAGTTTCCGATGCTCTTCTCGGGTCTTGGAAAAATTGACCACCCCTACACGATCAAGCTCAAACCTGACGCCGTGCCGTACGCGATTCACTGCCCAAGGAGGGTGCCACTCCCACTAATGGACAAGCTGAAAGGGAAGATTGAAGAATTTCTCCGCGACGACATCATCGAATCTGTGGATGAACCGACCGAATGGTGTGCTCCTGTCGTCATGGCGCCGAAGTCGAATGGTGACAGAGTTTGTGTTGATCTGACAAAACTCAACCGGAATGTTGAACGAGAGTTTCACATGATGCCTGTTGTTGAGCACACGCTTGGCCAGATCTCTGGAGCCAAGTACTTTACGAAACGGAATCCAACTCGACTTGTGCCAATCTCAGTGGACAAGGAAGACCTCAACTCGAAAGAAGAGCTGCGACGGTCAAGACAGAAGAAGGACTACGATTCGCATCATCGTGTCCAGCCGAAGGAAGACCTCCAACCTGAAGAAGTTGTCTGGGTTAAAGACCTTCGAACCTGGGGAAAAGTGTTGGAGAATGCTAATGCTCCGGGTTCTCTTATTGTGGACACACCGCGAGGAAAGTTTCGACGCAACTCCTTGGCGCTGACTCGTGCTCACACGAATGATCTCCCCGAAACGCCTGCTCCAGATTTGGACTGCCCATCCCAGTCATTCGTCGATGGACAAAATACGAAGGACCCACCTGAACAGAATCAAGATCGCCGACCTCGGGACCAAGCTTCAAAGAATGATGGCAACTACGTTACGCGTTCTGGTCGAATTGTCAAGCCTGTGCAACGTCTCTTATGTGAAAAGTGATAGTTGTTACGAATATGCATTTGATTTATTTATGAAATGAATGCATGATTATTATTGATGTCCTTTGTTTATTGATCTTTGTCCTTTATGTATGAATGATTTCTTTAGCTTAGAAAGGGGGGTGTGGTGTAAGGTATGTCATAGAGTATAGTTAAGTCTCATATTTCTGTATCTCTGACTGTGCTCGTCTCACTTGCCCAGTCAGTCACCATCTGCTACTTGGAGAATAAAGACATGTATATAGTAACTCTCCAGTGCCTGCTCTCTGACTGATTTCGACATCGGTGTAAATGGTGTGTCGATGGCCAACGCTACCTAATTGCATCTCACACGCATTACACTACAAAACCTGCTGTTACAAGATTATTGATTTGGTAGATATTAGTGCTATGTAACATTTGAAGACAGATTTTTACAAAGGCCATCAATAAAATTACGCAAAACTTAAAATGCGAATTTATTCAGTGGACAAAATTAGGTTATACAAGGTGGTTTAAATATAAGGTTACAATGGAAAATTTTTCAACGGGAAAAATTCGCAAATCTCCGAAATTTTGCCACTGAAATTCAATATTTTAAGAATTTTGTCATCAGTGTTCCATCGTTTTTAATAAAAATTAATAAAAATCTCAATCCCAAATCCGTAACTTATGGAAATTTAGGAATTTTTCCCATTGAAAAATTTTCCATTGTAACCTGACATTTAAACCACCTTGTACATAAAAAATGTTAAAAATTAATTATCTAGATCTTGTCAGACTTTTAATTTTCCTATTGAATTACAGATTAGGGATAACAAATGGCAACTTAGAACCCGGAATTGTCACAAGGAAGAAATTAAACTCAATAACGGACCAGTCATTTTACCCCGTCTCTAATACGTCCGATCACACCACCAGACAAATTAACCGCCCTGCAATCCTTCTCGAACCTAAAGGGGGTTTCGGAAACCAACTATTTCAATACGCCTGCCACTACGCACTCGCACGGAAACATGATCTCCCCCTTTATATCAGACTGCCCACCGGAATTCCTACTAAAATTCAGAATAAAATGGCGCGCAGCCGTTTCCCGCTGATGCATCATCCCTTTTCCCTAGACGCCCTTAACGTTCCCCTCTTCCCTTGGAATTCTATCGACGCGATGGATCAAATTACTTACATTACAGATTCCGACCTTCTATCCGGCTCGTACTTATCGTTTTTGAACAATAATTCTGTCCTGAGTCTGACTGGGAGAGATTTTTGTCAGTCGGAAACTTATTTCGCACAGTACCGCGACGAACTTAAGGAGATGTTCGAGTTTAAGCGGGATCTTCAATGGAGCAAGGAAGTCATATCGTGGGAAAATATAATTCGCGACAAAGGTGACACGTGTACCTGTTCACTTTTATTCATTCGTGATAATCATGAATTTTTTTTTCATTTAAGTGAAAATGAATTTCATTTGAATGAAAATGACTGATGGATTCTGTCATTTAAGATGAATGGCTGTGAATGAAAGGATTCCTGACACCTTTCATTTTTCAGTCTTTACTTGATGAAAGAAATGAAGTCAGATGAAGTGAATTAAAATGAATATGAAAGTAACTGTTAGTGAAAATGTCCTTCCTTTCTTTTGAATAAAAATTGTTTTTTTGAACAGGTACCGGTGACACCGTGGCGATTCACATGCGTCGCGGGGACTTTGTCCGGTTAAAAGCAACCACCCCGGAGTCCTACTATGCCTCCGCGATTTCTAGTCTTCTCTTGAAGCTTAGGAACAATTCTCAGAAATCTGAAAACATTACTTTCTTCATATTTTCCGACGGGATGAATTACGTTAGGGAAAAGTTGCTACCAAAAATTTTACCTGTGCTAGAAAATCATCAAGTTCACATGGTCTCCAATCCGTACCGTTTGTCGGGTCTCGACGAGTTTTATCTTTTAACGAAATGTAAACATTTTATAATTCCGAACAGTTCGTTCGCCTGGTGGGCCGCGTATTTGGGAAAGTTTGAGGAGAAAATAGTCTACGCTGCCAAATTCAGGAAAGGCTATGTGAAATGGCTGTACCGCGGAGATAATGTGGAGAGACAAGAGTTTTATTTGTGGCAGTATGGAAACATTTATTATCCGAGTGGGTGGAATGCCATTGATCCAAAGTGGGAGAATGAGGAATAAATGTGTTAAGAATAAAATTATATGCACGTATTTCTTGTGAGTAATTATTTAATATTCAGTTGATTTGATTTTAAAGGGAGCCGCTACATATTTAATTTCTGCATAAAAATCGGTAGGGGAAATATCGTGCAATTTCACTTTTTGAAGTGGGATAAATGCAAACTTTGCTATGCATACCAAACATTGCAAAAAAATGGAAACCATAAATTCACGTAATTTTATTAAGAATTTGTCAATTTGTGCTCAGTTAAGCCATGTAAACAATTTTTAGCTTTTAGCGATAAAAATGCGGAAAATTAATTAAAGCTGTCTCATTCTCATGCCTATTCACTATTTATTTCCTGTCACTGGAGAAAGGATTAAAAGATACTTACATATTTATGTAGAGTAAAAAAATCTTATAGTCACACATATCTTCATACTAATATTGATTTAGTAGTGATTTACTATCGTATTGGTAATAGTTTGCTCTTGAACGGCAAATAACTCATTTTCATTACCAAACCATAATCCTCGAAATCACCATGCCAGTAAATTCAGCTACAGTAGTATTACTACATAGGTACGACCATTAATGATTGAAGTAATACCAGCTTGATAAGAGTGTATTTAAATACAAAAATACTTATGTACTGTACTTACGTACTCTGCTCTGTCACCTCATTTGCATATTTTAACGCATTCGTGAAAGTCATAGAGTTTACTCAACATGGAAAGCCCGTATCGCGGAAAATGGGCTATTGAGATTTATGCAAATGAGGTGACACGCCTAAATGCGAGGATAGTACATGTACTTATGTAAAAAGCTCAGAACATTCTCTCATTAAATATTCTCCGTAAGAATTTCTATCATCATACAGTAGTATAATTAATTGTAAATATTAGGGTTTTGTCATCTTGCACGCAAACTTTGTTCACGAACTGTTTATATAACTTTACTGATTAGTTTTTCGTCCCGAATTCTGCGCATTGCAATCTATATTTGGATTCTGCTTTATTGATTTATTTATGCATATAAACCTCACATATATACATAAAAACATAAGCCGCGGCTGTCCCACCATCGAAATATCTAATCAGCAAATACTTTCATATAATATTTATAGATTTTGTATGTATTATGGCATACATACATATGTAAGAAGTTCGAGATTTTCAAGTAACAATCAGATTCAGGCAGATTATGCGATTGTTGAAACTAACGATTCTTACCAAGCGGAGGAAGCAAATTTCACTATCACGTCTTTCGCAGGGAAAGAACGCATATGTATTTATCAATTTTGACCTCAAATATTTTGACTAATTCAAACCATCTCATAAATAAACTGCATCAGGAATCCTTGATTGTATTAACTTGGACTACATATGTAATTTTACAATTTGAAGAAAATCGGGGTGTGGCACTTCGCAAATAGTATCATAAGTATACAGTCTAAGAAATTGGGTTATGATTATAACCTAAAAATAAATGTATGTGACCATACCGCTGCGCGGTGTGGTTATAAATTTGTCGTCGAGTGTTTACAATTGTCACCGACTAATTATAAACTTTCACCCACCTGGTATTTAATTGTCGCCAGGGCTAATAAATTTATAACCACTCGATGACAAATTCATAACCACGGCGGTAGAGTCATATACGTTTACTTTTTGGTTATAATCCTAACCCCATTTCTAAGAGTCAGCTTATACATAATAAAATTGCTACCAGATTACTACTAGATTGTCCAAGCATATTACTCTACCGGAAAACTCTTAAAGAATAACTCTATGTATATGAAGACCACTCCACATTGTATTCTTTTAAGCTCCATCAATTCCAATTGCACACATCACCTCACTCCCCTTCATTTGCGACAATACATACTTAAAGATGGTGACCTCTAGTTCACAAAACACCCCGTCGCCAGCCAATTTTCCGGCAGCGGCGCAAATCCTGCTGATTTTCGGCTGTTTATGTAAATTCGGTGGCGTCGACCTATGCTTTATTGAGCTGCGACTTATTTACAATATTGCACCCCAGGATAATCGATACTCTGAAATAGTACGCTGTAACAATCCCACAAGCCGATCAACCTACAATAGCACCCCGTCAAAACTATTTATGGCTTATGTTAGTACAACCTGGCCCAGTAATATATTTAGAACAATTTAATGCTCGTGATCGGGCAATAGAATCCAACAACAACGCGTCTAATAGATTTGGTATTTAGCAAGGATTATTACTATTTTCAATAGCGATTTAAATTCCTGTAACTTGTTCGCTCTTGGCGAGAAGTTGACTCATGTACTCATTTTTGAACTTGGAAGACTTTATTGGCATCCACATTTAACCACATTTAACCATTTGGGGTAGATTATATTCATACGTAACATGTTCGTGGTTCTTTACCAGTACACAAGTGTGTGAACAAATTCTACCGACTACGTACATATGCCAGTCATATCATTACACCATAATTTACCTCTAGAAATTGGTAAATGCGACCAAATAAAGAATCGTATGGTTTAGTAAAATACTAAACAGTGAGCGCCTCAAACCAAATAAGTAATGTGACTAAATTATGCCACTGTGCAGAAAAGAAGGTCGGTGCTACATATGCGCTAAAATTAATTAATGTTTCTTAAAAAAATTAGATGAATACATTCATTGACGTTTTTAAAACAGAAACTTTCCAGTTGTTCAAGGATCTGAAAGTTAATCGTCCTACACACATAAAAAGCTATTCTCAGAATTCTTCCCGATTATGAATTCTTGTCAATAACTAAGTTGCGATATATCGCACGCAACGTCTTATGATTAATAATTTATTATTACCTCTGACAAGGGACACTCACGACCTGTCGTTTGAGTCCAGGGTACCCACCATGTTTTTTAGAATCTACTAGGACCCCAGATGAAGGATTCATTCATATTTCCGTGTAAAACTCATATTTGGCGACGTGGCGTGGCGCCAAATTCGCCAAAATTGAATATTTTTATTTTTGAAACCGCCATAACTTTTGAAATTGTGGACGGATTTTCAAAATTTTTGGCAAAAATCATGACAAGGAGTTCAACTTTCTTATTCCATGAAATTTTTTCTAAAATTATCGCTTTTAACTTTTCGCAAAATTTCGTAATTTTCTTCGAAATGGGGGTTCGTCGAAAAAATCCTAAAAATATTGCAAAAATTAGAAATTTTTTATTTTTATTTTTTTGTCAAAAATTTCGACTTTTGTGATCATTTTAAGCATAAAATTTTGAAAATCCGACATAAACTGCAAAAGTTATGAGGGTTTGAAGTTGGTCCAAAATGCAAATTTTTAAGTTTGGCGCCACGCCATGGCGCCAAATATGAGTTTAACACGGAAATATGAATGGATCCTTCATCTGGGGTCCTAGTAGATTCTAAAAAACATAGTGGGTACTCTGGACTCAAACAACAGGTCGTGAGTGTCCCTTGTGAGCTGTGAAGTGTTTCAGGACGCATTTAAACCATAAATTGCCACAGGAACATAAACCCACGCTTAAAAAACATCTGTTTTTAAGCAGTTACTACAACCTGAATTCCGAATTAAGCAAACTATACTGTTAGCATAGTACGTGACCTTGACAATGAGCAAAGTTTAACCTGGACTTAGTATCGCTTGATTGAAAAACATCTGAATACAATGACTCCTCTTTTCTTTATTCTTACATATTTATATTTCTTTAATTTGATTCCTGCTATATTCCCTGTTAGTTCGCAACCGTACACGCCTATTATATACACGCCCAATTTTTTTTGAATACTCTGAGATTTACTTCATCCACCAAAGATTTCTTGGCGACGATCAAACTTTCCCGGTTAATAAATACTTTGGTATACTACGGAGGAACAATCTCTACACGCCAGTAACCATTCACGTGAGAAACTATAAAAACGGGAAATATAATTTTACCGATAATCAATCGCAACTTTACAGTTGGCGAAGAAAATTTCACCAGGTTAAGGTAGCATTCCTGAATTTAGTGTCACCGATTAACATTTCTGAGCGAGTTGGTACTCCTCCACACTACCAAGTACTGATCACAACGGAACATATTATCCCGGATTATGTCTTCGTCTGCGTGAAGTTTCCTGTTCGAAGTGAGTATTACTACCTTTATGCAGCGTCGTCGTCACCAGGAATCCTGGTGTTTTTTGACCTTTCAAATCCTAAAGAAATTGTTATGCCGTGCATTGTCTGTACTTCTACTACTTTAATACCAATCGGGCATATCTCATCACAATCTGATCTCGCCAATCTATGGGATACCTCTAACACACAAAACCTCCACGGCGGTACAATGCTAACTAGCGTCTGGAACAAAAAGCCCGGCGCAGTTTGTGGTATCAGTCTGGGTCGATTTAAGGAAACCGACAGTTCCGTTGTTTGTATGTTAAACCTTTTAAGCGGACGCTATAATTTCACATATGTTTCAACCGTCGGATATTACATAGATTTTAACCGTCTGATTGGAAACATGGATATCAGAAGAATTTTAAACGAAAAATTTGTCGAACATCTCACATCAACTAAATCAATCATTTATGAAATGAAATTGGCTGAAATTGACTTCGTAATCGTTACACAATTCCCTCGCGCGGAGAATAGCATTTGGGGCGTGTTTACCCCATTTGAGAGTTCCATCTGGTGGTCGATTTTGGTTTCTTGTGTAGGAATAAGTATAGTCCTGCAGTTTCAGGGGAAAGGATTGCCCAACAATTTTAGTGGGCTAAGATCTGTCCATGATTTCTTATTGGTCCAATCACTCCTTTTCGGACAAGCTATTGCAGACGAGGTAATCAAAAAAGTCAAAAATAGGAAAATCGGCCTCCCAGTATTAGCAATTTGGTTCTTTGTTTGCTACATTCTCATGGAAAATCTATACCAAGGAAGTATCTATTCCGACTTGACCGTAATATATCCACCTAACGTTCCCAAAACGTTTCAAGGACTTGTCGCGTCCAACATGACAATTTTCACGACTTCTGTAGCCTTTAGATCCTACAGAGATTCCAATAGAAAAGCAACTTCG